AAGAGAGTAAAATAAAGATAATTATGTGTCATATTTAAAAAATATTTTAGTCTTAAAAGTCATTGCTTGCCATGTGATTCCACGTGTCCATAGTATACGGAGATAATAAAATTAAACGGAAATTTTACGAAAAAATAAACACAATACAGTATTGTTTATAAAAGTACTTTAAGATGAGTTATAAAGCAACATAAAATATACCAGCCACACAAGTCACACACTCTTTCCCCTACATCCTCCTATTAGTGCCTACGACATGATTGCAGTTGGGGCAAGTGTGGACTATATCTTTAAGCCCGTCCATCATAAGAGGCAACCAGCAGAGACACCAACTGATAAGCACAAAGAAACCAAGTATGAAAAAGAACCCAACAGCGAGCCAGGTCATGGTACCAGCCTCATAAGATACATTTGTCATCATTTGAGTCTGACAGTGAGGGCAAACCATTTGAATTGGAGAAGAGCCAAAGTACATGGCCTGAGTCCCCATAGCGACTGTATGAGGTGGCTGGTACACGTGAGGGTGAGGTTGGTAGCCAGCCTGAGGGTATGGAGGGGCTTGGGGAGGTGGATAACCAGGCTGGGGCGGTGGGGGGTAAGCAGGTTGAGGGTACTGCGGAGTACCGCCATAACCTCCGGCCTGCTGCTGTTGTGGAGGAGGCTGATAGTCGTACTGGGGAGGAGGAGCAGTTGATGGCTGCTGAAGAAGAGGCTCCTTGTCTGACATAATCTTCAGATCTTTAAAAGTTTTGTGTCCCAATGTTCAAGAATAAGTTCACTGAGTCTGACAGATAGGTGGGGCTTGAATTGATCCAAAAGCGCATGCGCAATAGAGAATGCCTCCGATTGACAAATCACACGGTAATTTTAACGAATACAGGTAAATTATAAAAAAGTTAATAGTCTGGATCAAAAGGACAAATATGAATGATTGCTTTGAATCCACTTATCAAAAGAGCCAAGATAAAGAGCAGCATACTCAGGCATCCCAGGAAGTCAAATTTGAACAAAGTAACACCAATAGCAAGGAGCACCAATAGAATATGATGATTACTGATAAGACAAGTTTGTCATCAGTTGATTCTGGCAATGAGGACAGATCATTCGGATTGGAGTAAATCCATGGTATACCTGCAGGAAAATTAGAGGCTGATAGGGGGGTGGCTGCTGCAGAAAATTGAGAAAATATCTTGGATGAGCCCGAAAATTCCCTGCCATTATTCGCAAGTACCAACAGTAGGCACCGATACCGATTTTGCAAGCACCCAGTCACCCACGTATAACAGAAGTACAGCTGGCTCACTTGGCTGACAATGGTTGTTAATAACAGTATGATGATTGACATGACCAACTATGGACCAATTACCTTCGCATGCATCTATAGTCCATGTACTTCTAAAGTAAACTTAACAGTCGGGTGGCCAAACACCAAAATCTATTGCAAACCGGAAGTGACGTTTTAAGTCGTTTTTGTCAAAATGGCTGGCTTTTGGTGTGGTAGTACCTCTTCTCTATTTTGATTATTTATGTCAAAACTAAGAAGTCTACAGTTGCTTTGATGTTCTTTGCACCTTTAGCATTGGATAAAGATGTAGATAACTGATCTTCTACATTTATAATCAAGAACTGTTCGTGTTTCAGGCGCTTATTTCCACTGTAAGGATTAAAAATGGCTGACACAAAAATCATATTAAATTCTATAACTTGTAAAATAGAGCTAATGCAATCACAGTTACAAGGTAGTTTATTAGTATTATAGATACCTGTTATTCTGCAGAAGTTTCATTGCTGTAGGAGAAAAGGGAACACTTTTCTAACAAATGAAAGGTCCCAACAAGTAGCCTAGCTATGTGTTTGTATGTGTGTAGCATTGTTTTATCCATAAGTATAACTTATAATTCTTGATATATATGTATATTGTAGTTATTGCACTGGTTTTTAACTTTCTTTATACCTGTATTTGGCAGATATCTTGAGCTTTCATGACAGCCGCAATTTCAATTCATATTTGTACTCATTTGAACTGTGTTAAGTACCTGGTTGGCTATTTTGGCATTATAGATGAAGGTTATTGTGAGGATATAGACATTGATTCCAATTATCTTCTTCCTGGCTAAAGATATCATGATTTATTACAATTTTAATAATAAATTTTAATCAATTTAGTTATACTTAACAATGAAAAAATTATAACTTCAGTATTCTTTGGAGTGCAATTATGAAATTTTGGTATGTAGTGCTTAAAAGGTGTCTTTACAAGATAATTGTAGTTTTATAAGTATTTCTTGTGTAGGAATATTTTTCTAACAAATAGAATTATTGTGTTAAAAATTAGCTGTAAGTTCCCCAAAAAACAGCATAGATTTGCTGTTTTCATAAATGATGTGCTCTATTGATCAAGCACTTTATCTCTCATTGTGGCAAGTCCACTGCTGTGATAGTCCTCTGATTCTATTCAAGTTTCTATGTGTCTATGTACGCTACCACCCACGCAGTTGCGCAAATGAACTAGAAATAGGTTTATACACAATTTATATGGACTTCCGGTTGCTTGGCCACCCGACTGTAAAAAAAAGAAATGAAATCCACTACGCATGCGCAATAGAAATCCCCGCCTAAAGGAGGGTCCGGTTTCAAAAAGTCATTGCAAGTCAATTGACAATTGAGAGTGGCGCTGAGCTTTAAGATGAAAGCTGCTCTTGTCAGTGTCTTGTGCCTGTTGTTGGTTGGAATAATATCCTCTGTACTTTCTGCAAAGGGTCCACTTGTAACTAACAAAGTATGAGCAAGATATTACAGACAATTATCAAGTGAATTGTGTTAGGTTTATTTTGATATTGCAATTGGAGGTGAAAATGTAGGTCGGGTTGAGATTGGCTTGTTTGGCAAGACAGTACCAAAGACTGTTGATAACTTTGTTCAACTATCTAAACACACGGTACTACAAAATAAAGATAATAATTATAATTATTAAAATTCTGCATTTATTTTTGCAGAAAGGTTTTGGTTACAAAGGCAGCAAGTTTCACCGTGTCATCAAAAGTTTCATGATACAGGGAGGAGACTTTACTAAAGGAGATGGAACTGGAGGTACAAACCAATAATAAAATAATTATTCCTTTTCCCCACTAGGTAAGAGTATTTATGGCGATAAGTTCCCTGATGAGAACTTTAAATTGAAGCACCTTGGACCCGGCTGGCTAAGCATGGCTAATGCTGGCAAGGACACCAACGGGTCACAGTTCTTCATCACAACAGTAAAGACCAGTTGGTTGGACGGACGCCATGTTGTCTTTGGAAAAGTACTCAGTGGAATGGTAAGAGAACAAAGGAACAATACCAGTACTACATTATGTGTACAGTATGTGTAGTGTATTCATAGCATTGAGTAAATAGAGGGTATGGTACTCTATAAAGCCAACAGCTGCACTGCTTTAGTAAACCACATAAAACAAACATCTACCTACCATTCTTCTGTTGTATGAATAAAGGCTATCATACACCATCAAACTTGTTTCATGAACCATCTTTTATACAGGAGTCAATGGAGCCTGAAACGTGTTTCATAAAGTTGAAAATTTTTTACTTCGTGAAACATGTTTCAGACTCCATTGACTCCTGTATAAAAGATTTTTCATGAAACAAGTTTGATGGCGTATGATAGCCTTAACCCACAGTCTGTAATTATTATTAATCATTAGAGTGGTTATGTACTTTGTTTATGGACGTGTGAATAAGACGACCAGCTTGCTAGATACATGTACATGTCTTTGTTATTTTATTATGTACATGAGACCTGATTCATAATAGTTATTGTATTTTAGGATGTTGTGACACAAGTGGAGAACACAGAGACAGGATCAAACGATAAGCCGGTCAAAGATGTGACCATTGAAGATTGTGGAGAAATAGAGATCGAGCCATTTAACATTGATAAAGAATAAGACTTTAGACATCATTTTTCACTGATTAGATAAATTTTTGTTAAAATAAATAAGACATTACACCATAGAATGGAACGATTAACTTAATTGTATTTATATAAATACACATTTTGTGACATTGAGTGAGTAATGATGCTACCATATACTATACTCATACAGAAAAAGTATGACAAAAACAACAAAAATAATATACTTTTATATACAATTATACACATAAGATTCTTCAAAGATCATTCATTATACTAATAATCTGCCAGACGCCTGTATTCCAAATTCCATTATCCTCCATGCAACTTTTGGATCATAAATACTTTGATCTCTACACAATGCCCACACATACATTATGTTCTCTAGTGTCTCCTAATAATAAATTATAATGATAACACTACTGTACATGTAATACCTGTACTTACATCAATTGATGAATCTTCTGTTTTAGTTGTGACTTGTTGTGCAGTGAAGGTGAGTATCATAACTGGGCCTTGGTCTAAAACTTTTCCACCCAATATCTGTTTAATAAAAGAAATTGCTACACGTTACATGGTCCTTGCTCAAATTTTTATTGCATTTTATTGTCAAGTATAGCATTATAAGAGTAGAAATTTTTGAGTTATTAAGAATGTAAAATAAAAAAAACTCTCATCTTACATCAACATTGTGAACTTCAAGAACTTTAGATACACTCTTGTCTCCTTCCTTTTGCTTTATGATAGCAGAAAGTACATTAAAAGCCTTACAAAAATTAATAATTGCCACAAAATATGCATAAATAATACATTATTTTACTTACTGCTTCGTGGCACCAATCCTTCAATATGTCTACCTTCCCTTGAAGGAATGCCTCCAGTATGGTAGGAATAATGTCATTCTTACACTCACTGATAAACACTTCTTTATCAAAGGACGGATCAACTTTATGTATCTCAGCCAGTGTCAGTGATAAATCTGACTGCTGGCTCATACCCTCTATCAATAAAAATAATACTTTAACAATTATTCAATATTATTACCAAAGGATATTTTATCTGTCACAGTTCTTGATGCTCTTATTAGTATATTATCGCTTTCGTCATAACGCATCCGTAAACCATACATCACTGAGAGAAAGAGAGACACACAAAAATTGAAGGAATAACATTTGGATAATATGAACAACATGCACTCACTGTTGGAGATTGGATTATTTTCTCTGAATTTGTCCCATTTCTCTTTCAATTTTGATGTCCTTGTCACAATAACATCTTTAGTTTCACTAAAAAATACAAACAAAACATTAAATTGTACATTAATCTGTACATGTACATGTACATACTCGTCAGGCTGTATAACATTAGCAGCTGTAGCTTGTTGTTCCTGATCAGTATAACTGCTCCTCTCACTTCTCTTTAGAATTTGTTCTAAAAATAGTAACAGAGAGAGAGTGGGAGTAATGAGAGTGGCGCTCTTTAGCTAGGATAATCACCTGGTGGTTTGTATGGTCCTGATTCCTTGATAATGTCATCTAATAAATCTTCCTTTACTGTCTCTGCACCCTAAATGAAATACACACACACATAATGCATGTACATTTAAATATACATGCATAATTTATTAGGAACATGTACATGTACATGTACTTACTTTTGAGACGGTTTTGTAGATTTCAGTTTTGCCAATGGCTTCAGCTTGACCAGATAACCTCTCGGCAGTTTCTTGAGCTTTCTTACCCACCTACAGGTTTGATACAATGTACATTGTACATGTACATATACATACATGTACATGTATAATAACACTAAGCAAAGATACATGTACATGTACAGTATATATACATGTACATGTATATGTATTTCTTACCTCTCGTGTGACCCTGTGACTTTGTTTTCCAACTTCTGATTCAGAAAATTTACCAAACAACTAGCATTATAAACACAAAAATCATAGTGTGAACATAAAGCTATATGTACATGTATGAGGAGTAGGGTTTACCACAAAGCATGCTAAGTGAGCTAAACAGCATGAGCTTCATGAGCTGACAAGCACTACAATACAGTACATGGCATTTAAAGTACACATGCATGTAACTTTAAAAATTCATAAAAAATCCAAATTCGATCGGAATTAGCTCAAACTTGCTACACAAGATAAGAACACGTGTACTTTTATAATAGCAATCAAACTCACTTGACTGACAGATTTTCTAAAAGATGTTAAACCAGCTCTAGTGTAATCCACACTTTTAAGAGTAACAGTAATCAACCATTGCTACAAAGAAAGAGAATAAAGAGAGAGGGAGAGAAAGAGCAACACAGAAAGTACATTATGTACATGTCACTTTGTGCAATAGATTGACATACTTGTGTTCCTGATAATTTCTCTTTAAACAGTTTAACTGCATCATTTTTTACAATACGGTCCCTCTCTTCCTCAAATGCCTTCAAGTTCTCTTGCATTTCTTTATTTTTCTCTAAATTCTTCCTCAAATTATCAATAAATGTTCTAAAGACTCCGCCATCAGGAGAAGGAGGAGGAGTCTTGTCATTTCCCTTTCCATTGCTCTCGTACCGTAATATGATATATGGGGTGCCCTTGATTGAACATAACAATAATAAATAATTATAAATAAATTGCTGTAGGAGTAACAGGTATATTATAGCTGGTAATTTTAAAGAATTAGCGTATGGTGAGTTATTTAAGTTGGCAAATTTATAGCCATGCGTCATTGAACATGTGCATAACGGTTCAAAATGGTGAAATTTAATTTTCACAAATTGTCTAAGATAGTCTCCCTTCCAAAAATTATCAACTATACTGTAATTAATCAAGCAATTTATTATGTATATCAACAGTGAGAACTGACTATATATATATAATCTACAATACAGTATGTATATAATATGTATAATTATACTCACTAAACGTTTTGATTGTTTTTTCTCGTTAGTACTACATACTAAACACCGACTGGTTGCCAATAATCTTCTCTTAGACCAGCACACCCGACCATTAGTCTCTCTAACGACAAGAGAGAAGTAGAAAAGACGTGATGACATAATTCTCGCAATTTCTCAGCTTTATTCCAATTAATGCCCTACCCACGTGGAAACTATTACACAAAAATTAATTAATTTTAAAATAATAATAATAATAATTAATTAATTACTGTTATTGTCATTATTAATTTTGTTATTTTTTTCCTATAGACGTTGCCTTTATTATTAATATTAGTGTACAAAGAGAGAGAGAATCTTTTTTTATTTGAGAAAAGCTGATGCAACAGCCCATATCATCTCTGCTGCCCCTCCCCCGCTCTTCTGTGCTTCCTCATCAGGGTCGGCATCAAGGAGCTGTCTAACTCTTTTCATCGCCATGTCGTAATCGTCATCTTGCAGAGACGCAAACGCATTCTCAAGCACATCAGAAGCATGGGCCAGGATTATTAGCGCAAGACTCCGTTTGTCCATTCGACTGGTTTCGTTCACCCACTTGGTGAGTACAGATTCTTGGACTTTCTTCACGAGTCTTTGCTTTGAAGTGGTGTCAGTTAGGGGGTGAGTCGTCATGTCAAAGACGACAAAGCTTTGCTTCTCCGTGGTGAGGATCCCTTTCTCTACAAGGTTCTTTGCTATTCGCTCGCGAACGTTGCGTATCTGATAACGAAGATTGAGTGGATTCCAAGTCTCACCTGAAAGAAACGAAAAGGAGAAAGATTATAACTTTTCATTTCTTTACAACAAAAAACAAACACACAAACACAACGGAGACAATAAAATAAACAAATTGGCAAGACAGTAAATGATGAATACTCATTCGGCCTCAATTAATTTAAAATTTTGGCTAAGCTGTACTAGAATCAACTAATAACCAAAACATGATATCATCACTTCTTACCACTAAGTAACTCAATCCATGACTGGACATTGTCCGGTGGACTTGTTTCTTTAATGTGTCTCAGGGCCTCGTCTAATAATACATCACCAGTTGGTGCAGGGCTCTTTAGTAACACCTAACAATAATAACAACAACAACAACAACAACAACAAGTAAATATCAGAAGTTAATACTACTGTACAAGTATAAAAAATTTACAACAATGATGCTGAAAGAGCGAGGACAATCAGGGGACAATCATTATAAAGAAATATTAATATTATTTACCTTTCTGTACAACAGTGATTTCCGTCTCATTCCTTGCTTCTCTAGTTCTATCCTTCCTCTCAGAGCAAGTTCAACCATCATACAACCACGTAGGCCAGACGATATACAGTCATTCCAAAATGACGTGTAACCCTAAATATAGTAACAATAATAATAATAGAATGATGATGTCGTTAACAGCTAAAAATAGGCACAATGTTGAACTGTATGAAATCGAAAACACAGCCAAGTAAAATTAATGAAAAAAATTAAAATATTGCCACAAATAGCATCGTCTTAAATTAAAGAATCATGTACAATAATTATTATACACAATATAATAATTATTTTTATTGAAATTTCATGTTGCTTCAGAATATTCTCACTTCTCTATCTTTGAGACCCAGTAGTAGGACCTCCTCCATTAGTGTCATCCTCATGCTCTTACTGTCTCCGCTCTCATCTTCATCGTAGTCCTTTTGTCCAGGGATATCAGCATCAGGAGTAGCACCACCGCTGGCCCCTCCATCACTACTTGATGGACCCTCATACGCAGAGGCACCCCTACTGGATCCACTGCCACTGGTACTGGCATTCGCCCGCTGGACTAGACCTCCTGTTTTGTGTGGGGAAGAGAAGAAAGTATTCATTAAAGCATTTATGTTGTTCTTTTCTTACCCGTTCTTCTGGTAGCCATTGAGCGACCACCCCTTGAAATATTGATAATTAGAAACTAGACATTTAGATACGGTACTACGTAAATAAAAAATCTTATCACTTATTTTCTTATTATTAAAAAAAAAACAAGCCTGATCATCTGCAAAACTTTTACTACAATAAATAAGAGCAGGAGTATATCATGTACTCTTGTTAATAGCAGCTGTATGCAATGCATTGTTGCCTCATTATTAAATTTTTTAATTGTTACAAAAAAAGATGCAAAACAATAGTTCATTACAGCTCCTTCTTCTTTTTCTTGCTTTTCTCTCCTTCAACCTTAACAGGTTTATTGGTAGCATTGTCTTTAATGAACTTTAAGAAATCAGAGACTTCTCTACCACCCTGAGAGAAAAGAGGGACCATTAATAAATGCATATACATACACAAGTAAAATATTATTATTACTTCATATCTTTGTGGGTTGGATTTATTGCCAGCTGGTACCCAAAAAATGGTAGGATATCTATAGTATGAGGAAGAAAAAATATAACATGACAATTAACATGAAACAATAGAGCTTATTAACTCATTATTACTGCTATTAACTTTCTCTCACTTACCCTTGGACTTGAAACTGTGGTGGATAATCATTAGCAGTGGCATCAGTTTTAGCAATGACAATATTGGTATCACCTTTTAGCTGGTAAATAATAAATACATTTATTCAAAATTTAAATATTATTAATGTTACTTTGTCTCCTAATTCGTCATATTTAGGTGCAAGTGCTTTACAATGGCCACACCATGGGGCATAGAATTCAATCAGGACATCTTTGGAATCATCGTTTACAATTTCATCAAAATTCTTACCAACAACAACCTAACGAGGAAAGAGGAGAAGGAGTGAGTGAGAGAGCAAAAGGAAAGACAGCAGTGAGAGAGAGAGAGAGAGAGGTAGAAATGAAAGTGAATATTATATTTAAGATAGCAATTATTCAATGTAAGCTAAAATCCCAATTCCTCACTGTAACGGGTCCTGTATTATCAGCAGGAACAGGTTCCGATTTAATATGAGGCTCAAGTTTCCCATCCAGGTAGTCCTGCACAAATTCCTTCAGTGAGTCAACACTGAAGTCCTTTGACATGGCGTATTTTCCCTTAGCATCATAAATACCAGCAGTTGGTTCTTTGCCAGTGAGTCCCAGTGCTTCGACTTCATTTCTGAAATCTTCATTATCGGACACGGCAAAGTGAACTCCATCATCAGCAAACTGCTTAGCAACCTTAATAACCCTAATTTAATAATGATAATAAATAATGATCAGGGTTGCCCACAGGATTTTGGCACAGTGATCATGTAGCTTCTTGTCAGTGGATTGCCAAGTTGCTCAAAAATTGTGCCAATGACTATAAGCCTTTGGTTGCTGGCCCAATTTTTGAGCAGTTTAAAATTCATAAAAAATCCAGATTTGATCGGAATTTGCTCAAAATTGAAAAACAGCATAAGAACATGTATGTGTATCAGGAAAAAATATAAAAATGAAAAATTCTCTCCTAGCCATTTTTGGCAAAATTTGGCTCAAGACCTAAGGCTATAGCCTTTGGTCACAGGCCGAATTTCACCAAAAATGGCTAGGAGAGAATTCTCCATCTTTATATTTTTTTTCTGATACACATACATGTTCTTATGCTGTTTTTCAATTTTGAGCTGATTCCAATCAAATTTGAATTTTTTATGAATTTTTTAAAGTTGCTCCAAATGTTACTGTACTGTGTACATACATTGTGGGAAGCTCTGATGATAATTATTTTGGGGGATTCTTTTAGAGCTACATGTGTAATTACTGAAACATTATGTTTTTTCATAAATTAGTAAGAACATCAATGTAACGAAATATCACATGCCTGGTTACTTACCTGTTACGCCAATAGTTTGTACCTAAAAAAATAAACAAAAATGAGACCTTTTCACACACTCTCTCTTATACCTTTAGGATTCTTAGTATAGTCGACATCATAATACACAACACAGAGCGGCTTCTCGTCATAAAACTTCACGTCATCAGTAGATCTTACACCAGCAATACCCATACTGTAGCAAACCAGTAATACAATAGCAATAATGACTGTAGATTATCACTTACTGCTCTGATTCAATGAATTCTCTCAGTGCACTAGCAGTAGCATCTCCTTCATACACAAATGGCGACGGATCCAATTTCGTTACCATGTAAGGAGGCTGGAATATAGCTACCTGACTACAATAAAAATATAAAAATAAATAAAATAGGAATACTAAGTAAGTCCCTTTTACTCCGAGTATCCATATTCCTCTAGTACTTCTGATGCCGTCGTGTGAGCGAATTTGAAATCCTCTCTCATCGAGTTAGCAGTTGACATGAAGGCTGTCCTCAGTTTGCTGTCGTCACCAGTGAAGAACCCTACAAACAGAAAGGGAAAGAGTAGGGAGAGATTAGTAAGTCACATACCAATGACTGTATGTTCGTCACTATCAATGAAATTCTTCAAATCTTGTACAGACCCAAGTTCTAAATAAATTAGAAATAAAATATATTATCGTTGTTATTTTTGTTGTTGTTGTTGTTGTTACTAACCTTTAGAGCTGGGTCCACTTTGTTTTTCCATGTAAGAAACAATACCAGCTGGTATAATAATAAAAATAACAATAAAATATGTTTCATTTTCTTCCTTTATTTCCTTCTACTTTCCTCTCTGCCTCCTCCTCCTCCTCCTCCTCCCTTCCCTTTACTCACGTGCTGATCTTGGTCCATTATAGTCGGAGCTGATTTCGCCATTTCTGAATATCTTGAGTGTAGGATAGCCAGAGACTCCATACTTGTTGCATATAGCAGTATTAGCAGGGCAGTCAACCTAACACACAGACAAAATGTGTGCACAAACAAAATAATAGCATCAGTCTAACAGAAATCACGCTTACAGATTAGCAATTGTTGCTAATGTACACGTAATTACAACAAATGTGGAAATTAATGAAATTTTTAAGGGAAAAAACTTTTCTGCATTAAATAAAATTTGCTAAACAAACTTTCAATTGTGTGTACTAGGACAAGAAGTAAGTCGTTGGTAATTTTCCCACTATACACAATATTTTTACCCACAATTTATACATGTATATACATAATTTATGCTGCACCTTTGCCAGTGGAACTGGTGGGTCACTTTGTTTCAATAGTGTGGCTGCTTGTTTATATTCAGGAGCAAGACGTTTGCAATGGCCACACCTAACAAAAGAAGTGAGAGCATACCAGGATAGGGTATTGTTTATTTACCATGGAGCATAAAACTCGACCAAAATGAGATCAACATTGACTCCTTCGGCAAAGTTGGAGTCATCCAACACTATGACATCACCAGGGTCATCTTCTTCGTCTGCAAAAGCAAGGAAGACCAGACAGGCCAAGAAGAACAAAGAACGAACCATTTTCCACCTCTTTTTTCTCTGACAGTACAACTGGCAACCACGGTTAAGTTTTTGAGTCTGTACACGTGTTAATGAGGATACTCTGACCAATCAGATTGCACCACGCTCAGCTGACGTCACATTATTTTAATGAATTTAATAATATTATTTATAAAAATGAATAGATAATTAATATTTTTATCTTTTTATTTATAATTCAATCATGTGTTAGAAATAATAATAATTATGTTATTTATAGAGACGCAGGAGAGAATATTGAAGGAGATAATAATAATAATAATAATAAAGTCGTTGCATGTGTATATTAGGTGATATTTTTTAAATTCCTATAAACGTTGAACAGTGTTCTACCAGAAACAGCTGTAAACTTGGCAACAAATATCCACAGGTTACTAAAAGGAAAAGTATAGTTTAAGTAGTACTGAGGTGATTTATAGAAAAAAATAGAAGGAAGAGAGAGCAGGGAGAGAAATAAAGCCAACATGTACTAGGCAACATGTTGCTTACAAGATTAAAGTAACCACAAATGTTGCCTAGTGTATGTTGGGCTTAAGAGAGATAAGAGAGAAAATTAGAGAGCTTCTAACCTTCTCCATTCATTGACAGCATCAGTGTCTGTGAATGCAGTCAAGCAAGTGCTAATATGATCCCCGATCTCAATGACAGTCTACAACAATAAATAAATAAATAAATAATAATTATTATTATTATATACTTGTTCATGAGCAGTGTCGCCACCAGGTGTTGGAGGCAGCTGCATCAGACATTTCTTGACCGGTTTTAACAATGACTTGCACTTCAAAGATACCATTATAAAACAATAACAAAAATGATCATTATACCTTCACGAATATCTCTTCATCAAGCTCATAATCACTAACAATATACGAATCGCTCACTTCTCCCTCTCTCTCCCCCTCTCCTCTCTTTCCTTTCCTCCTTGATTTATTCTGTCCGTTTGCTTGCGAAGAGCTAGTTCTTTTGCTGGTTGCTCTAGACTTTCTCTGAGTCTCTGTCTTTCCTTTGCTGGCTGGTTTAGTTTTAGAAGTGGTAGCTCCTCCTCCTCCTCTTTTTCTAGCTAATTGTTTTGTTGCTGCTGGAGCTGTTTTCCGTCTTTTCGATTTCTTTCTCTTCCAATCATCAACAAAATCATCGTCACTCTCCTCCTCCTCTTCCTCTTCCTCATCTTCTTGTTCCTCTTCCTCCTCCTCTTCCGACTCTGTCTCTGACGTTTTAGTTCTTTTTCTTTTACTGTTGTGTCCTTTGCTTTTATCACTGGCAAAGTATTTTGAAAGTTTATGTGTTCCTTTGGCATCAGCTTCTCTGTCCCTGGTTCTCTTACTGGCCTGTTTTTTCTTACTAGTAGCCTATAATGATGATAATAATGGTATCAATTACATGTAATTTATATGTACATCTACATGAAGAACTTTCTACTAATTCACATACATGTACATGTACACTCAATCAAACTGCCCGTCCTCCATCTTACAATCCACATGTGTATACATCATATTACTTCACTGATAATCTTACATTGTGCATTGAGTCCTTCCTTAGTGATTTCAATAAAAAATTAACTCTTGTCTTCAGGTGCTGGACCTGTGGTTTCAACTGTCTGTTGGCTGGCAGTATCTGGAATGAAACCATGACTAGTAACACATTAGGCATGCCAGATAAAGCCATACAAAGCAAAAGACACAACAATACATAATTAAACAATGTGCTATTGAGCATCAGCATAAATTTTAAAACTATCCGTATGGAAGGAAATTTTGGAGGTAGTTAAATTTGGCGAATTTGGCGTTTTGATAGCCATTCGCCAAAATAAAAATTTGCCATTTTGAGCCATTATGCGCATGCTCAATAGCACATGGCCACAAATTCGTCAAATTAAAATTCGCCAATCGTCCAAAATTTAGCAATTCGCCAAATTTTCCTTTTGTATGGTATCCATCAAAATACTAAATTCACCAAAATCTCCCATATAAAAAAAAACCAGCTATACTGTACACGTACATGTACATGCATGTACATGTGTGTACTTACCTTTTTACTGAGGCCAATGTTAGGATCATCTTTAATACACTCCCAGTTACCTAGTCCATACTGATAGACACCAACTAATAGTTTAGAATCGTCAACTGACGACCACTTCACTCCGGCCCATGTAACCTGCTTCAGTGGTACCTTGGTAACTAGTCTAAACCTATGTGTATTAGGAATGAATAATCACATGTACATGTACATGTAACATGAAAAAATAAAGAATCACTGGCAAAGTTTCAAGTTGAATCGAACCTTCTACGCAACATAAGAAAATGTACATGTATATGGAATATTATAGATTAGGAAAAATTATAGAAATGGAGATTTATCTTCTTTTCATTTTTGACAAAATTTGTCTACTTTTATCCAATTTTTGAGCAACTTTAAAAATTCGTAAAAAATCCAATTTTGGCCGGAATCAACTCAAACTTTCTACACAATATAAGAACATATATATGCATCAGGAAAACTTATAAAAATTGAGAATTCTCTCCTAGTCATTTTTGGTGAAATTTGGCCCAAGACACTGTACTATAGTACAGAGACTTTGGCCCGATTTTGGAGCAACTTTAAAAATTCATAAAAAGATTAATTTTGATCAGAATCAACTCAAACTTTCTACACAACATAAGAACATGTATATGTATCAGAAAAAATTATAAAAATGGAGATTTCTCTCCTAGTCATTTTTGACAAAACACTATGCATGCACAGTCATTGATCAAGCAACATAATCATGACTTAATTACCTCCATGCACACTGCAGCTTACCCAATAATTAAATAATAACAATATCAATCGTGTACATGTACCTCTTCCTAGCTTGAAAATCAGTCGGTATGTATTGTGCTAGAGTGTTTAGGTCAGTCTCTTTCTCAAGGACATTCTGAGCTGGTATGGACACGCCTCCTAGCTTCAGCGTGGGAGGATGAGGAGGACTAGTACCTTCTGAACACTCTAAAAAATAATAAAATTAAACTGGGCCAATGAATATCTGTGAGCTGCAAGTATTGTGCTTTAAATTATCATAATAAATATACTATAATAGCAGGAAAAATTGGCTGCATGAGTTTAATTTTGGGGCAATTGGCAAATTCACAACCATTTTGCTTTATTCTGAGCAAATGCATGCTCAATGACACATACATGTAGCTAATTATATAAAATTAATCTGCCAATCATTGCATCAATTCCTGCTATTACAATAATTAATATAATAAATGTACATGTACATCATTATCCTATTATTAGTGTTACCTGCTAACAGTTGCTGGTACAAGTCACAAGCTTCCTGGCAGCCATCATGAAGGAGCTTTGCAAGATGTTGCAGTTCTGACAATGACTTCTCTTGTAATTCACTATCAACAGCAATTTCCTCTAACCTAAAAATTAAAAACATAAAGTCGAATTTAACAATTCAAATGTATTTGCAACTTTGCCATTATAAATGGTAGCCAAGTTTTGTACAAAAAGCAAAGATTGTAGTCCATACTTTTTTACAAGAAATGGCTCCAAAGTTGCAAATGTATTTGCAACTTTGCATGCACTAATTTAAGTTTTTTTAAATTTTTTTAAATTTATGAATTGATTGCTGAAACATATGACATGTACATTCATAGTAAGATTACATGTACATTGTAGGTGGTACAGTACCTAGTTTGTGGCAGTGGAAACTTTAAGTAGCTGTTAACAAATCGTCTAATCTCGTTATTATTATAACCAGTGACCTCTCTAGTGACCAGTATACCAGTGACCGGCGTCGGCTCGCCACCATGGGACTTCTTGTGTCTACGAGCATTGGAGGAGCGGGTTTCTTTGGCTGATTGCTTGGGTAGTGATCCTGATTGAACCTGTTGGTCCTTATCTTCGTAATAGTTCTGTGAGAGACACACCAAATAGCTGATAATTTAGGAGGGACTAAAATTTTATTGAATGAAATGCTTAATTTTTAATGCTTGATGGCTTTTGATTTTGTAAATTTGTGACTCAAAATGGCCGCTCTCCAATTGCCAAATTTTAAAAAACTTCTCATAAATTATATGCCGACTATTGATCATGATATGAATCTCTTTCCCTCTCTCCATCTTACCCTCACTGTTCTTTGTCTTGGTGGTAGGTAAAGCTGAAGCTGCTCTCTCTCCTTCTCTTCTTCTTCCATTTGTGAGCGATAAGACTCCGGAATAATTTCATCCCAATCCTTATTACGACCGATTTTATGAGGAGTAGCTACATAAAAATTTTTAAAATTACAATTACCATTAATTAAAGTGGGTGTGGTTTACTTTCAGTACTAACGGACATTCTCCTTCCTTCATTATCGGAGAAGTCTCCGCCCAGTTCCTCTTCCCCCATTGCAAAACTAGCGACTTTAAACTGGGACAAGAGCTCGTGGGCTGTGGCCGACTCTTCTCCTGATATTTCTTGTGTTTCTGCTCGTTTTAATATTTCATCTATATCCATTTCCTGTTGAAGGGGGTGTGTCACTTCCTGTCATGTAAGAGGTCATGTGACGGTACCTTTAAGTCTTTGTCTTCTTCTTTGTCGTCCTCTTTGAATAAATCCTCAGCTCCGAATTTTAATATCGCTGTCAATTCATCTTTATCAAAAGGGACGTTTCTATTAGCATTATAAATAAATACATTTAATAATAAATTTTCTTTTATCTTTTCCTTTCTTTTTTGTCTTGTAATAATAACAACAACAATAATAATAATAATAATAACAATGATGATAATAATAATAATAACAGAAGACAGCTCTATTAGGAACAGCGAGAATATTGAGGAAACATATGAGTGCCGAGAACTAGAACATCTAAGTTTATTTGTTATAAACTGATGAGGAAGTGTCCCAATTATAAATTTAATTGTGTGGTTTATGAAATAATAATAATAAGTAAATAAATAATAATTGGTAATTTTGTAAATGTCTGATACATGACGTATGCAATGCGAAATTATTATTATTATAATATAAATAATTGCTATTATTATTAGGTTATTTGTTATAATTCAAGTCTCATTGTCTTGTCTGTATAAATAAACCCAGACATTTTTCTTGAATACATTAGAGGGGAACAAGTAGTAATTACCAATTAAACGACACACCAAAAATAATAACAACTTGTCGCTGGCTCCCCTCCCTTCCCCTCCCTCCCCTCCCTTTTCCTCATCTCTCGTACATACATGTACATGTACACACGTACCCTAATGTACATGTCTGCTTAATATTGCATGAACAAACAGAGACAGACTTCTGGCATTAATAATTCATACAGATATGGTTATTCAACAATGACATCTACATGTACATGTGTACATTCATTATATACATGTAGATGTACATGTACATGTATAATTATTAATTTTTCATTTACATGTACAGTATTTACCTTCCTTGATCGCTGGTTGTATGTGATAGTATGGTCCTCCCTGTCGTGTCCATCCTTTGAATTACCAAATGATCGAGAACCATCTTACGCTTGGCTCTCTCAATGATGTCCTCCTCTACACTGTTACGCGTAACAAACCTATATATGTTAACCTGGGGCAGGAAGGAGAGGGGGAAAAAGAGAACAAAGTGCAATAAAGTGAACTTGTTAAAATTTCAGCTACATGTACATACAGTACATGTACATGTAGGTACAGTGTAGACTCTAACTAAACGGGCTGATGTAAAATTTAACATTTAGAAACTTTTATCAAAATTAATAATAAATACAATTTAAAATTAGTACATACATGTACGTACTTGCTTGGTCTGACCAATGCGGTGTGCTCTGGCTTGAGCTTGGAGGTCATTCTGTGGGTTCCAATCCGAATCAAATATGACGACAGTATCTGCAGTAGCAAGGTTGACTCCGAGTCCACCGGCTCTTGTTGAGAGAAGGAAGCAGAAGTCTTGAGAGCCCTCAGCGTTGAAGTGATCGATGGACTCTTTCCGCTGCTGGCCAGTTATGGATCCATCTAATCTCTGGAGGGGAAAGTAAGATTAGAATCCAAAGCATATGCCGAGTGAGTAAGTAACAGCATATGCTTCATGAGCTGATTTGGAGCAACTTTAAAAATTTATAAAAAATCCAAATTTGATCGGAATCTGCTCAAACTTTCTACACAACATAAGAAAATGTATATGTATCAAAAAAATTATAAAAATGGAGAATTCTTTAATTTTCATTTTTGATGAAATATGGCCAATGACCCTGTACTATAGTACAGGGACTTTGGCCCGATTTTCAAGCAACTTTAAAAATTCATAAAAAATCCAAACTTGATCGGAATCAGCTCAAACTTACTACACAACATAAAAACATGTATACGTATCAGAAAAAATTATTAAAATGGAGAATTCTCTCCTCATGATTTTTGTCAAAATACCCTGCCTTAGTCTTACTTGGTAGAGGAAGTGTCTAAATTTCATGTACTCGGCGAGTATGTCCAGCATACGGACCATCTGTGAGAATATGAGGACACGATGTCCTTTCTCTTTCAACCTGACCAGGAGCTTATCCAGTAAGTAGAGCTTACCACTTCCTCTGAGGAGAGACTGAGGGAAAGAAAGAGAAAGAATATGAAAGTAATTTTAATGTACATGTAGATCTACATGTACATAATCTACATGTACATTGTAGCTTCAAAGCAACCCCAAGTTTATTATATATTGTTGAAAGTTTATTCTTATCACCTTCTCCTATTACACTCATAGTTCTGCCTATGGTGGCCGGGGTGGTCGGGACAACCACATCAACAGATGAACCAACCAGTTTATCACTTAGACCAACCATGTAATTAATACTAATAACCATACATAAAGTAGTCTACTAGTATGGCATACATAAGTTTAAAAGGAACAACATTAATCTCCAACCACCTCTAATTTTTTTTTCTAGGTAGAACCCAGCCTGTACACTGTAATTTAAATTCATCTATTTACCTGTAAAGGATCCTTAACTTCAGGTGTGTCTGGTGTCCGAACAATGTACACGTGATTACAGCATTTCTTTAACTCCATTAACACGTTTATGAAACCGGTTATGCTTCCCTTCACACCTTTACTCAATGCTTTATAATTCCTAGTAAGTATCCACCTGGAAAAAAATCAAGAGAAAGATGACTAAAACACACACACCCACACACCCTCTCCTTATCAATCCCCCATACCTATAATACTGCTTCTGTACTGATGACATCTCTACACGGAGGATCTGTTCCACCTGTAGGAAGAGATTTAAAGATTTGAAGCATATTGTATCTAATTTATTTAATCATTTTTACTTTTGAAGGAAGTGATTTTTCAACGTCTTTTTTAATCCTCCTCAGTAGGTAGGGCTCGAGCTGCTGGTGTAGTGAGGAGAGGTTGGAGGTGTCTCCCTCGTGATACGCCTTGTGCTCCTCTTCAAACTCCTCCCAACTGGGGAACCTGGGGGAGGGAGAGGAGGGGTAGGAGAGTAAAGGGAGAGAACAAATAAACGTTTAATTATATTAGTAATTGTTACATGTACATGTACATGTAACAAAGCAATTAGTCGTGACATGCAATACATGAAAATAAATAAACATGTTCTCTATGTGGAGGTTATTTCATACAGTAAGGAATGTACACTATAGGTGCTGTCTGTTAAATGGAGGTATCTATATATGCTGATGTACTATCATATACAGATGCATATGCTGTAAATGTCACTGACTTGTCTTTCATTATAAAATGGATAAGTGACCAGAGCTCCTTCAGTGAGTTCTGCAGTGGAGTGCCAGTCACTAGGAGCCTGTGGTTAGTATGAAACATGTTAAGCGTCTTATAGAGGAGGGAGTCGTCATTCTTTAGTCTGTGAGCTTCATCGACAACCAAGACAGCCCAACTAACATCACCTAAGAAATCCTATACATGTACAGCAGAGAGGGAGAGGGAGAGAGAGAGAGAGAGAGAGAGAGAGAGAGAGGGGGGGGGGGAGAGAGATAAAGGTAAGAATCATTAAGCAAGTGCATGTATACATGTACAGTACATACTTTGTCTTTTAACAATATTTCGTAAGTCGTGATGACAACATTGAATTTGATATTGCCGTTAGCATGAGCCCATTCAGTATCCTGAATCTAATAAAAAACAAACAAACAAATGAAGTAAATAAATTAATATCAATAATACAGATGGCCAATATAAAATCTGCCAATTGCAAACCACCAAATTCAACTCCCACCAATATTTCTATGTATCATAGACCAACGTACCATTTTCCTACTAGTAACGTCACCGATGTACACCAGTGTGTTCATACTGGGAGCCCATAGGGAAAACTCCCTCTGCCAAGAGGGTAAGGTAGAGAGCGGAACCACGACAAGGTATGGACCATAGAGATTGTAAATGTGGAAAAGAGACGAAAGAAACGATATCGTCTGTATCGTCTTTCCTAGACCCATTTCATCAGCTAGTATCACTGAATTATTCCTACATGTATAGAAAATCAGAGAGAGAGAGAGAGAGAATGATGCAGGTGTACATGTACATGTACATTGATGCATTGACATGCATGTACATGTATATGCACACATGTAAATATATTTAAGTTCTTTGCATATGTTTATAGCTAGTCCATACATGTACATGTACATGGTCTTTGGCCAAATTTTGAAGGAACTTTAAAGACATTAAAGAGGACTATATACTTACTTGCACCATGAGCTCACGAGCCAGTTGACCCCATCAAGCTGATAGTCTCTCAACTGGAGCTGCTCATTCCCTCCTCCAATAAATGAGGGCTGCTCCTTAAAAACTGAGAACTTTGGCCTTGATCTTAATACCTGCCACACAAAAACAAGAACACACAAACAATAAAACAAACACACATACACTGTGTACACTGTCATGCACATATATAAAGGTAGAGATTCTGCTTTTTCAGCAGCTACTAATCTACAAGGCTGTGCCCCTTTAATGTTTTACATTCTTTCTAGTTATTGTCCATATAAGGTGCATACATTGTATCATGCATTTACAGTGTATGATGTATGTATGTACTTTAGCTGATCTACATGGTACACAGTCAGACTCATTCCTGTACATGTAATCATCAATCTCTTGTTGATAGAGGTCGGTCAGTAGCTCCCCGTCTTCCCAGGTGCACTCCGAGTACGGCAAACCCTTCCACTTACAGAGGTACTCCTGGCCCGAGCCTTCCTCCGTTCTACGAGCATCTAATATAAATAAAATAAAATGAAACAAAACCTACATACATGTACATGTATTTGGTTGTTTCTCTCTCTATCCCATCTTATTTTTTAATAATACATGTACGTCATGCAAAGTTGTGTAGAATGTAATATTTCATGGAATAAAAAAATAATAATACTACTACATTAATACCTGTATAGACATACAAGTAACAGTTGAGAGTGTGTGTACATGTATTTACCAATAACTCTTTCCACTTCTTTAAATTGATCTAGTAATCTTTCATTCAGTTCTTGTTGTATCTTGCTGTACTCTAAGTCCTCAGGATTAGCTCTCTCCTCCCTTTATCAGTAAAAATTGAATACATGCAGTAATTGCACTATACTGTGCATGTACATGAACATTTACCATTCTTCTCTCTCTTCTTCTTTTTTAATGTAATTCTGTAATCTTTTCATTCCTTTGACATTAGCTTTTAGCAAAGATGCCTCTGGTATGAGGGAAAGGGCAGGGAGAAGGAGAGAAAGAGAGAAGGAGAGATGACTCCATTCAAATTAGATGTATCATAAGTCATAACTGTACCTGTTTCCCAAGTGTTATGAAGATGTGACCAGCCCAACCATTTTACTAGATACTGTACAACAAGTTTCTCGCCATCCTCACCCTCACCTCCTCCTCCTCCTTCTCGTCCATTAGGATGAGGGACAGGTAGAGAATAACAGGTTCTACCAGTTTCTAGTGAAAATATTAATATTGATAAATCAATAGCATTAATGATTTGATTACCGCTAGCTGGCCCAAGCCTTTTAAACAAAATCTATTTTAAAAATTATAATCATAATCATTATTGATGATTATTGTCTTACTCGATCAATTTTTTCTCTATTATCTTCTTCTGGTGCTAAAACTCCATCACCTGCAGCCACTTTATTATCACCTTCAGCTTCAACTGATGACTCTTTATAACTGCAGGGAGAGAGAGAGAGGAAGAGAGAGAGAGAGAGAGAGAGAGGGAGAGAGAGAAAGAAAGAAAAAATTGAGAGGCTGCAGATGTACAGTACATCTAAAGTCTAAGAGAGTGTTGTACATGTACATGTACATACCTAATATGCTCTCTTTGTCTACCAGTAGTTCTAGTATATCCATCATACTCTTCATCAAGATCATCATCATAATCACTCTCTCCTCTCTTCCTCTTTCTCTTCACTCTTGTTCCTCTTCCTCTGCTCTTCTTTCCTCTGCCGGGATCGTAATCTGAATCACTCTCATCACCGCTGAAGAGCTTTTAAAGAAACAGAATAAAATTTAAAAACATTTAGTACCTCTCTCTCTCCCTCTCTCTCCCTATCTACTCTAGTAATGTAGCCCTCACTGTTTGCTGTCTCTTTCTCATTCGACCAAAATCATCATCAGACCACTATAAAGACAGAGAGAGAGGGAGAGAGAGAGAGAGGGAGAGAGGAGGGAGAGGGAGAGAAAGAGAAAGAGAGTGAGAGAGAGAGAGGGAGAGTGGGGAGAGGAGAATATAGAGCAAGTACATCCATTAACTCAAGTATCATACATGTAAACATACAATGTACATAGAGCATGCCCATGCATGTACATATGCATACAAATATACATGTACATGTACATGCTCTTGATCCATGTAATATATTACTGCTAGTGTTCATGTACAATAATTATAATTATGTAATGGCTGTACCTGTTTCTTCTTCCTAGATCTCCCTCCTCCTCCTCTCCTTGAGGTGTATGGTGTGTATCCATCAGAACTGCTCTCCTCCACTAAACTGTCACTGCCAAAACTCATAATGTCATCATCATACTCATCACCTCCAGCATCTGATATCTATACACGTACATGTACATGTACATGAGAATTAAATAAATAAATAATACTGTGATTACATGTACATGCAATTGACAATCTAAATGCACAAGCTCATACATGCAATAAAATAAAAAGGAATTTATCCAATTGTAACATGAGAAAAAGAGAGAGAGAGAGAGTTTAATGTGCATAACATAAAACAATGTACATGTACATTGTATATGTACGTATGTACATTGTATATGTATCTAACCTCAAAATCAGAGTCACTGTCCCTCGCAGTATAAAACTTGCTATTCTTCGTCTTCTTAGTCCCTCCCCCTCCTCTCTCCTCCAGTTCTGAATCACTTCCTTCGCTTTCACTATCAAAATCATACTTAATATTCCTTGCAGCTTCTCTCTGATACGAATTATAGCTAGAGTGGCTATCCTTTGCCTCATCTCTCCTTCTCTCCTGCGGTTCCGAGTTGCTGGAGTTCACTTTATAAAAACAATTAGCCGAAGGCGTCAAGTTATGCCGGAAACTCGACGTAGATGAAAGGGAGTAAAACTTCTTGACGTCCATTTTGACGGGGAAAGAAGTCTTAGAAGGCTTCGAGTGGCTGTCATCTCCCGAAGACGAACCAGAAGAGCTACCAAATTTAGCTCTGCCTCTTTTCTTCTTTCCTGTCCCTTTCCTCTCACTAAAGCTGCTGCTGCTACTACAAGAAGCTTCCTCCTCCTCCTCCTCCTCCTCCTCTATTTCTTCTTCTTCTTCTTCGCTGGTTGGTTGATAATCAGAGCCACTATGAGGCGTCTTTTTAAAGAGGGGAGCCCCTCCTCCTACTCTCTCTCCTTTAAAGTCAGGTTTCCTCAATATGGATTGCCTGAGGAGTCCTTCGGTTGGTTTCCCCTCCTCCTCTTCATCATGACTGCTCTTACTACAGCTATCACCATCATCAGAATGACTACAATAATAATTATTATTATAATAAGGACAACAAGAATAATAATCATAATAACAATGATCGTAATATTTACATATCTACTGCTAATATATACCCGTTTATACGTATATATATATATATATACATGTATATATATATAATTTTAAAAATCTTTATAATTATTATTTTTGTCAAATGCAACAGACATACTGTTATGTACTATATTTACAGTTTACACCTCCTTTAAGTAGCCCCTCCCACACTAAAAATGAAACCCAGTTCCTGCTATGCATGTACAGGTTAAAAACAGTGTTAGTATTGTTGGAATATTTGATGGAAATTAGCATTTTGATAGAAAAATGTTTTAAATAATTTAAATAAAATATAGCAATTGCTAATACTGATTCTCTCTCACTTTTCAGTCACTCTCTGATTCCAGTAGTGTGGGGCAATCGCCATGACAAGTCTTTACAGCAGAAAGAAATGGAGAAAGGCTCGCCTAAGAACAAATACCTTGAGCCGAGATTCGAGCCATGAGTGATTGTTCTAATTAATGAGCGGTTTAAAGTATACGGAGCAAAACTAATAAGTTTTCCGGAGTTAGTGAACGAAAGTGAACGAAATTCAATCGTTAAAGTTTACGGAAAATAAACAAAGAGCTTTTCGGAAATTAATGATTTTGAAAAAGAAAGTGCATCAAATTAATCCTCCAATTAATCTACACAGTGAAAGATGAGCTTTGAAGGATTAGAAGCAGAACTGAGACTATTGAAACTTGAAAATGAGTACAATAAAACAGCAGCAACTTTATACTCGACTGGATCTAAACTAAACCTCATTTATCATTCATTATTGAAGGAGTCATTAAATATAACAACAACTATTAATGAGGTTTGATCAAACTTTATATTAAGATGATAATTTTAATTTTTACACTACATGTAACTATCACCTTGATTAAGTGCTTAGTAACTTTAAAAATTCATAATCCAATTTTGATCGGAATCGGCTCAAATTTGTCACACAACATAAGAACATCTATATGTATCAGGAAAAATTATAAAAAATAGAGAATTCTCTCCTAGTCATTTTTGGCCAATTTTCCTGTACAATAGTACAGGATCTACCGCTCAATTTTTGAGCGAATGTGGGAAACCCTAATGTGTACATGTTCTTTTATTTTTAATTTTTGATTGCTCTATAGGTAGAACAAGACCAAAGGAGGAGGAGACAACCAAGACAATACAATAGCACTACAGAACAACCCACCACCAGCAACCACGCCCTCCCTTCATCATCTACTGACCTCCAACAGGAAGAAACCGAGAGAGAAGGAGACAATAAAGACTCAGAAGGTGACGATAGTAGTGGAGGTGATGAGATAACTTACAACAAAAGAAGACGGAGGAAAAGAACTAAACTGGTTATGCCTAAAGTCAAGAGAGCTGCAACTAACAAAAAACAAAAATCTGCCGAAAACTTTGACACTCTCACTCCTCCACAAAGCACGTCTGATACCAGGAACAAAGCAAAAAAGAGCAACAAGACAATAAAAAGAGCTAGTGACAAGGAAAGGAGAGAGATAGAGAAGGATGCCTCCATTCCGCCTAGCTGTACTCTTAGTACATGTAGCTACTCAAGTCATGTTTCACTTAAACCTTTCACACTCGCTATCTCTCGTATTTCTCATGTACCCACTCAGGGAGGTGCCTTTAAAGAAGGCGGAGACAAGGGGGAGGCTGTCTCATCAAATCAGCCAAGAAGTACCACACCAGTTGTACCAAGCCCTCTTAGTAATGGATCAAGATCAGACTCAGAATGGGAGATGAGCTCTGAGATATCAATACAGAATTACACCGAGAATAGAAAAAGGAGCGAAACTGTAAGAAATAGGAGTAGCGAGAATACCAGGACAATGACTGAAAGTACCGAAGAACCGGAACCAGAGGCTGAGGATGCGTCCATCATTGGTAGAAGAAGACGAGTAGCAGAGCAGAAAGTACAAGTTATCATTATTACTTCAGACGAAAGTGAAGAGGTAGAGGAGAAGAGCAAAAGTAAAAAGGAGAAAAGAACACAAAGTCGTCCTACTCTAACGAGCAAGAGGTATAGCTCAAGACCTAAGACTCATGTTGTATCATATAGAGAAGAGAGTGAGGAGGAGAGTGAATCCAGCAGCAGCAGGTCATTAGTGACAGACGAAGAAGAAGTACTTGTAACAAAAAAGGCTCAAAGCAAGAGTGTGGGGAGGCCAAGAAAGCTTAAAAGACCAACCCGAGCCATTTACGTGTATGAGTCTGATAGCGAAGATGAGGAGAGAAGGAATAGAGAATCGGTATCTCCCTTACAGTCTAGACGTAACATTCCTGAAAGTGAAGAGTCTGATAGCTTGATACCAGAGACACCACAAAAGACAAGAAGGCTAACTAGACTGAACTTGTTAAGATTATCCAATGCTAATGCTAACCCTCCCCCTCTCCCTCTTATAAGTGGCAATGATTGTACGGCTAGTCCAATACCTCATCTCTCACCACCTCTCCTGGTACCATCACCTCACGACTCACCTAGCGAGCACTCCTCTCCAATTAAAAGGGCCAGCAAGAGAGGGAGACAGATCCAGTCGTCTCCAATAAAGGATCGGCACTTACTCTCTCAGAGTGAAGCCTCCTCTCCTCGTATGGCCACTCGTAGCAGTCGTGAGGCGCTCCAAGAGAAACAGAATAACAGTCCAATAACTAAACGTACCACCAGAGCATGTACTGGTAATAATAACGAGTCTAATGCTGCTACCAGCTCTGTATCTTGTACTGGGAGGGCTAACTCTCAGTCTGATGCTACAGGAGATACTGCTAGCAGTGTGACTGAGAATGAGAGGAACGCCGAGGAGTCTGTGTCTTCGAGAGAGCTCCCGCCGCCTTCAAACCATCCAAAGAAGCGAAGAAAATTGTCAAGGCCGTTACCACTACCCCTAGTCAACCAATCAGGGTAAGCAAGTCCATTAGAGGAGTATACATGTACATGTACATACTAGTTATTACAGCAACAGTTTTATTGTTGTTTTAATAACCGTTTAGTTATATTAACTTTTTTAATTATTTTACTATAAATTCCAGACCCACACAGTACATGTACATGTATATACATCATTACGTGCATAGTATACTGTAGCTTAATAGATTGTACATGTGTGCATGTGTACATGTTTGTGCCTAGTGCATAGTTCCTGTATTGTGTGAATTGTGAGAATGATTGTGTAGGTAGTGTACAGTCTAGTCACACAATGATGCCCTCAACCACACACACACGCTTGCACTAGCAAGTGGTACAGAGTCAACTTTATCTTTAATCTAATTTATAAGTGTTTGTTTGCATTGTGATATATTGTATCGGTACTTGATTTTATCTTCCTCCCTCTTCCTTTTCTCCTCTCTCCCCCTCTCCCTCCCCCTCTCTCCCCCCCTCTCTCTCTCAGTTTATCAATAATGGAGATTACATCTTCCAGAATATCCACTATGGGTCTCAGACGAAAGACTGTCCTGGACTCGCGTCATAACTCAACCACACTGCTATATGATACTTATGATGAGGTAATTGAGACATTTCTTCCTCTCCTCTCCTACCTTCTCTATATCCCCTTCCTTTCTCTTTCCTCCCTATCTATACAACATTATTAAACTTAACAGGAAATTTAGTGCAAAAAATTCCAATCAATGTGTACTATGACATTTAGTATTTTATAATAGTCATCATACAACTCCACTTAATTGATTATGATCATAAACACGCATGTACACGTATCAAATGACCTTCACTTCTGTATTTTCACGTGTACAGTACATGTACATTGTGTTCCAGTACACATACGTTGTAGTAATAATTATAGTTTTTATAGTACTACACTTGTGACTGTGTGCGTATAGTATATAATGGCTTCAATGAAATATTTTAAAACCTTTATTAGTATGTATCTAATTACATGTACATCCGTAGCACAATTTTGCAGCTGTTGCTTCGTGTACATATACATGTACATAGCGGCCATTCATTCATACAGTACATGTACATTACACTAGTACATGTTTTATAGTACAATGTACATGTACATATAGTGCTGTATGTACACATACTGAAGGGGCTGGAGAATTTCACATTAATTCACACTCTGCAAGTGTATATATTTTTGTTCTTGTTTATATATTCCTGGTATTTAATACTTAGGGACATGTACATATTATTATTTATTTATTGATTTTATTTATTTATTTATTGATGTCGCATAGCAGAGATGGCTCAAATCACTAGCTAATTGCAGTTTTTTTTTTTTTGAATAAAATTCCACAAAATTACTCATAATATTAGTAATAATTTTGTGCGTATGTACATGTACATGTACTTAGAAACTGTACCACTTTAGTCATGTGTACGTGATTTATCTTAAAATATATGATTACCTCAACGTCGCCTGGTGTTGGAGAGAGGCACTACAGTTATGAGAAAGTTGAGACAGTTGAATAATATTGAAATTACAAGCAGTGACCCATAATACCACCTGTCTCAGAATTCAATTCTCACGCATCCACATCATCTTCCTTCTTGCATACTAAGCTGTAATTGCCATTACACCCTATCCCTTTATCCATGGACAATCAATGCATGTTTTAGTACAAAAGTATGTCATTTAATTCCATCAAGTGCATGTAGTCACGCAATGACATTAAACATTGTTAGCCAAATCATGTTAGTTTGTTTTGTGATGGTATGACAGCCCCAGGAGGACACCTATGGGCCATTATCAGAAGCCACTACAACATCAAAAGAACACACACACACGCAGTGTTTAATCCTCCTCCAATCTTTACTACTAGAGGCTATTATAAAAGTACACATGATATAATAGTAGTGTTTATATACTGCCCATTGGGTATAAGTGTATTCATTTGACTAGAATTTCACTACAGGCCAGCTTGAACTTGTGATAAGGACTAGCTCTGACAAAGAGAGAGAGTAGTCATGCAGACACACACAAATGTAATTCACTGACTGACTTATATACACAATTAACAATGACAATGTACATGTACATGCGTGTGTGTGTGTGTGTGTATGATGTGCATTGTCTGTGGTGTATATTGTATATGTCACATCCCAGCCACTACTAGTCTACTATGCTGACTTTCTTTTAAGTTTAGCTATTTATGGCAGACTATTGGGTTGCATAATTACGCACTATTTTACACCTACATGTACATGTACATGAACTCTCTCTCTCTCTCTGTTCCTCTTAATTTATTCCTTCCTTCCTTTCTCACTCCTTATCTCTCTTATATACTTAGCTCTCTCTCTTCTCCCTCTCTCTCTCTCTCTTCTCTTTCACTCTATTCTTAATAAGTTGTTTTCCCTCACTAATACATGTGATATGTAAAGAATCCTATTATTTCTATTGCTACTAACCTTACTGTACATATTTTCACACAGTACATGTACGCATGTACATGTATATATTCCTCCTTGATTGCCTAATCACCTTGTACATGTACTTTTAATGTCTTCTGTGTTGCATTCTTTGCCTCACATTGAAATGCAGTAAATAAATTATTCGAATCTCTCAAATATAAATATTTGTATAATTGTTTGTCAACTGAGAAATGCGAACTAGTCCTACGTTGCACAATCTCCATGTAACCATGTATAAGTGATCAAAAGGTCTAAGCTCTGTATCACTAATCATAAATTAGCCTGTAGCAACCTTACTCTATGCATATACAATTGTAGTTCCCTATTCTTAATGTACATGTACATGTACATGTATGTTCATAAAATTAATGCTTATTCATCGAATGCATACTCTTCATTGATATAATGCTTGACAATAAATTAGTGACATTTCTATGTGTACATTATTATCGAGATTTAGTACTTGTTGCTATCGGTCTCTGTTTGTTTTTATTTGTGTTGTATTGGCAGTCCCTTGTTTTTATTGTACACGTACCTGTATTGGCGTGTATATCAATTGCTAGCTTTACAATTTCATTGTTGGGGTAATAATGTTATTTAATAATAACGTCTTGTATGAACACTTCCACTATGTCACGGAAATTTTTTTTCATTTAACACATACCCATATATGAACATAATAGCCATATATGTACATGTACACTCCATTGTGTTGAGGTTATTCTCCCTTCATGTTAAAAAGGAATTGGCTTCTTATAATGTTTACTCTGTCTGGTTTTGTCCTGTGTATTGTTTTCTTACATATGGCCTTGTACACAATAATTGTTAGGTACATAATGTAATTGTAGAATTACAATTCTCTACTCATAGTAGCGCTCCCTTATCAATACATTGTGGTCATCATTATTATTATTTTAATCCTATGGACTATTATTACATTAATTAGTGGTTTTATTACTCTTATTTGTGTTATTGTATTTCATATCAAATGTGTATATGTGATAGATTTACATTACAGCAAGTGACGAATGCCTCATCTCTCTCTCTCTCCCTTTCTGCTCCTTCTTTAATCACTCTCCTTGTTATTTTATGATTATTATTCCTTATTTTGTACACACATGTGCATACACATAGGGCCCGACGAATACCTCTAGAGCAAGTATTAGGGTAAACAATTCAAAGTTTATTGCTCCAAAACTGAAACTGTCCAAGAAAGACAAGGCATTATAGTAGTATCTCTCTCTCTCTCACACACAGTTTTCTTTTTTCTTTGTTTAGACCACTTGTAGCGAAATTGTTTCTGATATACATCAATACATAATGATAATAGTTATAAAAAATAAAAATAATAATATATAATACAATAAAATCATGAATACAAGAGATGGAGAGGGAGCTAGACAAAAATAAAGATATAAACACAAAGTCTGTTGTGGTTATTGTCAATATAATATATATAGTGCTTATACTGTCTGTGCGTATAAAAATGATTCATAAAGTCAATATGCAAGTAAGAGAGACCAAGACTGACAATACTAATATTGTTAGTGTGTAGGATTGGACCATCCCTGAGGAAGGTAGTTCAATACGGATGGTTGGTAAGGGATTATTTTTAGTAGAAGAGGAAGAGAGAGAAGCAGAGGAGGAGGTGCTAGTCGCTAATGTCGAAGAGAGAGACTTGGAAGATGATACTGAGGTAGTATAGGAGGATCCTTGTTGCGTGGCATGTGTTGAAGTAGTTAGAGTCCATCCTTCACTGCTACTGATAAGAGTATTTGTAGTAAGAGGTTTATCAGTGGAGCTAGGATGAATGACAGATGGTGCAGTGCTGCTACTGGTAGTGATAGTACCATTATGTATATTGATACCATTATCTGGTGGGTAGGGCTCTGGCGTGATGTATGCCCCAGTCCTAGGAAGTGCTAGCAAATCTTGAGCAATGCCACGATAGAGGGATATTATGGAGTAGGTATTAGTGTATATAACATCAGTCTGACATAACTGAGTGAGGGTAGCGCTCTGGGCTGTGTTTCTGGGATCGAAATTAAGTAAGAATCTTGAACATTGAATCAAAGCATTCCACGAGTCATTGCTGCAGGATTGCGATCGTATTTGGCTGGTTTCATAATGCATGAAACTCGGACAGCCGGTCTGGCACAAACCCTCACTCTCGTCCACCAAATCAGCCGGTAGTCTCAGTACTACACTCAGGTGCTCTCCCTCTTTCCGTATAACCACAGTCAGGTTCAGCCATGGTGCTAGTATGCTTGCCGTCGTCTTAGAGGAATCGACATTAACCTCAAGCGGACTGTATATGTCTTTCACGGCTGAGTTACTTGAGCTGACGTCATCGGGTAAAGGAGAATCTGCTGTAGCAATGTAGTTGAATGTTGCTCCTAGCGTGCAGTCTTTTGACCTGAATGTTATGTTAACCTAATGAGAGAAGACAATAAGCCACTGATAATGATGGAATGAGACAGTTATTGGTTATGTGTTTACGTGTAGGTAAAGGTGATGGTGCGCATGCTCTGACGACAGCTTTTACAGCTGCAATAGTAATGAGTCAATTATGCTAGTATAAACTGATCAATGAGCTGAGAGAGAGTGTGAAGAGTAATAGAAGTGATAAGTATTACAAGGGCACAATGCATTAACAGTGCATGCCATGTACCTGTCAATTACATAAAAACAGCTATTGATATGCAAAACAGTTAAACCACACAATTGGGGAGTGAAAAAGTTTTGTCAATAATTGCCTCCTCACCCCACACACACACAAATGCACTCTCTTTCATGAAATGTGATATAATGTACTACACAATTTCTGAGAGTAAAATTTCTGAGAGTAGTATCTACATGATGTTGATGGTATTTGATGCAGTGTCTATTGAACCAAAGAGTGGTCACCACCTGTGTGGAGGACACGACGATTTTTCAAGGTTCAATGCACTGGCAGCTAAACCAAACACTTTCATCTTTATCGAATTATACTGACAGAGGAATGGTGTTGTTCTAACATGTATTGACAATATGCGCAATCAAATGCTGTACAAGTGTACACGGCTCTCCCTTTCTCATTGTAAATCTAATAACGGTACTACATTAGCGTGAGGGTGTACACGTTACAGGAAATGATAATGATATAAATAGGAATCCATGATATAAGACATGAGGCATGTGTGCCCTACTATACTTGTATACAGTTCCTACCTTATTAGGTTAATAATAGAATTTACAATTACTGTATAAGTACATAATTGAAGTACCTTGTTAAGTCCAGTGTATAGGCCGAATGGTTTGCTCTTGACTTGTCCAGTCACTTCGATACTGACGTCCGGGTGCTTCAGTAGGTACCATGATCCGGGCAGTATGCAACTACCCGTAGACCTGTTGAATCTCTCTAAGTGAGAGTAAGTGAAGAGGCTGCATTGTCTCAGCGCGTGATACTGGTGGGGCTTGCATAGAATCCCATGAGATGGCGAGACTTCTGGTTTGTACTCTGCTGTCTTTGGCTGTGAGACCACTCCTGAAGAGAACGCTGGTAAATGACATGGAGTTGGTGTAGGATTAGCAGTTTCAGTACTGCTGCTACTACTGGTAGAGGAAGGCGCTGGTGTAGGTTGCGAGCAATCCCTCGTTTTTTTATTGTTTTTCAGCGTTACTTTAAATATTTGCAGATCTACATTTCCGCCCTCGCAAGGTTCTATGCATAACTCTGCTTCTGTGATGTAAGAGCAAAACTGTTCGTTTGTGATATTACGAGTTATGTTAGTGTTTTGTTCGTATATTCTCTTACAGCTTTCCCAGTCACAGGAATCTATAGAGAAAAGAGAAAGAGAGAGAGAGAGAGAAGAAAAAGAAGAAAATGAGAATTCAAATGTTTTGATGTGTGACTCATCATTAATTAAGTGTATGTTGTCTAAACTTTTCACAGCAAGAGAAAGACCAGTGGGGAATTTATTTAGCATTCCTTTCCCCTCACCAATCCACTGATCTTTTCCCCTATCAATACACACACAGTAGTGCAAAACCACAAATTGACTGTCAACACATTTATCCATTATCTCCAGTAGAGAGGTTGTCCTCTGGGCTGAATTCTTACAACTAATTATTTTTTTGTGCTTTGCACTGCACATCACCAACAGCAGCCACTAAAATGAGTCAACAGGCAGGATAGGCATCTCAGTCTCATCCTAATTTTTATCATACCATTCTCAGTGGATTCTCTTCTCAAGAGGCTGTCATTTACTAGCTGCACATTCATATAGTGTGTTACATGTATTGCACTAAGGAATCGCAATGTTTCTACTAACAAGCTAACTAGCTTGTTGAAGGTGTTGCAGACTGACCTGCACAAGAGACTGAACCAGCAAGAAACACCAGAGCGATCAAGAGATAATAAAGTCTTGCCTCGTAGCAGGAGCCCATACTCTCGGGTAATGCAGTAACAATCAGTCTTGTCCTCAAATCTATAAAGATAATGAGAGTTTGTTGTCTCTCTGCCGGATCAACTGTCGAGCAGTTTTTGAGATGCGAGAGATATAAAGCATAAAAATATTAGTGTGTGGGAGTGCACGAGCTAATATGGGTTGGGTTATAGGCGGGGTCACAAAAGAGGAGGAGACGTGTGGGCGAAGGCAATTTTTCACATCCTTACAGAATCTGCCATCTTGAGACAGAATAAAGACTAATAATAGGAGATTACATGCTCTGAGGGATGGCCGAGAAGAGAAAAAAGCCGAAGCCCTCACCACTTAGTCTGCAGTCTTCGGTAGAGACACTGGACTCACCTGATGGCAGTATCCCAGATAAAGTTCCAGACCCCTCAAAGTAAATTATAATTATTAATGATTATTGTTATTATTATATTTCCAGGCCCTCTGCTGCACCGGAGCCCATGACAGAGCAGCAAGCGTTACAGATGAAGACTTTTTTGGGTCAAAAGGAAGAGTTTCTCACCCACGGGGAACTCAAAGACAATCAGTTTGAGCGACTCTCAGAGCTCGGCCATGGGAATGGGGGCGTCGTCTTAAAAGTGATGCACAAGCCAAGTGGTATCATAATGGCAAGGAAGGTTTGTGTATTTGTATATGCATGCATCTGCACCTACCACATGTGCCCGTACAATTATACATGTACATGTACTTGCAAGCTAATACAATTAAATGGTAATAGCAATGGGATATAAATATAATGGATAAATTGAATTGCGCCGCATGTTTTTTATTTATCAGTAATTATTATTGATAATAATAAATTAATGTTAATGGTTAATCATCCAAGCAGTATAAGTGTACTGAAAAGGACAAACACCAGCTGCAAATTACATATTTACAATTTTATTTGCCATATAGGCCGTTTATAATAATTATTATTATTGGTGCTATTATTGTTATTCTTTATTTTATTATTATAGATGATATTGCTTGATATAAAACCGACCGTCCGTAATCAAATCATGAGAGAACTCAAGGTTCTTCACGACTGCAATGCCTCGTACATTGTAGGATTTTTCGGGAGCTTCCATGTCAATAATGAGATATCAATACTCATGCAACACATGGTAAGCATGTGAACACATGGTAAACATGTGACACTGTATACTTTTTAATTACATACAATATACGTGTACATGTACATGCTAAAATTGCTTGCATGTATGTGTATGTACATGTGTATTACATACTTAAAAATTATAAGTGCTTTGTTTGTATGTACATGTACATGTGTGTTACATGTGCTCTTATTTAGGATGGCGGTAGTCTTGATTTAGTTCTGAACACTGGAAGGATTCCTGTGGACATGATTGGACAAATAACAGTAGCTGTAAGTCATTATCTATTTACATCTCTTTTTGTCCTTTTTTTCACTTTTTTAAAAAACCAATGGACTCCCTATTTCCTTTAAAATGCTCTTTTACTTCTCTCTCTCCCTCCCTTTCTCTCGGTTCCTTATTAGGTATTAAATGGTTTGAAATATTTACGAGACACTCATCACATTATTCATAGAGGTACGATATTAATTAAGGGAGTGGGTGAGATACGTGACATATATTGAAAGCAAAAATTATTATGGCACTCGTATAAAATTTTAATTCAATATGTAAATTGGATTTAAGATGTACATGTATTAATATACACTGCACTTTACTCTGCAATTTCCTCTCTCTCTCTCTCTCTCTCTCTCTCTCTCTCTCTCTCTCTCTCTCTCTCTCTCTCTCTCTCTCTCTCCCTTTCTCTCCCTAGATGTAAAGCCGTCTAATATTTTAGTAAACTCAGAGGGAGAGATCAAGTTGTGTGATTTTGGTGTCAGCGGTCAGCTCATTAACTCAATGGCTAATTCCTTTGTTGGCACTCGGTCATATATGGCAGTAAGTTACAATACTTTATATATGCTCTTTCATCTTTCAATGCTGCTGTAGTGAATGAAGAGAGAGAGAGAGAGAAAGGGTGGGAAAAAAAGAGAGTAATATTGTTTTCCACCTGATGTACAAACATACATATGCAGCCCATTGCAGAAATGGTGTTCCTGTGTGAATTAAGACATATCATTTTAGGGTTTTAATATAAAAAAGGAAATGAAATAAGTAACAAAGCAATAAGTAAAAAGCACATGTGTAGTCAACTGTAGGAAATCCTATGGTCATGTGGTTGAATGATGTATAGTCATTAGCAGGTGTTACTTTTAAACGAGGGACTAAGCCCTGTATACATGTGCAAATTTAGCTATTGCGTGATAAATGTACGTGTACATGTAGGTGTTGATTTCTTGGTAATTAACAATTACATTAGACATTAGTGGCTGTATACATATTACATTATAATGCATACTTCTATTAATCTTTTAATTTACTCTAAGTTACTGTTATAATATGGTTTATGACTCCCTCTGGTTCCTCTAATTAGTGCTACATTCTAACTCCGCTTCCTTCAGTCCTCATGGCTGCTATTACAAAGTGATTGATGAACTACCTGATGTCATCTCTTTGTATGGTCTAGTCACTTTTGTCTATCTTGTATCAAATATGTGTGTCTAGTAAATGCCCACGTATTGGTTATAGGCTACTTTGTTACTGTTTGGACAGCTTTTGAGTTTTGCAAAATGTCATATAATCCTACACACATCATCCCCCTACTCTGTTTCTATATCAGGATTTCCTACAAGATTTTGGCAATGCAGCTCCTTGTCAGACCTTGTACTATAGTACAGGGTTTTTTTTAACAAAAATGAAAAAAAAAGAATCCCCCATTTTAATAATTTTTTTCTGATGCGTATACATGTTCTTATGTTGTGTAGCAAGTTTGAGCTGATTCCAATCAAGTTTAGATTTTTAATGAATTTTCAAAGTTACTCAAAAATCACGCCAAACTCCCTGTACTATAGTACAGGATTTTTGGTCAAATTTCACCAAAAACGACTAGGAGAGAATTCTCCATTTTTATAACTTTTTCTGATGCATATACATGTTCTTATGTTGTGTAGCAAGTTTGAAATAATTCCGATCAAAATTAGATTTTTTACGAATTTTTGAAGTTATTAAAAAATTGGGCCAAAGACCCTGTACTATAGTACAGGGTTTTTGACCAAATTTTGCCAAAAATGACTAGGAGAGAATTCTCCATTTTTATAACTTTTTCTGATGCATATACATGTTCTTATGTTGTATAGCAAGTTTGAGCTGGTTCCAATCAAGTTTGGATTTTTTACAAACTTTTAAAGTTGCTCCGAATGCCATGTACTGTATTGTAGTGCTTGTCAGCTCATGAAGCTCATGCTGTTTAGCTCACTTAGCATGCTTTGTGGGGAAACCCATTTCTATGTAACTTGTAACTTTTATCCTTCTTTTTTCTCCTCTCTCTCTCTCCTTTAGCCTGAGAGACTACAAGGAGAGGTCTATTCAGTATTATCTGATATATGGAGTCTTGGTGTGTCGCTCATTGAAATGGCTATAGGGAGTTACCCCATCCCTGCTCCGCCCAAAGAGCAGCTTGACGAAGAAATGAGAAATCCACCTGCAGGTATTTGATTAATAATTTCATTATGGTGCGCATTAGCATTAGTATAAGGGTTAATTATAGATAAGGGTTAATTATAGGCCCTTATAATGAATATAAAGTTATTATCATTTGTAATAATCATGTTTATTTTTTGGTTGCTAACAGAGTCACATGATGTTTATAGTTGTTGTCATGTTTGTTCGTCTCTCACTCTTTTTGTGACATTCTTAGTGCCTTTGTGGTTCTCGAGGCGGTAATTTATAGTAAAACCACCTGCAGATAACTCCCATGGGCAACTATGGTGTACACTTGTAGCTGGAAATCACACCCTAATACATCAGATGTGACATATATGCAATACCAGTGTGAGAGGGAGTTGGAATTATTTAATGAGTAAAGATTGATGCTTTTATGGTGATGGTCGTGACATACTTTTAATTGGTGTACATGAATTTTACATTAGTCCATTACATTTTGTGCGCGTGTGAATGCTACACATGTATATCTCAGTATATCTCAGTATATGTAGACTGTATAGTGTATGTGTGTAACGTAATAACATTATGCGATCATTGATTGATGGAACTTGATAGCGTTTTATAGTATTTGTGTCATGTTCCTTACTCATTGTGATGTACTAGTCTTAGGCATGTAGTCCAGCTGCTGATTGTTGTATGGGCTATCTCTTTCCCTCCCTTCCCTCCCTCTCCTCTCTGATACACCTGTTTATTGAAAAATAGAGAAAGACATGTATTTGTACATGCACATGTACATAGATAGACAGTCTGGTCATATGCTGTTGATTTTTTGTTATTATAACGACAAACTATTTTTAATAAAGTATGTATGCTGGGATGACTATGGAGTTTGATGTGCAATATTTATGATACATTGATATTATTTGTTTTGTGTACGTTGCAACAACCCGAATTATAGTTCATGAATTTCTTTTGATGTATAACCTAATTTACCAAATATGGTGTCATCTTCTCATGCTGTCATCATGGCTGTATCCACCACTCCTTAGTAACGGCCGCCCTTTTTCTCCCTCTCTTATCTCAGTGTGTTTATTAGTTTGATTCAATGTCTAATGTAATTGGCAAGCATAGTGTATATATGTATGTATACATGTGTGTGTATGTTTTGTGTGTGTTTTACAGTTGAAGCATGTGCTGATTGCCCGTAGCCTCTAATCTCATTTAAACACAAAACAAATCAAATCAAATCATAATAATTGAGCATAATCACTCTGCCATATAGTGATGGCTGTAGGCAATTTGAAGACTCTAAAATCTCAATCAGCATCATTGTTTTTGTCAATGTTGTGTGATTCAAAAGATGTGGAATTTCTCACCTTTTCATGAGTATTTAATTTACAAATGATCACTTCCATGTATAACATGTACATGTATATTTTATTGCTTAATGCAAATATGTATCTTATTTGTATTACATGCTCGTGAATTCACTCTCTTTTCTACTCCTTTCTCTCTCTTTCTCTCTCTTCATTATTCTAGGTTCTTTGCCTCCTCGCCGGAATCCTTATGCTTCACATGCTAACGCTATACGTATGCCAGTTTTTGAATTGCTACAAATGATATTCACTGATGTAAGTATATTATATACAAATACTTGATGCCTTTTTTAAAATGAATTGGATCCCCTAAAGTTAGCCATAGACAATAGATAGTACATGTATTTTGCCAAAAAAGACTAGGAGAGAAGTCTTCATTTTTTATTTTATTAAATTTTCCAATGCATGTCTTAAATCCGGTCAAAATTGGATTTTTGTGAATGTTAAAAAAAAGTTGCTTCGAAATTTGGCCAATGACCATGTGTGACCAAGTGGCACGTGCTCTTGAGCAATAATTGTTATTCTGTTTGGGGTTGCTCATTAAGCATTAATGGACTAATGTCCTTTTATGCACTAATTGCGGCTAGCTTGAGCTTTTTGAATTTAATCAGTTCTCCAATGACCTGCTTCTAATTGGCATAGAAATCACAAATAGAGTTATAAGTGTGGTCTTTCTCCTACACATGTAGCCTATAATATATTTATCATAGTAATTTGTAGTAGGAGTATTGCATTGTTTTTTCTCCTCCTCCACCTCTCCCCCTCTCTCTTTCTCTTTTTTGTCTCTTCCTCCTCTTTTGTCTGTATCCCCCCCCTCGCTCTATTATAGGATCCACCACGTTTGCCTGATGAGTATTTTGATGACAAATTCAAATCTTTTGTTGCTTTATGGTAAATCTACATTTATACATGTTGGTTCATTATAATTATATTTTGTAGTTTACAGAAAGATGTTAAAAAAAGAGGAACTCTATCAGCATTATTAGTAAGAAGAAGATAAGGAGAGGGAGAGAGAGAGAGTGGGTGGGTGGAAGCAGTGTACTATAGTACAGGATGCTCCGACAAAAATTACTAAGAGAGAATACTTCATTTTTTATGATTTTTCTGATGCTTGTTCATGTACTTATGTTGTGTAGAAAGTTTGAACTGATTCCAATCAAATTTGGATTTTTATGAATTTTTGAAGTTGCTCAAAAACCAGGCCAAAATAGTACAGGGATTTTTGGGAGAAATGGGGAGAGAGGAAGAGAAGGAGGGTGGGAGAGAAAGCTTTTAAATTAGAAAAAGTTAAAATGAGATGTTTTTAATGCTTGAGATTGCTTGTAATTTTGATGCTTTTTTCCATAATTTTGATGCTTTTTTCAATATAGGAGCATAAATTTGTAGAGGAATCCTCTAAAGCAAAGGTTGACTTTGCTTCTTGGGTCAAAAGGACAATTGATGCAAATGCACTGATAGGCACACCAACTTCAATCACATAATATGTGTGTCTTCAAAGCACATACACACACCATCTCACTCTCTCCAGTAGCAGCTGCTATTGTGGAGAGGTATTCTATATTAAAATAGATATCAACATAGACTATTATTATTATTATTATTATTATTATTATTATTATTATTATTATTATTGTTGTTGTTATTATGTGAAGAATTATTGTTATTATTTTCCATATCACTGAAATTTTTCAATTTTTCTTTAATATCTTTCTTTTTTTGTTTTATCAACAGACTAGCAATCAAGTTGTAATAATGAAAATAATAATTATGTGATATTAATATTGTTTATTTTAAAAATTAAAACAAGAAGGCAAAATAAATCAGAGGGTAGCATAAATTTGATACCATAAATTCATATTGAAAATGCTTGCTACATTTTATTATAAAAGTATTTTTTTCTAATAAAAATTAATATAAAGATTATAATTTAAAAAATTAAACCACAACATCCGGTTTCATAATTGATTTTTAACCAAAAAATTATAATTGATTTTTTTAACAATAAAAATTATAATTAAACCACAACATCCGGTTTCATAATTGATTTTTAGCCAAAAAATTATAGTTAATTTTTTTTGACAATAAAAATTATAATTAAACCACAACATCCGGTTTTATAATTAATTTTTAACAAAATTTATAATTAAACCACAACATCCGGTTTCATAATTGATTTTTAACCAAAAATTATAATGGATTTTTTAACAATAAAAATTATAATTAAACCACAACATCCGGTTTCATAATTGATTTTTAGCCAAAAAATTATAATTGATTTTTTTGACAATAAAAATTATAATTAAACCACAACATTCGGTTTCATAATTAATTTTTAACAAAAAATTTATAATTAAACCACAACATCCGGTTTCATAATTGATTTTTAACCAAAAAATTATAATTGATTTTTTTAACAATAAAAATTATAATTAAACCACAACATCCGGTTTCATAATTGATTTTTAACAAAAAATTTATAATTAAACCACAACATCCGGTTTCATAATTGATTTTTAACCAAAAATTATAATTGATTTTTTTAACAATAAAATTATAATTAAACCACAACATCCGGTTTCATAATTGATTTTTAACCAAAAAATTATAATTAAACAACAACATCCGGTTTCATAATTGATTTTTAACAAAAAATTTATTTACAATAGATTTTTTAACAAAAAAATAATTAAGGCACAACATCCGGTTTTATAATTGATTTTTGTTTTGACACGCCCACATAAAAATGGCGTCTGAGTTGACTGTACAAGATTTGGATGTCGAAGAGCTGAATGTGACTTCTGCCGTTCTGATGGCTGGAGCACAGCACTACGGGGTGCAATGTAAAGAAAAGAACGATAATTTCATGAGATGCAGGACGGAATTGAAGGACCCAAGGAAATGTCTCACAGAAGGGAAAGAGGTGTGGTCACTTTTGTTGCATAATTATCTAGATAATAGAGTAAATCAAATATTTATAATTTAATTGAAGTGCACCAATCCTTTTGTACTCTGCCTAAACCCCAATATTTGAAGCGTATAATTTGAGCTAATTCCGATTGTATTTTACTAAGCTATGACATGTCACATGTGATTTTAAATCTTCACTCAAACTTTTAGGTTACTAAGTGTGCCTTTGAGTTCTTTCGTAAAGTCAAAGGAGCGTGCAACGAGGCATTTACTGAGCACTGGACTTGTCTAGATTTTAATAATCAGGACTATAGTCTTTGTAGGAAGACCCAGGCAACATTTGATGGCTGCATGAGCGAAAAACTTAACATGAAGAAACCTGATGTTAAAAAATAGACTCTATCATATGCACTTCAATTTGTTACAGCTTGACTGTTGTTTTTGGCACATGTTATTATACACATACATAGGGCGTATTATTAGTGTATTTATTTAATATCATTAGTTAATTCCTGTATACTTTTGATTGATACATATGTGTTGGCATTGCTAATCTTTGCTTGAAGTTACTAGCATAACTTGAGACTTATAATGTGGAGGACAATTATGATCTTGCTCTCTATGACATGCTTCCTTCTCCAATTATCACAAATAAGAGCTTATCCTGGCAGCAATGGTGATGCTACTACTGGAGAGGAGAGGACCAAAATCATGGTAGATCAAAGAATTCAAACAGCAAAAATGCCAGATGAAACTAAAGTAGATCTAATGGATGACCCAAAATCATGCGAGGAGGTGAAGATGAGGGATACCTCAAGCCCTTCTGGTTATTACCAATTCAGTAATAATGGCAGGAGGTTCAGTGTTTACTGTCACATGGGTCAAGTGTGCAATATGCCTGGCCCTTGGACTAGGCTAGCTTACCTGAACATGACAGATCCAGCTCAGTCATCGTGTCCCCAGGCATTGAAACTTTATCAAGAAGGACCAGTGAGAGCTTGTGGCAGGAAGAAAGGATCTGGTTGTGATGCTATTATCTTCCCTTCTCATAAACTGCAATACTCTAAAGTTTGTGGCCGTGTTTTAGGATACCAATATGGATCAACTGATGCCTTTTATAAAAGACCAGACTCTGCATTGAATGAAATTGATGCTGCTTATGTTGATGGTATCAGTATTACTCACGGTTACCCTCCTCGTAAGCACATCTGGACATTTGCAGCTGGACTATCAGACAAGCATAACCTTAGAAAAGGGAACTCTGCTTGCCCATGTGCTTCAGAGAGCGATCAAAAGGCTCCAAGTTTTGTTCATAATGATTATTATTGTGAGTCTGGTAATTCTGAGTCTCGCATATTATCAAAATTATTTGTCAATGACATGCTTTGGGATGGTAAAGGTTGCAGCTATCATGAGCAGGATTGCTGTGACAAAGGAGGATGGTTTTTTAAAGACCTTGACAAAGAAATCAGTGACCATATTGAGCTTAGAGTATGCAGTGATCAAGTAGCTAGTAATGAAGATACTCCGATTAGCTTGTATCAGATTTATGTCAAATAAACGATTCGAGCTAATTTTCTTAGCAAGTACATTTGAACAATACATAATAATTAGACAGCTAATTTTTGTTCATAGGCTCTACAATTTTTCAAAATAATTTATTTTAGATTTAATAATCATCATGCATGTAGATTTATATAAATAATGTAAAGTATTGATGAGTACAAGAGCCCATTCCTCTGTAATTATTGAATCACTGTTATGATGATTTAGTTTGTAAAATCATCAAAATCATCAATAAATTAGTTGATTCTGGTTGTTATTACAATTCAGCAAATCCTAAATAAAACCAATGCCATGTACCAAATCATTTTAGAGGCAAAGTCAGGATAATCATGAAGCTGGAAAACCTTGTTACATTTGCTGTCCTATTTGCTGTATTTACAAGTGTAAGTGCTGATGATTCAAGGAGGCCACCCTCTCCTTCTTCTTGCCATGAAATAAAAAAAGCTAATCCCAGAAGAGGGTCTGGCATCTACTACATGAAAATTGAAAATGAGGTCCTCCCCGTTTACTGTCATATGGATCTATTGTGCAATTCCAATGATGGTTGGACTAGGATTGCGAGCCTTAATATGAACGACAAGAGTCAGTCTTGTCCTTCTGGTCTTACGCTCTACACATCTGGAAATATCAGAGCTTGTGGCAGGAGGAGTCGTGCACCAGATGCAAGCTGTGACTCTACCATATTCTCTTCAATGGGCATAAGATACTCGCAGGTTTGTGGTAGTGTCTATGCATATCAATATAATTCGCCTGATGCTTATGCTATTTATGCTGGAAAAACTAACATTCAATCTCGTATTGATTCTGCATACATTGATGGTGTCAGTATCACTCATGGGACACCAAGGAAGCATATTTGGTCACTGATGGCTGCACAGTCAGAAAAAGTAACAAGACATACAAAAAATTATGTTTGCCCATGCACTGCAGGTAATGCACAACCAAAACTACCAAGTTTTATAGGTAATGACTATTTCTGTGAGTCGGGAAATAGTGGCACTACCTTTGTAGGATATCATACAACTGATCCTCTGTGGGATGGCAAGAATTGTCGCAATAATGAAGTAAATTGTTGCAAAGCACATGGGCTACCTTGGTTTCATAAGAATCTTGGCTATACCACTAATGATGATATTGAGCTTAGAATATGTGGAGATCAGTCTCAAACTGATGAGGATGCTCGTGTGTTCTTTATTGATATGTTTGTCAAGTAAAGATTAACATACAAAATTTTGAAGATTTTGTCGTAGAGGAAGAAAATATGTAGATAAATTAAGACATTAATTATAATTATAATACTTATATGATTATTGTAGTCAATTTTGAACAATCAATAATTATTGATAATAGTAGCGGTTACCTTTTTATGTTGTGTCAACAGTGTCAAGGCTTATATAAGGCCATTCTTTGCTGCTACTGTAGGTTGACATGAAGTATATAGATAGATCTATTAATGAATAAATTTGGATTAGTTCAATACAACATTGCTTATACACACATAAGCTAATTTAAAGATTATTTGTTATTTTTGTGTGTTGAAATCATCAAGATTAATTAGACCTCATCATTTGATTGTTATTACAAGCTCTAATTAAAATTTATTTTCAGTTCATAAAATTAGCCGGCCACCACATCCAGTGTAGGCAAGCAGCAGTAAAGTATGATGCTCTCATTGAAAAAATATATCGTTGCCTTTGTTGCCTTGTTGTCAGTTTATGCAAGAGTAAGAGCCACTGCTAATGATGAAAGCTTTACCAGTGTAAACTATCAAGAAGAAGTATCATTGGATCATATTGGCTCACATGGTCATATGCAGCATGAACCACCACTCTCCTGTCGCCAGATGAAAAAAAATGATCCCACTACAAGATCAGGTACTCATTATGTAATGTTCAGAGGTGAATATATCCCTGTACATTGTAATATGGATGTCCTCTGTGACTCTGATGATGGATGGACTAGAATTGTATACATCAATGCACAGCAATCCTGTCCTTCTGGTTTTACACTCTACACATCAGGAAATACTAAGGCTTGCGGTAGAAGAAGCGGTGCTCGAGATGGAAGCTGTGACTCTACCACATTCTCTTCAATGGGCATAAAGTACTCACAAGTTTGTGGTTTTGTCTATGCATATCAATATAATTCGCCTGATGCTTATGCTATTCATGCTGGAAAAACTAACATTCAAACTCGTATTGATTCTGCATACATTGATGGTGTCAGTATCACTCATGGGACACCAAGGAAGCATATTTGGTCACTGATGGCTGCACAGTCAGAAAAAGTAACAAGACATACAAAAAATTATGTTTGCCCATGCACTGCAGGTAATGCACAACCAAAACTACCAAGTTTTATAGGTAATGACTATTTCTGTGAGTCGGGAAATAGTGGTACTACCTTTGTAGGATATCATACAACTGATCCTCTGTGGGATGGCAAGAATTGTCGCAATAATGAAGTAAATTGTTGCAAAGCAGGGATGCCGTGGTTTTATAAGAATCTTGGTTATACCACTAATGATGATATTGAGCTTAGAATATGTGGAGATCAGTCTCAAACTGATGAGGATGCTCGTGTGTTTTCGGGTGAAATATACGTCAAGTAAAAATCCACAAGATTTTGAAGGTTTCATTAAAAAGAACATTAGTGACTAGATCTAGTGTATATACTGTATATAATTTTCTACATTCATTTTCAACATTACTTGAAGTAGACAGCATAGATTATTTCAATAATGCATTGCTCAATTTGGAGCAATTTAAGCATGTATATGTAAATATCACAGCATACAAGAGCCAATTAAAAGATTATTTGTTACTCTTGTACATAATTATGAGCTTGCAATCATCGAAATTAATTGGATTCTACATCATTTGATTGTTATTACAAGCTGGCTTAAGTCTACAATTAAAACTTAGTTTTCAGTTCATAAAATTAGATATCACACTAGTATATTTTAGCAAACACTCCAGTGCAGACTGCAGTGCAGGCAGTAAAGTATGATGCTCTTGATGCAAAAATATATCATTGCCTTTGTTGCCTTGATGTCAGTTTATGCAAGAGTAAGAGCCACTGCTAATAATGAAAGCTCTACCAGTGTAAACTATCAAGAAGTAAAACACTCATCAATGGGCATTGGCTCACATGGTCATATGAAGGATCAATCAACCGTCTCCTGTCGCCACATGAAAAAAATTGATCCATATAAAGGAACAGGTCCTTACCACATACCCGTCAATGGTCAATATATCCCTGTACATTGCAATATGGATGTCCTCTGTGACTCTGATGATGGATGGACTAGAATTGCATATCTTAATATGAATGACAAGACTCACACTTGTCCTCCTGGTTTTTATCAATTCACAGCTGGAAGCAAGAGAGCGTGTGGCAGAAGAAGAAATGCTGTAGGTGGAATATGCGAGTCTGCGTACTTCTCTTCATTGGGCATAAAGTACTCACAGGTCTGTGGCCGTATTTATGGATACCAATATAAATCACCTGATGGTGTGCACAATGGCAACAGTTACACTCAAAATCGAATTGATACTGCATATGTTGATGGTGTAAGCGTTACTCGTGGATACCCCCGTACACACATTTGGACTTTTGTTGCTGGATATTCAGAAAATAAAGGAAAACCTGTAAGCAATTGTCCATGCACAACAAGCAGCCAACAAAAAATACAACCTTTTGTCGGAGAGAGTCATTACTTTTGTGAATCCGGTAATACTGGAACTGGGGCTCCAAGTGGTATGATCACAAACGATCCGCTCTGGGATAATGGCAAGTGTCGTACTCATGAGGGAAAATGCTGCAATGTAAATGGTATCCCGTGGTTCTATAGGGATCTAGGTGATGAAACTGATGATGACATTGAAGTGAGGTCATGTGCTGATCAGGCCCAGTCTGATGAAGATGCTCCTATTTATTTTGTAGAGATTTACGTGAAATAGGTCAAGTAGCAAGTGAAGATTTGAACTTAATTTGCTGTAGATATAATCATATTATTATTATTCTTTTAGGCTGTTTTACTTCACAGTTACTTCTTGTAAAAATATTTGTTAAAAACTTTAGAATGACTGACACGTGGCCCAAAATACTTTCAACTTGCAATAAAATGAAAAGATCTTTAGAGCGAAAGAATATAATTATAATAGACTATTATAATAATTGTTATATACAATTAATCATTCAAAATTCAAGCTATAAAAGTGTGTGCATGCAAATTTCAAATGCAGCTAGCTATTACTGAGGCCTATTATATAGATGGTAGATCCAACGAGTGTACTTTAACAGTACCATCAGCTCCACAAGAATAAAGGCAACCACTGGAATCAACCATCATGTCCATAACGCCTTCATCAGCTCTGAACAACCTTGCTCTAGTATGCTTCCCTTGTATAGAAGTGAGCTCAGCCACAGTTGATAGATCCCAGACTTTAATTTCACCATCAGCTGAGCCAGTTATAAAATATCCATCGCTATCATTGATGACAATACAAGACACTGCCGCCGAGTGGACTACTGGTTTAGACACAACTGCCTTCGATCTGACATCATATATACCTAAAAACCTCCAAGTTAAGAGTGCTAACAAAAAATGCTGCATTATTCATTATTATTGTTAATTTTGGCAGCACTGTATTTCTATATATATTCATTTGGAAATTTTAATTTAATACACATGGGCACTACTAATAATTGGCAGCAATTTTGACTGTAATTGCCAAAATTAACCCAGGCTACATGTATATACGTATGACATACACGTATACAAGCACATGTAGTAGGATACAAATCTCTCCACGCTTTCCTCCAGATATCAACGTTTGTTTTTTCCTTGAGAAAACAATAGCTGAAGCCCCTCCCTCATGACAGACCCACTCTATAAATAAAATATTAACAAGTTTGCAATTGAAAAATATTTTTATACCATGAACTATGTTACTTCTTGAAGGCATCATAGTGTCCCAAATGCACATGTTTCTGAAAGGCATCACTGATTATTATTCATTAATGTACAATACTGTGTACTTGTGATTAGGTGATTCCCCACACGTTGCTATCAGACTAGAAGAACCAAGGAAAGCAAAATCAGCAATAGTTTGATGAGTATTAGCTGGGTGAAGGGTCTGAGAGAGAAAGAAAAATGAAAAAGAGTATACGTGTAAGTTTAAAAAGCTACTCTTCTGCATATTCATGAGTCTCACCTGGTAAGGATGCTTGTTATTTCCTTGAATACCTTGCCATAGTGATAGCTTACCATTAGCATCAGTTATACCATACTGGAGGAGAGAGGGAGAAAGAGAGACAAAGATATCAGACAATGTTACAAGCATCATGCTAGTATTACTTTGTTTCCTTGTCGAGTGAACCTAATTTGTGTTATACCTGGACCAGATCCGGCTGCCCTAAGGACTGATACTGGCTTTGGAGTACCAAACTCAAACATTTTAACAGCTCCGTCGGCACCACCAGTCAAATCTAAGGAGAGTAAGGGTGAGAGAGAAAGAGGGAGAAAGATGTGCTTGCAAAAGGAGTTGTTGCTGACTCACAATAAGCTAATGTAGGATGAGCTGACATCTTTTTTACTAAAGGAACACTCCTCCTTAACAACTAGAGAAAGGGAGAAGAAAAGGAGAAAGAGAGAAAGTAGGTTCATTTCTAAATCCTGTACACTATAGTGCTTTTAAAATAGTAATTAAGTGTAGCATTTCCCAAAGGATTTTGGCATGGTGCTCATGCAGCTTCTTGTCAGTGGATTGTAAGACCCTGCCTGTACTATAGTACAGGGTATTTCAACAAAAATCACTAGAAGAGAATTCTCCATTTTTATAAGTTTTTCTAATACATATACATGTTCTTATGTTGTATAGCAAGTTTGAGCTGATTCCGATCAAGATTGAATTTTTTACAGATTTTTTAAGTTGCTCAAAAATTGGGCTAAAGTCCCTGTACTATAGTACAGGGTCATCAGCCAAATTTTGCCAAAAATGACTAGGAGAGAATTCTCCATTTTTATAAGTTTTTCTAATACATATACATGTTCTTATGTTGTATAGCAAGTTTGAGCTGATTCCAATCAAAATTGGATTTTTTACAATTTTTAAAAGTTACTCAAAAATTGGGCCAAAGAACCAAGAGGTTTTTTGCTTGTCACAGATTTCGTGACAATGAAACAAATGGGTTCAATTAAGTGTGTGGGTGGGCATACAATGCTAGAGGTGCATCCAGACTGTGAGTAGGTCACGTGACCAGGAGTGTAGTTACCAACACGACGCATGAAACTTGAAGGACCAGATGGTATCATAATGAAATCCTCAGATTTTTCAGGTCTAAAAAATTATTATTATCATCATTATTATTATATCATTATTATTATATTTATTATAATTATTATTAATATTTTTAACCTCTTTCTACTTTGAGGACTATCAGTGTTATTATCATCAACGTCCATCATGATATCCAGAGACTCAATATCAGGAACCTCAACTTCAAGCACTTCCTTAGATGTAGCTAGCGCAAACACACTAGCATTTGACTAACGGAGAAAGAGGGAGAGAGAAGAGTAAAAATTTTAAAATACAAGGAGAAAATTAAGGAGAAATGCAAGTACATGTAGATTGTAGGAACTTGAAGTTAGACTTACAGAGCTGATGCACAGACATGACACTGGGCTGTCTGGTTGGCGGTAAAGTATTCTTTGAACAGGTGGCTCATCAGGAGTGGCTGAACCAATGCGCTAACAGAGGGAGAGGGAAAGGAAAGGGAAAAATAAGCGGGGCAATATCACACAAATAATTCTGATTAGAAATTTGCTACACTTGCACTTTGTATTTATATTGTATGCGTACACGTACCTTTTTATAAAATATGTATCTGATAAAAGTATCTCGTATAGGTTCCTGATGTACCAAATAACACCACAGCCTTCTAGCCAGTTTAGAGTTCCTGTCATCTTTCCTGTATTAGAAGCAACAAATAAAAAGTGACCAATCTTTTAAAATGTGACGTTTTTACCTAAAAGGTGAGTGTTCTGGCTCCAGTATCAACTTGTGTCTTGTGAGAGCTGGTCCATATCTCGTTTCTTGGTTGTTTTCAGTCGGTAGGAAGAGGTTGAGAGATGGAGTGGAGTGAGTGTCCAGCTTCCTGATGAAGAATGACTCCCAGTCATCAAGTAAACTCAATAGTCTGTACAGCACTGGTGAGGCCGTTATGAACTCTATAAAGAATAGCAACAATTATTTTTGAACTACATGTATGATCAACTTTTAAAAACCAGCAAATCTTTTTAAAACTATGGACTATTATAGTCCATGGTTTTTTCCAAAAATGGGCTCTGAAAATAATTCCCAATTTTTATTACATTTTCTGATACAAACTTTACTATTTATTTACTTGTCACTATTAGTATTTCTTACCTAATATTTCCATCCCTGTCAATGTTATAGTGTTACGTAGAACACGCTGTAGCATTTGGACTATACCCAGGTTCATAACGCACCAGCTGTAGCAATTAGGATCAATCGGATTACAAGCATCCTGTTCCTCTGCTCCATCACCTTCTGATGACAGACCTCCATCATATACATCATCATCTCCCTCCTCATCACTTGAGTCTTCATGCTCAGCCACTGGCTCCTTCTCAAAGTGAAAAGCAGACGATGTAGGCACATCAGGCTGTGGAGTTTAAAATAGTTTTAGCATTTAATTTTAAAGAACTATTAATTTTTCTAATTAGCTTTTTAAATGATTCATGACAGATTCACATGTACATGTAGGCATAGAATTAGTATAAAAGTACTATTACATGTACATGCATATAATGTGTGAAGGTTGTTCATTACAGCTTAAAATACAACAACAACAACAATAATAATACTATTTATAATCAAAACAAACCTTTGTAAGACAATGGAAGAGTAAGGATTTCTTAGGCGCTACAAAAAGACCAATAGCTTCATGGCCCCCTCCTCTGCCTGCCTGTCTCAGTAAATTCTTCATTGATGCCACTTTACGCACAAAAGAAGCAGTCTTCTTCTGATCGGGTATTTTCGTCAAGACCCCTCCCCCAAATAACTCCGCCCATTTGGCCTGTGTGGGGACGTTAGCCGCAAGGACTAATATATCATATATCGAATGATTGGACCATGCAACGGAGAGCAGACCTGTATAAACTACAGTAAGTGCTTCCATTAGCACCAAACACAATGGAGATGCTTCTTTGCCATCATCTGAGAGTAGAGAGGACGGCCATTCATCTAGTCCGGGCCACCTTGATGGTTTAGTATTTGGCTTGTCTAGATTTAAGAAGACGTCTAGGAGGATCCCTCCGCTGTTTAGACGCTTGCGAGTCTTTGGAGTCCCCGGGCTATGAAGAGACTCGGATTGTTTGTCCTGTTGGAGCCTCATTGGGTTTAAGCAGAGATAGAGACAGTGGGAGAGAGAGCAACACAATTCAAATATATGATCGAGGTTAGGGAGAGGGTTAGAGGATATGGGAGGGGTTGAGTGTAGCGATAGACTACCAAACACGCTAGCAGAGAGGAGCCGTATATGAAGGGCTAGATTAAGAGGATGCTTTGAAGGTAGAGAGCAAGAGGTCAGTAGAGGTAACTGAGCTGGGTTGATAGCACAACTTGGAATCTGACCCAACTCAAGGTCTGTGTCTTCAAGTTCGTGTGATAGGCCAGTACTCCATGGTAGGAGCGTATTCATGAGGTGCATTAGCTCAGTTTGGACCGAGAGGAGGTGTGGTAGAGTGCTGGAGTGCAACGATACATAATTCATTAGCGTTGTTAGTAAATCATAGCCAGCGTGAGCGGCTGATTTAGAATCAGCAACGCTACTGCTACCAGCTCCTATCTCTAGTCCACACACTTCACTCACTATCATGCTCTCGCTCCTCAACCAGTTAACCAGTCGTCCCTGTAGCGTCGACAGGACCCTCTCCAGTGGCTCCTCTTCAAACCATTCAACCATACTCTGTCCACGTCTTGAAGCCTGGCAGCCTAGCGGTAACAAAGGCAGTGCTTCTTTCCCTCTCGTCTTCCAGAGGTGGTTACAGCAGGCTGGTATGTGTATTGTCTTAAGTTCCTCTGTTAGTATACTCAGTAGTGCGTTATACTGGAGCTGTTCGGCTAAACTCAATATAAACAAGCCTTGACATGATATCACATTACTAGCTCCTCCCCCTGCCACACCTTCCTCTTCCTCTTCCTCCTCCTCCTCCTCTTTTATTTCTTCTGCTTTAAACTCTTTAGTGAGTTCAATGTCATCAAGTAGAGAAAACCTGTGTTGTGACATGGCCGGTTTCGACCAATCAAATTCTTCCTCTTCCTCGGCTTGGGCGGAGACCGGTTTTGACCAATCAAAATCATCGTCTGCCGGAGCAGTCTGACTCGCAACCGGACGCGACCAATCAAAATCGTCGTCTTCCTCTGCCTTCTTTTGAAGAGAAACAGGCTGAGACCAATCAACTTCGTCATCACCGGCTCCACCCCCTTCCCCTCCTAATAAACCAGAGGCTATAGACACATTATGACCAATGGTTGTGCTACTAAAAACAGATTCATCAAGAACAGCACTAGTGCCGCCAGTGGGGGTTAGACTACCTGTGTCACTCTTAGCAAAGCGTGCTTTATTATCATGGAGTCCTAAATCAGACCCTTTCGGTAATTTATTAAGAACTATAAGAGATAGTAATGGTGATCCATTACTTAAATGATGATAAGCAGTACTGAAGACAAGGTTTCTCTCAGCAGCTGTTAGGGGATCATCTCCGACTCCGGTTAGTGAGGGTTTTTTACGGAGTGAAGATTTTGAGGTTGTTTGAGTCCCAGAGGTGTTAGATAGAGGGTATCTTGATCGTAGGAGCAGAGGATGAGAGCGAAGATAAAAATAGAAATTGAAAATGGCTGGTTCTAGTCTTGTCTGAGAGGAGGTGTTGGTAAGTAGTGTCTCAAGTGATGAGGAGAAATCCTGCAACAGCCAGTAGGCAATGCTCCTTAGGAATGGATCCGGTGACATTTCTACTGATGTATTTGTATCTATAAAAGAACAAAAACACTAAAATAGTGGTATTTGGAGTAACTTTAAAATTTCATAAAAATCCAATTGTCATTGGAATCAGCCCAACAAAATAAGAACATGTACAGTACATGCATCAGAAAAAATTATAAAAATTGAGAATTCTCTCCAAAAAAACCCTGCCCATCCACATAACTAATCAACACCCACACAATTAATTAAAAGTACCTGGAGTGGTTTCCCCCAGTATGTGTTCCTTGAGTAGTCTATGGTAACAGGATCCGTTCTCTCCTTCGTACAATCTTGCTATCATTATTGCCAGTTTAATATCATGTAGTCTGTTAACACACACATCAATGGCGTCCCATAGTTTACCGGCTAGTAGGAAGAAGGCAGCTGCATGGTCAAACCGTTGCTTAGAGAGGAGGGCAAACGCATTCTTAAGTGCAGCTCTTCTCCAGCGATCCTGAGTGAAATCATTTGAGAAGAAGGACCTCATTCGTTCATCACTCACAGTTCTACAGGAGAGGAGGAATAAAATTTAGTTTACCTATCATCAATCTAGTACATCTACCTGTATAATCCTTTGATGAGTGATTGCTTCTTCATTGCTAGATACAACAGGCTGGCATCCAGTGGATCTTGTCTAGACATGAACTGAGCCTTAGCCAACTACATGTACATGTACATGTAAATGCAAAATGTAAATATAAAATGTAAATATCATTACACGTGACTACATGTACATGTATATTACATGTGTATGACAATGGGTCTACATGTACATGTACATGTACATGTACATGTACATGTACATGTCTGTTCTTACCGATACTTGTACATGTACGTGTACATTGTAAGTATAACATTACCTTTTCAGCGAGTTTCCTAAGAGTGTCATTACTGCGCACCCAGACACTAACACCAGCACTCATCAGTTCAGGCCAGTTCAATCTATTCTCTCTCACGCAGGGTACATTAGACAATAGCTCTAGCTCAGCGTCTGAATGAAACGCCCATATAAGGTCACAGGTCGATAACTCAAGCGGCGCCAGGCCTTTGGGTAAAGTATGTGAGAGAGTGAGGTAATTCTGTAAAGCTAGCAGGTATCTCATTCCGCAATCGTCCATACTATCCCCTCCAATCCCTCCACTGACTCCTCCTACAGATGCGTAACCGGCTCCAGCTGTAGTACCTAAATCAGCACCGCCAATAAGATCTTCAGACCCAGCACTAAGACACCCTCCTTTAGTAGTAGCAACAGTATCAGCAATTGCAATCAGCCTAACTTGATCCAAATCACTGATATCGGGTAGGGACGTGTATTGTAGTATGGAGGCTAGTTTATCCGCTAGTTCTTGTGTGAACTCTGTGCTAGCGATATCAATCTTATCATATTCCATGTGAGCGCTAGCGGAATCACTCAACGTGAATTCCGAATCATAATCAAGCGCTATATCATGAGAGAAGAGAGCATCATAATCATCGTCCTCGTTAATACCGTTGTCTCCGCCCACCTCATCGTCGTCGTCAGCCACGCCCACTTTAGACTCGCTCATTAAATCCGTAGAAGCAAATATCTTCAACTGGGACAGGGACAGTGGGGCAATGGTTTCTGCGGCAACCATCACACGTGCCTTTCGACTCCGCCTCATTTTACCATCAACGACAGACAACAGCCTACCTCTTGAGTCAGTGTTCTCCCTTTCCTCCTCCTCCTCTTCCTCAAAATAGCCCGTTCTCTCTTTCTTCTCTATCCTTTGGTAAAGGAGGAGGTGCTTCACTAGATTAATAAGTATCAGTTTGACTGCGTCTAGTTTACCCGAGGTCATTAAATCACTCAGTATCTGTGGATGATACTGTGGCAATGGACTATTCTCTGAATGAGCATAATCCAATAGACTAACTTCACCGTCAGAGACACCTGGTTCCAAAGTACCTTCACGAAGTACTCTCATTCCGGTTGTACTCAAGCCACGCCCGTCTGATGAGGCCACACCCACATTATCGGACTTAATCCAACAAGTATATATTTCAATACCGGATCCGATACCAATTAGGATGCTATTGCTACCGGTGTAGGCCATCCACTGGGGCAGGAGAGAAGAAGAGAGAGAAAATTGCAAGAGGGAGATCCACGAGGAACAAGTCTTCTCGTGGATAGTTATCTCAGTCTCTTTACCACTGGATAGGAATGGAATCAGTGAGGGCTTTAATTCCTGATGAGGCTTAGTTAGCGACATGCCAAATATGGTAATGATAGAGCTAAAACAAGTCGCTAGCAGATAGGAACCATTTTCCATCGGGAGCCAATCAAGGTTGACCACTTCTGGGCGTGTCCTCACTCTACTCCCTGGAGAAAAAGTAGGCGGGGCCGAGAAGATACCGTGAAGGGGGAGCTGTGACTCACAGTTCCACTGTAGCCCCCCACTGGACTCACACTCCCATATTGACACTAATACGTGTTGAGTGAGAGGATTGTAAGTCTCACTGGTTAGGGAGAGAGGCTGTTCAGCCAGGTAATGAGCCATTGCAAACCGACCTGGATAAGCACAGGAGAGGGAAAGAGGAAGTGGACTGGAGAGGGAGAAGTCTTCAAATGTTGAATGGGTAGAGCAGCATAGCTTCCCGGGGGAGTCGGCTCCAAAGACATCATACAGCTGGACAGTGAAAGACTGCTCATCAGGTCTGTCACTAGTATCATTCAGTGATACTTTAAACTGCCAGCAATTGAGATCACTGCTAGAGGAGACGGTGAGAAACAGAAAAGGAGAAGAGAGAGAAGGCAATTGGAGCTGCAGTGAACTAGCAACATCAGAAGCAGCCCTGGACCTGATGATATGAGACACTCCGTCTCCTCCTCCTAAGGGAAAAGGAACTCCTGACAACACTTTGGTAACTTGTGCTTGACAGAGTGTGCTAGACCGAGGGAGTGTCTGGTACCACGGATCATAGGAACTACTGGAAGGTTTTTGAGTGCTAGAGAACTTCCTTTCTTTGAGGACGATCCTCCAAACATGAATAAGGCTAGTAATCAGCTCGGGGGAGGAGGGTCCCTTCTGATTCTCAATCAGAACAACTAACACTTCGTTTGAGAAATCATGAGATTTGATTTCACTTGATTCGGGATCGTGTTCGGTCGCATTATCCTGTGCTTTAGCATCAATGATTGCTGATTTGGTACGGAAAGCGTGTAAAGAGACGATCTCTTGATATCGATCAAGATCAGGATCAATGAGACTGATGAAAGACATTCCCTCGTTACCGGAATGAGACGTTAAAGAAATCATCTTATTAGAAGAATCATAGAGAGGGAAGGAGGTGTGGTAAAGGGTGTGGCTACTATTAGCTAATATTATGGGATATAGGGACGTCTGAAATAGGCAGAGCTCGTTCCCAACATTCGTAACAAAGAGACCAAAAGAAGGACAACGAGAGAGAGCCCCCACGCTGCTACTGGGAAGAGAAATGGGAGGTACCCACGAAACTAGCGTGAACGAGTTAGGATCAGTCGACAGGACCTTAGAGAGCTCATTAATCTGTGCCTTGTGATCAAGAGGACCGGCTGGATTAGTATTCCATATTATTAGCTCGTTAGTCTCTTCTTCTCCTCTCTCTGAGGTATTCTGACTAGCAGCGACTGTTAGTAGGACTGGTAGCCACGGATGACGGTAGACAGCACTGACATTTTGAGAGTGGCCCCCAGTCTGCCCACAGTGAATAAGACCTGATATTGAGGTACAGTAGTTAGCCTGCACTGTCAGCTCCACTGACCAGGCATTGACATTACCGTTGCGATGAGTAGAGAGGAGAATAAGAGAGGATTCCGGTCGAAATGTTTTAGCACTCTCCGGGATATCGACGACCTTTTGACCCGAGGGTAATCGGATCTGTGGTACGGGTAGACTGAGTTCTGACGCATTGGTAGTAGAGAATTGGTCGGGGGATATGGTGCCTGTGGTGGGAGAGAGAGGGGCGGAGAGGAGACCGATCGGCTCCGGCTCTTTAAGGAGATATTGCTGGAGCTCTTGGTGCAATGTCTGAGCCAAGTGAGGAGGGAAGACATGAGGGAGACAGGAGCTGAAACTAATGTGAACTAATCTATAGGAGGAGAGAGAGAAAGGGAGAGAGAATATTAAAAATTAAAAATAATAAAACTCTAAACATACATGTACATGTAATATATTCAACAATAATAATAACATGCAATACAATAATAAGGTTATTGTTAATACCTTGTAGAGAAGCGAGGTGAGTCCAGTCCTTCTACAGTCCATACCATTAGTGACCCATTGTTTGGATGTATGCACACCAACAGATCAGGCGAGTTCACCCACTCATCCATTAACTGGTTCTCATGCTTCTTGCTCAACTCAGGAACATCCTCAAGCAAGACGGGGGTACGACCCCCTCCTCCTCCCCCCGGGACCCCTAAATACTCCCCGAGAGTAAAACTCTGATATTTAGAAGCCGCTTGATCATCATCAGTCTCAGTATCAGTGGTCTTCTCTTCGACACAGACCCAACTAGCAAGCATCTCCTCGTTAGGACTAGAGGCTAAGCTAGTCATTGACTGATTTCTACTGACCATCTGTGCCGACTGCTGTATGTGATGGGCCTTGCTAGAGTACGTCATCTCCTTATTGTTCAGCCAGTGGACGATGAAGTCGGCATCTTCCACTGGCATGGTGGAACGGAACGGTATATCGGCTACCGGGTCAATGGAGGCAGCCAGGAAGAAACGGAGGAGGTTCGACTGTGGAGCCTTTTCTTTTGGTAGAGTCTGACTCCATAGACGGCAGATATTGTCCTTGCAACGAGTGAGGAGGACGTTAGATACTGAACTCCTGCAGAGAGAGAGAGAGAGAGGAGGGAGAGAGAGAGAGAGAGAGAGAGGAGGGAGAGAGAGAGAGAGAGAGAGAGAGAGAGAGAGAGAGAGAGAGGAGGGAGAGAGAGGGAGGGAGAGAAAGAGAAGTGAGTAATGGAAGGAAGAAAGATGACAAGAGTAGATTAAGAGATAAAACTGTACTGCAATAGCTTAAATAACTTGTCTATGCACAATAGATAGTAGAGTACAGTAAGTACACTATCTTGTATGTTATCAATGAGAGATAGGGAGGGAGTGGCTCACTGTTTCATGTAGATACTGGTCTTCCTCCACACAAACCCAGTGATTGCTCTTGGGTGTGCTATATACGTGAAGCTGTACTCCTTTGATGATACATGGGGATCAGTTAATGACCTCTCACGTGTATATATCAACACTTTATCTATCGAATAATAATAATAATAATAATAATCATAAGAAGAAGAAGAAGAAGAAAAAGAAAGTGACTGACTTCTTCTTGGCTGCAATTTGTACCATATCTTTACCAGTCGATCATTCTAAATAAAAATTAATAATAAAAATAATAATAAAATAATAATTCATACAAATGCCAATAATACATGGAAACAATGCACACATACTGTACATGGTATTATAATAATACAACCACACAGTACATGTGCAAACATGCTTTGTACTCACTAATGATGCGCTGGCAAATAAGCTTCCATCAGGTGAAAACTTAAGATGAATGATAGGCGAAGCTACAGTAACAGTCCATGACTCATTCCAAGTAGCACTAGCATCAATATGTCCTCTACCGTCTCCTTCATCAACTGGTGATCCTATCCCTCTTTGTTTGGTTGGGCTAGGGGTACCTTCTCCTCCTCCTCCTCTTGGTGTTGGTGGTGAGTCTTGCTTTCTTGTTGAGGTCCATAATGATATGAAATTACCGCCAACTAACAACTGACTGCCTAATATGAATAGTGATAAAAAGATAATTAACTACACAATAAAAAAATAATAACATGACAGGGCTTCCCAAAGGATTCTTGGCATGGTGCTCATGCAGCTTCTTGTCAGTGGATTGTAAGACCCTGCCTGTACTATAGTACAGGGTATTTTGCCAAAAATCACAAGGAGAGAATTCTCCATTTTTATAAGTTCTTCTAATACATATACATGTTCTTATGTTGTATAGCAAGTTTGAGCTGATTCCGGTAAAGAATGAATTTTTTACAGAATTTTTAAGTTGCTCAAAAATCGGGCTAAAGTCCCTGTACTATAGTACAGGGTCATCAGCCAAATTTTGCCAAAAATGACTAGGAGAGAATTCTCCATTTTTATAAGTTTTTCTAATATATATACATGTTCTTATGTTGTATAGCAAGTTTGAGCTGATTCCGATCAAGATTGAATTTTTTTACGATTTTTTAAAGTTGCTCCAAAATTGGACCAAAGTCCCTGTACTATAGTACAGGGTCATCAGCCAAATTTTGCCAAAAATGACTAGGAGAGAATTCTCCATTTTTATACGTTTTTCTAATACATATACATGTTCTTATGTTGTATAGCAAGTTTGAGCTGATTCCGATCAAGATTGAATTTTTTTACGATTTTTTAAAGTTGCTCCAAAATCGGACTAAAGTCCCTGTACTATAGTACAGGGTCATCAGCCAAAATTCGCCAAAAATGACTAGGAGAGAATTCTCCACTTTTATAATTCTATCTGATACATATACATGTTCTTATGTTGTGTAGCAAGTTTGAGCTTATTCTGATCAAGTTTGGATTTTTTATGAATTTTAAAAGTTGCTCCAAATGCCATGTACTGTATTATAGTGCTTGTCAGCTCACGAAGCACTTAGCATGCTTTGTGGAGAAACCCTGTAATATGACCTACCATCTTGGTTAAAACTGAGGCTCAATACTTTAGTTGAAAATGAGTGAGAGTAGGACAACTTCCATGACCAACCAAACTACAAATAAATAAACAAACATTATTAAAATAAAATGATAAATTAATGTTTTTTTTTGTATAATAATTACTTCTCCAGTAGCTATTGCTTGATCGGATTTTTCTGGCACAAAAATAAGTACATCACAATCCCAAGCAGCTGCAACCTAATAATAATAATAACAATATCAATTATTAATGTGTACATATGCTGGGTCACATAATGTGTGTATGAGGTATGGAATTATGAGAATGGAATTATGAGAATGAGTCCTCTACCATACCTGTCCATTGGATTCGGCAACATGCATGCATGTAACTGAACTGTGACTGAATCCGAAATCAGATCCAAGAATAGTCTGTACATGTTTTAGACGACCATCAAGCAAAATAAGATTAGACCCAGAAGCATAACACTGGGGGAGGAAGAGAGAAATGGGTGTGGTTAAAGCTCAGGTTATTAAAGTGGGTGTGTGAGAGGTTGCCAATCCTTACAATGAAAGGTAGTTCATTTAAATATCCGGTAGCAGCTGAGCACGGGCCCAGATTAACGGCTCCAGGCAGTATCTGACTACAATCCATTAGCAGGGACAGATATTACTCCTTCTTTAGTTTCCAGACTAGCATGATAATTTTTCTTATTTGATTTTACTATGCATCCTCTTAATTAAAAATTAGAGCTTTTACGGTTACTTTAGACCACACCTTTTCTACTACGCCCTTCATTGCAAGATTTAATTTTTGCCTTTGATTTTATTATCAAATAAAATAGAATATTAATAATATTCATGATTGTATAGATGCAGCTGGTTTCCTTAATAGTTTCTTAGTTTGAGGATTATCTATTTCAAAATGTCCTTGAGGATTATCTATTTCAAAATATCCTTTATGGTCACGCCCCTTTGTTTTGTTTTGCAAAATGTCCGATAAACAAAGTTAGTTTCTCTCTAGTCACGAGACTAGTTTCTCTCTTGTATTCTTTTCTAATTATTCTATTTTCTCCCATTTACAGGTATTTATGAATTCAAAGAGAGGGCTGGTCACTCAGCTCCAGTAATAGGAGAGTCGCTCTACCTGTGGGGAGGGGAACAGTTTGATTTTCCTTATGTGCATGATTCACCTCGAAAAAGGAAACTGTTCTCGACAGTTGAGACATTTTCCTTTTCATCAGCTCGCTGGTCCTCTCACCTAACTAGAGGCACTCCTCCATTAGGAGTCGTTGACTACTCCTGTACCACCTTTCGTTCTAATATTTATTATTATGCTGGCTGGTGTGGTCATGATCATTGTCACTACAACAGTTTAACTGTACTAAATACACTGACCATGAGCTGGACTCAATTGCATCCTAATGATGAGTCCATGATGGAGAAATCTCGTGCTGGAATGCTATCACTGGAATTTGATGGAACTGACTATCTTCTTATGGTTGGAGGATTAGGTCCTACACCAGCTGTCAAACATCCTCAATTTCAATATGAGCAGATTCCAGATGGTCGTGTTCGTACCAATGAGCAGTTACTTTATAATCTATCTAATAGTGGGTTTCATTTAATGCATACATTAGTATCAACTGCTTGTGTGAATATCATCATTATCATTATATTTATTTTATAGGACAATTCACTGTTCCATCTGTTAGTGGACAGTGTTGTCCTCCAACTAGTACTTTTACAATCAACAAGATAAATCAAAATAAAGGAATAATGTTTGGAAGAACATTATCTCATGTTGGTGGTTTTGATACATTTAACACTAATAAAGTGTACATATTTAATGTGACTCATAATACAATAGTAAGTTATTATTATTACTGTTACATGTATGTTAATGTTAATTGTAAAATTGTTTGCCATTTTAGAATCATGAAAATACTGAATTTCTTACCCACTACCTTAATTTATTTGTGTTTGTGTTTTATGTATTTAGCATTGGGAGAGTATTAAAAAAGGATCAATATTTGTTGGGGGACTCCAGCTTAAGGGAAGATGTGCTCATGCTAGTGCTATTATCAGTGGTGACTCTACCTTACCTGCACTAGTAGTGATTGGTGGATGGGATGAGAACAATCAATCAGTGAATGAATGTTTGTTATTTGACAATATCACTACTGGTCAGTTCAGTTGTAAAAAGGTGTGTGTAATCATCTACATGTATGTTTATGTGTAGTATTATAACTATTAAAATTATTGTATGCTTAATGATAGTACATGTATATGTAATGATAATGAATATAGAATGTATCAGTCATTATCTATAGATTCCTTTGCCTGAATCTGTTACTGGTAGATATGCTCACTCACTCACAGCTGTCACAATGTCGCCACACTGTGTGTGGCTAGTAATTGTTGGAGGATGTGAAGAGAGTCAATATGTAGATTTTAAAATAAGAGTGAAGGTGCCAACAAATACATTTATCACTGATACTAATAGACAAATAATGATAATTGAATTAGGTAAGATTATTAATCACTAAATATGAGGATTTTTGCCACACCTACAGTGATCTACTGTAACTTGACTTAGTTTTTCTTATTTCAGTATATAGTGAAGCTGGTGAGTGGATGGTACAGTCAGTACTGGATGGTAATGATCTCACTAGTAAGAAATATCAAGAAAAGTATTCATCATACAACAAGACCAAGACATGGTGGATGAATCAGCTAATGGAATATCCCACAGAGAAGGAAATGGAGCTTCAGAGATATAATCAGTTATTGCAAGAAAAACTACGAGTGTTTTATCAAGACAAAGTATCATTACAGGAAGCACTGGTGGAGGCCAATAAACAAGGTACATGTACACATGTAATGAATGTCTAGATAAAAATTGAGAGTATAAAAATTTAATTTTAACTATATGCTGTTCAAAAAAATCGACAATTAAAATTTTGATAAAATTTTGATCACATTTTCCATATCTATGGCCACAGAGATCTCTTGTGTCATTGGATTTTGGAGATTAAAAGTCCATCAAATTTTATAGTAGTCTGATTTTTATTATGATTATTGTACATACATGTATGTTATCTTTACAGAGGTGCTGAAAGCACAAGTACAGTCAATACAAGAAGAAAAACAAATTATTACTGGTTAGTGTATCATCAGTACATAATATTAGATGAGTCTATTAATGTAGAAGATAATGAGAAACTTAGAGCTACAGTTGCTTATAATGAAGTATATATAACTGAAATAGAAGAAGAGAAGAAACAAGTAGAGGAAGAGAAGAGAAAAGTAGAAGACAAGTATAAGCAAGCAAAGAAAGAGAAGAAGCAAGCAGAAGAAGAGAAGAGACAATTAGAGGAACAATACCTCATCGACAAACAGACCACTAAAGGTTAGAGTATTGTCATCAATGTGTGTGTACTATAAGAGAGAATGTTTTTAGAACTTAAAGCTAAAGTTGCTGTTAATGATGTATACATAACTGAATTAGAGGAAGAGAATGAAAAAGTAGAGAAACAATATCACAAAGAGAAAGAGATCACTAAAGGTTAGAGTATTGTCATCAATGTGTATATTATATGAGAGAATATTTAGAGCTTAAAGCTAAAGTTGCTGAGAATGAATTGTATACTGCCAAACTAATGAAGGAGAAAGAGCAATGGAGTCAAGTCAAAGAGACTGATTCCATTGGATTACAATTTAACTACCTAATTCCTTCAATGGGTAAGAGTTTATTTTGCAACAAAAGTATTATATTTTATACAATTGATAGATAATTTGGATTGTCTGAGTGATGTCCAGGTAGCAGAGAAGAAGCTGTTCTTAATTCAAGGAGACAAACCTCAACTGATGAATTGGGAGAAATATGGTGTAAGGATTGGAGTAGAAGAAGGAAGCCTATTGTCCTCTGAGACAGTAGAAGCAGCAGTGGTTGCTCTTGTAGGAGGACAGTTCCAGTTCCCTCCTAATACTGTCCTTGTCAGTGCTGTGTATGCAGTATCACTCTCAAAGCCTCTCCTCAAACGACTCAAGTTAGAAATACAGCACTGTGTTGATTTAACAGGTCGACCAGCTCTTAATCGTTATCTGAAGTTTGCTATAGCTCCCGTGAGCACACCCAGTCTTCCTTACCAGTTCTCAACAGTTGAGGGAGGAGAGTTTAGCTCTAAGGGTGGGTATGGATTTATTGAGCGTAAAGATTTCTGTTTGGTGTGCATACTGGGATTGCTAATAGTATCTATGACTGGAGGGGGAGGAAAAGGAGGAGGAGGAGGTGGTAATCAGCAGCAACAAGGAGCTGGGGTTGTACCTGCAGCTCAACAGCAACAAGGAGGAGATGCACTGACAGTACTAGTCCAACAACAGCAACCAGGAGTTAATCAACAAACCCAGGAACAACAAGGGGAGCAGTCACAAGAAGGACAGGAAGAGGAAGGAGAGCTACAAGGAGGGAACCAACAAGGAGAAAGGCAGTCACAGGAACAATCAGAATTACCAGAACAACAACAGCAAGAAGGAGGACAACATGAGGCTGAAGGAGGTCATCAGGAAGGAGACAGAGGACAAGAGGAAGGACATAAGGATGATCCTGTGCATATAGAAACAGCTACTGATGCCGTGCCTTGTACTGAGTCTAGTTCTGATTATGCTAATAGTAAGTATCAATAGAGGATATGCGTGCTAAGTATATTCATTGCATACCGTAATAACTTTCAAGAAAAAAAATTAGTTCGTTGGACGTCAACTTTCCATTGGCAGCAATGGAGAAATGATAGAAAAAGGCTTGGTACCAGGAAACCGCTCTGTATTTCTTGATAGCAATCTTTCAGGTGACTACTAGACCCCATTAGATCCTCAGGATGCTTTTTAAGCTTCCGAAAAAGGCCTCAAGAAGGTAGCAAGGCAAGAAAATGTGTTTTCCCCCATTGAACTCTTAATAAACTTGACGTCCAACATGGCGGCCAATTTACTGTGTGGGTTGGATATACGGTACTAAAAAGCTATGAATATACTTAGCACGCATATCCTCTATAGTAATCATATCAGTAATTGATTTTTTGATTTTAGGTGTAGTTTATACTAATGTACAAAAGAGTATGAAATATGCTGGACTGGTTTACTATGAGGAGAAAGGTGTAGAGGATTTAGTGACGTTCACTGCAGCTAAGAAACTGGAAGCACTCATTCAAGTAAGAACACACTCTCCTATGCATACAATATGTTGATTTTTACTTGATAGTATATTGAACGCAAACACTCTCAAGCTGAAATCGGACCTGATATTTTCTTTCGTTTTAAGTTTTCCTATGGTTATATTGAATTAAACCTTACTGCACAGCAGGATGAACCATTCACAGGCTGGACTGTTAAACCTCACACTGAACCTTGCAGAGTAAGTTAAGATTACTATTTTATACTTATTAATATGTTACAGTTGTATCAAGAGGCCATTGATAATTTTGGTGATAAAGAACATTCTCGTCCTTCGTGTTGTCTGATATCAGTGTACGGTTCACCTCATGCTACCCCTACACTACATTATTCCATACCACTGGAAGGTGTGGCTGATCCTGTTACATTAAACATTCATAGAGCACTGAGAAACCGTCCTCCTTCAACAGGTAATGAATGCAAATGATTTAAAATTGTTGTTTAATATTAATTAATCAGACCCTACTACCTCCTCCTCCTCCTCCTCCTCCTCCTCTAATGTAGTACATGAATCAGTGTCAGTATCATCCACTGGAGGAGCTAGTAAGTGATAATACTGTGTGTGTGTATACTGACCTTGACCTCTATTAGGTCCATCAGCTACTGTTGATGTCGATAAAGTAAAGAAAGTGATTGATGATGTTCTTGTGTCTAACCATGCTCGCCTTAATCACCTGAAGACGTCTCTATCAGATCTTGCTAATCAGTTATATGAAGTTGGTCTCATTAATGATGAAGTCAGAGAGGCTTGTAGCATGGACAAGTTCATTGGAGAGTTTAAGGCTAGTTTTTACTTTATGGATGAATTGTCTGAAGTTCAAGATCATTGCAAGAAGTTTTTGAACTCATTCATTGCTGTTAGAGGCAGTTATATTAATGCTGCCAAGTTTTTGCGTCAGAAATGGATTGAAGCTATTAAAACTGAACTTGGGATTGATCTCATTATTGATGTTAGTGTATAGTTCTTTTGCTATTCCCATTGCCTTTGATTTTTAATTTTATACAAAATTCTTTTATCTTATTAAAATTGCAAGAAAATTCAAATTTAATTTTATTAATAATTTATGATTGTATGGATGCAGTTGGTTTCCTTAATAGTTTCTTAGTTTGAGGATTATCTATTTCAACTCTTCGTAATTTGGGTCTAACAAAAACTAGTACAAAAAAAAGATATTTAAAACTTATAATTAATGATTATTCTTTTACCTTGAACAATAGCAGATGCAGCAACACACCCTGCTAGCATCCAATACACATAGACACTCCAATGCTTCTTTACCAGTAGACTGCACACTAATATCATTATAGTGCAAGTTACCTAATAATGAATACAATTTATGCATTAGAGGACGATGCCATTACAATACATGTACCTGTGAGAATGCATTCATGATACCAGCAGATATACTCTCAGGTACTGGGTATGTCATTTCTACTCCATATTCATATCCAACACCTTGAAATATAACAGTTAGTCCACTATAGGAATAACAATAATGACATCATGATTAATGATGATCCCTTTTTTACTTACACTGCAACCGAGCATATTATTGAAAGATATATGAAATCTAGTTTATATTGTGTTGCTAAAGCCAGACCAATGGCAGCTATTGTGCTTGATACTGATATAGCAACTGTTGAACCACTATAATGAGAAAGGGGAGAAAATATTATATAGTAGAGGAGAATATAATAGTCGAACTTACTAGAATGTTTTAGTATAGTCGATCCAAGTCCCAATAGCTAGTAGTCCTCCTATTGATACTAATTGTATAGCAAGACCAAGGTATCCCATATAACTCTGATATGAACTGTACCCAATAGCATTGAATACTTCATCATACACAGTCACATATGCACCAGCCACTCCAAGATACATTCCTTTAAAGTGAATGCAGTGTGTGCTGATAATTATTATCATTATAGCTTGTATGCCTTACCGAATACAAATGAAAAGAAAATGAAGTGTTTGTTTTTTAATAGAATGAGAGCAGATCTTAACAGTGAGAGATCATTCTCTTCTTCATCCTCTAACTGTCTTGACCTGCTTGGAGGAGTAGGAGGGGAAGCAGGGACCACTACATACAGACAATGCATCAAAATTTATGCCATGGAATATACATTCATTCAGTAATGACTACAGGATTTCCCACAAAGCAAGCATGAGCTAAAAATCATGCTTTGTGAGCTCTAACAAGCATTTTTGAGTAACTTTTAAAATAAATAAAAATTATAAGTTTGATCGAAATCAGCTCAAACTTGGAAAAATTCTCTCCTAGCATTTTTGAAAAAATACCTTGTATAGTATAATGGTATTTTGTCAAATGTTTGATCAACTTTAATTACTGACAAGAAGCTGCATGAGCACTATAACAAAATCCTGTAGGAAACTCTGCATAACTAACTGAATGTTATTGGAAGAAGGACAGTAGCAAGAACAGCTTGGCCAAGGAAATAGTATAACATCTGTGAATAAATCTTGTCCTGCCATTCGATGAATGATGCAGATCCCCTAATGGTTATTGTAGTGTTGCATACAGTATCAGTTCTGCTATCATGTACTGCTAATGGACCAATAAATAAACTGAGCAATATTCCAACCTAAACGAAGATAAACAGCAACAATAATAGTTGCACAATTGCATTATATAGGGCTTTATACTGCTGGCTAGACTTCACAGTACATTTTGGTTGATTATAGACTTTACATTAATCTTTTGAAATTTACTAACACTGCCTGGCAGCTGTATGAATGTGATTGCCAAAAGTAATCGTTGTAAACGAGATACTTTCAGTTATAGATACTACTGTCATGCATACACTATAGCAGGACATTAATTTTTGCAAGCTATTGTTTGCATGTTACTTTCGAATTATTAGTAGAATTTTGGCTATCAAAAATGCTTGTTCTATATGCTTAAGTTTGCTTGCAATGCTCTATACATTCATCTATTAATAGTGAATATAGTTATTGCTGTACTCACTTGAGGAGCTGTAGCACCAACCGATGCAGTTGCAAATGCTCTCTCGTTCTGTGGAAACCAAACAGCAGACATTAGAGAAGGAGCACTCCATTCAAGGACATTAGTAAACGAGGAGACTCCCTGGCCCATCAAGAGGAGCCAAAAATAATTTGGATCTAAAATAGATAAACTATGATTAGAAAAGGTGACCTTTTTCCTTGCATACTTGAGCCAGCAAATCTGAGCCAAGCTCCAGCAGCATTGAAAGTGCCTCCTAAGATAGCAGTCCACCTGAGGCCAAATCTCTTTAGGAAATAAGTTGCTCCGGCAAACAAGAAGGTGTACATGACAAGGAAGATGTAGGAGAGTGAGTTTATCCAGAAGACATTGACCCCGTAATAGCACTCAGCAACGTCTGCAATAGAGCCAACACTCATCCAGGCAATGTTGGTCCCCATTATATGTGAGCAGTACACAAAAAGGACCAGCCATCTCTGCCAATAAACTTTTATTTTTGCACCGCCCTCGTCTTCTTTCTGTTCTTTGCTTTTCAAGAGTGGTTTATCTTCTGACATTGTGGTGGGATAAACAATTTTAGGGGCTTCCCCCAAAAATGTTAGGAGTGGTTTGGAAGAAAACATGGCTGCTAGTTGTAATGCAAGAGCTGAGCCTCTAGAAGAAGAGAAGGAGCTCAGAGAAGAAGAAGATGAAGAGAGCTTGTTTGCTTTTCCATTGCAAGATGATTTGGAGCAAGAATTAATTAGAGGAAGAGCAGTGTGCGGGAGATGCAAGTCAGAATCATAAAAAATTAGTTGCATTGAAATTATTTTAATTTTACAGGAGGCCTTCAACCGTTTGCATTTGTTCCTGCTTTCCTGAAAAACCTGTTTCAATGGCAACCAGAGTCATTATCCTGCAGCACTGCAGCGAAGTTAATTGATTTTTAATTTTAAAATTTCATTTTTAATGTTTTGTAATAGGAGAGCCGTTGTCTAGCAACAGTTCCTTTACTTCAGGAGTGCATCACGAGAGAACGGTTTCACATCATTAAAGGAAAACGATTCAAAGTGAACAAGTAAGGGGTAGTGTTAAAATCAGCTCAAACTTACTGCTTAATTTGTATTGGAAAATCTAAAAAAATTGAGGGTAAACTCCAAATTTTTGTTGTTGGAAATTGGTATTAAAATTACTTTCCTTTCCTTTAAACATAGATTTACATGCTTGCAAAAAGCTATAGAATCAAAATCGACAGTAGTACTATATCCCAGTAAAACAGGTTTGACCCGTTATTGTCTATTATTAATTATTATTGGCTGACTCAGCTATTCCGCTACAGTCATTACCATCCGGTGCATCAATCGGGAAAGAAGATGACTCGGCACTAATTGTGCTTGATGGAACATGGGCACAGACTAGAGCCATGTTCAGTCAGAATCATTTCCTACACAGCTTAAAACAAGTAAGAGAGGCGGAGGAGAGAGGGAGAGAGAGAAAGAAAAGGGATATTCATATACAGCCTTAATTAATATAAAAGTAATATTACATGTTCATACCATTACTTAGTTATTTCTCACAGGTTAAGTTAAATGGTGAAGCAGTCAGTCAGTATGTCATTAGGACTCAGCCATCGAAACAAAGCCTCTCTACAATAGAATCTGTAGCTCATGCAGTAGCATGGCTTGATGGAACACCAGAAATAATAGATGTATGCATAATTGATACTATTTTCATTTATTATTATTATATGCATGTAGGTATTACTGCATCCACTAATAGCGATGTGTCAGTATCAGCTGGAACATGGAGCTACTACACATTTCAGTAAAGATCATCCAAGATACATGCCAAGGGCTGACTTCAAGTGAGATTAACAACTCATTAATAGTCATAATCATGCCAATGTAACTTTGTAATACATATGGCCGCTACTATTTTGATGCATATACATGTTCTTATGTTGTGTAGCAAATTTGAGCTGATTCTGATCAAAAAAATTTATTCATTCACTTATATTATTTTTCTTTCTTCTCTTTTGTCTTCATTAAAGGAGGAAGCACTCAACTAACTCCTCTGGCTCATCCTGACAACTAATGATGATCATTAATAATAAACTAACAAACAACAACAACAAAACATTGTCAAGTAGACATTAGTCAGTGACTGCAAGTTCTGGACTGTGCATGTGTCCAAAAGTTACTAATAATAATGTTGATCAGTTTGAGAAGTATACCATTTGTAATCACTACACATACATTGGTCACATACATATAGTGTACACAGGTCTATGGTATTTTCGTACTAAAAGTAAATTCCTCTGAATCTAGTTGCCTTCCAAATGGTCCTAGTTGTATTATGCTTGGTGGAACCCATTTCTTTGTGTGATAGACACTCTCTCCTACCTTCCAGCCTGGCACATCCTTCATGATCAGGGCTTCCATTGCCTCTGAAGCTTTCAATGCTCTTAGAATTCTACAGAAATTAAAAAAATTATAAATGTTACACCAATATTATAATTATTATGCATCCAAGATTTGTTAATATTTTCTCGGGAAACAATCCAAAGGGTTTAGGAACTAAAATAGATCTCTTTACCACAATGAACGCTAATAATACCATATGTACCATAATAATTGAGCCTGCTATGTGAAGGCATACATGTGAGAGTCATCTTCCAATAAATAATAATAATAATAGCAGGTGTGTTGTGTAATACTGATATAATTCAATTACAACTGAAATGGTAATAATGCTTGAACTCTTCAGAGTAGCTATATTAATTATATTAGTGGGAGTTTGATAAGACTATTATTAGAACTAAATCAACCAACGCAAAGTGTAGTGTATTACTATTTAGTTTATGTTGTACACACACATAAGGTTTCCATCTCTTACTCCCTTCATTCGTTGCCTTAATAAGGGAATAGAAAGAAAATCTATGCATATATATATGGCAGTGCATTACTATCCTTACACAATTGAATTAATAATACGTGCTTTAAAAATTAAAATCTAACCCCACCATCCATTACGTGTATTGATGTCAATTACCTACGGTCTTCCTCAGCCTGAATTAATGGAAGTAACGATAGTCTTGCTCTTAAATGCTCTTTACGCACTTCTCTAATAATACACACACAATTGGAATTAAGTTATTCATGACCACGCCTACTCACCTACGCTGTGTATTACCATAAGCAACTCCAGCAAAACCTATTGCCATCACTGCAACTCCTCCTATCATGATAACCAGACCCGAGGGACCTCTTTTAGGTAAGTTTCTAGCAAACTTTATGTCCTGGTAGCCATTTGGAGGGGGCTTGTCTTGTCGAGGTATGTCTGCCATTTTATTTTAGGTCACGTGATCCAAACAATCCGTGAAACCACGCCCTTTGCTAAGAAACACACGCCCTTAAAATGGCGGTCGACCCAATATTGACGCATGACATGTCATGTGATAGTCACATGCGGCGTGTCCCTCACTCTCATTTTTAGTGTGTCACCATCTCACAACTCGTTCGATGAAAGCTAGTAGTTTCACTTGAAAGTGTCACAGGGAGAAGAGAAGATATTGATTCTATTTTTCTAGTCTTTGACCACCCGTGGAAGACTCTTTTACAGGTAAGCCGGGATCCTGGGAGCTTACAACCTTTACCGAGTTTGACTGCTCTTTTGAATAGGTACTAGCTATTATTGAACTATATAACCGTCAGAGAGTGGATATTAACTGTTTTGGGTCATATAAAGTCTCACAGTAGCTCTATTTAATTATAAACTCACAGAGAGTGGATCACCGATGGCAGCTAATGACAGAAACAGGGGTCGTCCTCATCAAGGAGGTCCCGGGCCAAGACAACGTGGTAGCGCTTCGAACACCTCACGGACATCCAGCGTATCGACTAGCGGCGTATTAATGGTCGGACCTAATTTTAGAGTAGGAAAGAAAATAGGATGTGGTAATTTTGGAGAGCTAAGATTAGGTAAGAGAGAAGTGTATTGTGACATAGCATCTACATGTAATGGTTGTGTACATGTATTTACTGTACATTAGCTTCCTTTTTTTAAAGTCTTGGTGTATACATGTATGTTTACATGTGTTGGTTGGCATTTTTTTCAAATACATATAGCATATGATCAAGTTTATTTGACCTTTGTCTATAAATCAAAATTCGTCTGCATACATGTATAGAAGTCAGTCAATATGAGTCATATATACATATATGTACATGTACATGTAGGAGAGATGGATCATGTATCTGTGTACATGTACATGTATTATGTGTAGATTTAGCCGGTAAGGCTGCATTTACAACATGTATGTATTCCTAATTGTGTTGTTTTGAATGTACATTATACTGAAAGCCTGGAGCCCTGAGGTCAAGCCAAGCCTTGAGATCAAGGTAAAACCTGTCAAACCTGTTTAATGTACACGCATGTATACGTACCTAAAGTGAAAATTAAAGCTGTACTGTGTACATGTGTGTATTTTAAAAACAGTTTCCCTTTCCTTAGGGTTGCAGTACATGTGTCGTTATTTTCATTTGCCATTGTGTCCTCTTAATAACTTTGTTTTCACCATTATGTCTGTGAACAATGACGTGGTAATAGGAAACTGTGTGTGGTGCGTCTGCGTGAGCTCTATTATATTAAGGGCCGTTAGTAATCTATGGGGTATTATTAGACTTTGTTATAAAGAGGGAATTGCTTTGACGTACCACTTCAAAATAAACTGGCTTATTGATGATAGTGCATTATAAAAGAGTGAGAGAGAGAGCTATATTATTATATTAGAATGTAATATGTACATTATTGTTAGAGGTAAGTTCACAATTTAGCTTAGAGAGAGAGAGAGAAAGAGGAGAGGGTTACCAGAACAGATCACATCATTTTTATTGTCATTATGATATCATCTTGTGCCAGTATAAACTCCTGTATACATATAAATAAAATGTCACATGTTTGTCATACATGTACTGTATGTATAAGTATTGTTCCTGAATGAATGTTGTTTTATTAATGCAATAATACTACGACCAGCTGTTACAGTGCCTGTGTCTATTTTTAGAAACTTGCCATATATGGTCATTGATATAATTATCATAGCAGTGCCTGTACTGCTTCACCTTGTGTGTGTGTGTATGCTACTTTTGGCTCCTAATTGTAATAGTGTAGCTATTGATTGGCAATCTGGTCAATCTTGTGTTGTCTAATAATATGCTTTCATTTAATTCTCTCTCTCCCCCTACTCTCTCTCTCTCTCTCTCTCTTTCTCTCTCTCTCTCTCTCTCTCTCTCTCTCTCTCTCTCTCTCTCTTTCTCTCTTTTTACTTTCCTTGTTATCTTCCTTTTTATGTTTATTTATAGGAAAGAATTTATACAATAACGAACACGTCGCTATCAAATTGGTAAGAACAATTTCCTTTTTTTGTTATAATGTGCATGTACTTTGCATTGACGTCCTCTTACATCACATTACATCACATTGCATCATGTTGTATTCCAGGAACCAATGAAATCAAGAGCACCACAACTTCACCTGGAATATAGATTTTATAGAACATTAGGAAATGCTGGTAAATAATAATAATAATAATAATAATAATAATAATAATAATAATAATAAAAGGAAAATTAGTTTATATACATGTACTTACATACGTATAAACATGTTTTTATGATTAGTGTTTCCTTGGCTAATCATGTATGCATGATAATAAATAAAATAATAATAATAATAATTGATGCATTTTACATGTTGTTATATCTATCACAATTAAATACACACACATACACACACACAGAGGTCAGTGATGGGTGGGGCCAGACTTATTAAATTACCAAACTGTAACGTAATATTTTGTTGTGTGTGTATGTTTTGATGTATAACATTTCTACAGCAGAAATTAAAAATGGAGACAGAGTGACAGAACGAATGAGATCTAGTGACTCCATTTATGCTCCTATTGCTTTGTAATCCTCTATAATGTGTCAGTACACGTTCACGTTCATTCATTCCAGCCTATTCTCTCTGTATCGCAGCTGTCTGTCAGCAAGAGATATGAATGATAACACTTTTATTGTACACGTCCACTTAGTACAGTAGCTGTATTATAACTTACATGTGTACTAGCCTTACATACACATATACGGTGCATGTACATGTAGCATAGATTGGATGTGTTCTAGCTGATTGGTATGTGTACATGTATGTCACACGATTTATACATTCAATAGCATTGGGTCATGTATATATATTGTGTTCATGCGAATCATGTGTAGTCATAACTGCTGACCTGTTGTCTTTTAATATTGTGTATAGGGTTACTCTTTTACTCTATTCACCTCTCCTCCTTTTAAAAATATTTTTATCATCCCTCCCTCTCTCTTTTTCTCTACCCCCCCCCCCTCTCTCTCTAGTTGGTATACCACAAGTATATTATTTTGGTCCTTGTGGTAAATACAATGCGATGGTACTGGAGCTGCTCGGGCCGAGTTTAGAGGATTTATTTGACCTGTGTAACAGAAAATTCTCACTCAAGACAGTCCTAATGATAGCAATTCAACTGGTAAAGACAGTCATATACTGTGTACATGTACATGTGCACATTAATTTGTAGCTTACTTTTATCCCTGTTTCTTGATGATCTTTGCTTGATGACCATTTCCATGCATGTATATGTAATTTAGTACGTATATGTACATGTATACTGTAGGGGCAGGCATGTTTTCATAATTTTTATGTGTTATATTTTTGACAGTTTAAAACCTGTTTGTGTAGACTATAGTAACATATCAGATGACAATTACTACTTCTACATGTACATATATGTCCCTTGTAGAGATGAGGATGACGGGGCATTAATTAGAGCTGTAACTAATTGATTTTGTTTGTGTGTGTAGTCTAGTGTTGAACGTGTTGTCAATAAGACTCCATTCTGTTGAAACAAGGGGATTTTTATTATTTAATATAAACTTTCTCTTTCCTCCTCCTCCTCTCTCTCTCTCTCTCTCCCCCTCTTTCTCCCTCCCCCCCTCTCTCCCTCCCTCTCCCTCTCCCTCTAGATCACACGAATTGAATACGTTCACACTAAGCACCTCATATATCGAGACGTAAAACCAGAGAATTTCCTAATGGGTCGATACGGGACTCCCAATCAAAACATTGTCAATATCATTGATTTTGGTCTAGCAAAGGAGTACATTGACCCAGACACCACTAAACACATACCATACCGTGAACACAAGAGCTTAACTGGGACTGCAAGATATATGAGCATCAATACACATCTGGGGAAAGGTAAAGAGAGGAGGGAGGAGGGAGGGAGAGAGAGAGGGAGGGAGAGAGAGAGAGAGAGAGAGAGGCTATTAGTACTGTAATTGTACATGTATTTATACCTTAATTGCTTATTAATAAATTGTTTAAGCGTAATGGTAATTGATTGCTAGGTGTACACCATATAATTAGTATTTTATGTACAATATGTAATTATTATTGCATTCCCAGACAGTACATGTGATAAAAAGTGTGCGTGTGAATGTCTCTTGGGGCTACACTAATGCTTTACTGTGCCGTTGACTACAATACTGTATAATATACAGAGTACATGTACATGTACATGTATACTTGAGAGATGTATTTCCTTATCCACTACTGACATAGACTTGAGAGGAAATGATGTTATACAGATACAAAATGAACTGACACTGAGTTTGTGTGTGTGTGTGTTGTGTATTTCCTTGTTTGATGTAACATTGTTTGCATTCCAATGAAGTCACATTGTTTATGATAATTATACACTTTACTATAATATTTACACGCTTTAAGTAGCTGCTAGTACACAAGTGAATGGAGAGGGAGGGAGAGTCCACTTAGCTTTGGGACATAAACACACTTTTTACTATTGTGTAATATTTTTTGGAATATTATAAGGATTTTTTATGTTTAATTCTTAAGCATGTACTGCATGTACACATGAACTCATCATTTATGCATATACTGTTCGTGAATGAGAGAATTGGATTTGGTCATTATAAACGCTACACCTTCCTCTCTCTCTCTCTCTCTCTCTCTCTCTCTCTCTCTCTCATTTAGAGCAAAGTAGGAGAGATGATTTGGAGGCTTTGGGTCACATGTTCATGTATTTCCTACGCGGTAGCTTACCGTGGCAAGGACTAAAGGCAGACACACTAAAAGAAAGATATCAAAAGATAGGAGAGACAAAAAGATCAACCCCAATTGAAGTTTTATGCGAAACATTCCCAGGTAAAAACACATAAATGTACTGTAACAATAACACGTACATGTACTATGTCTTTTAAATGTATTGTGACCCCTATGATAATTATTTTATAGATTTTTAAAACAGCGAGCCTCTACTGTACAGTTTAAAGATATTTCTCATAGTTTCCCACTTTATAAATGGAATATGTAATACATGTACATGCATTTACTAGATACTGCATGTACATGTACACGTACATGTGGCCAGTGGGCATGTTGGGAATTAGACACAATAACATGTCACTGTATTTACATGTACACATTCCTACCATTCATATACATTGTGACCACGTTTATTAATTAATGAACCACAGACCGCGCCTACTAATTAATTCCTGTCATGTTTTTTTTATAATTAGATGAAATGGCTACATACTTGCGTTACGTGAGAAGACTGGATTTCTTTGAGACCCCGGATTATAACTATCTACGTAAATTATTTCAAGATCTTTTTGATAAGATGGGATTCACTGATGATGGAGTATTTGACTGGACTGGAAAGGAAGTGGTAAGAAAGAGAGAGAAGGAGGGAGAGAGAGACAGAGAGAGGGGAGGGAGAGGGAGAGAGATAAAAATAAAATTACCTTTATAAGTCTTAATGTAGTATAGTACAGTTTACTATTCCTTTATTTGAATGATAGTGTCTATGAGTACAATAGTCAAATGAATTTTTATTTGATTAGTCTATCAATAATGACCGCTCTATAGTCTAGGCCCTCTAGGGGTATAAAACACGTACTGTACAATATACTATTATGTCACTTTGCATGAACATGTGGTCAATTCTTATATTCTCTCTATCTCTCTCTCTTCCTTTGTAGAATACATCATTTGGTACGGTGGTGTATGAGCCAGGCGGTGGCCAGTATAGTACCCCAAGGAGAGCCAATGATGGAGGAAATGTATAGCATCTTAATTACTATATTGATTATTATCAATGCTGTTTTTTCTTTTTCTACAGCCAATTTCACCACGGCACCACCTGGAGCCTCCCGGTCACACAAATCAAACTAAATCTCCTGTAGCTGGTATAAATAGACCGGCAGATGCATCACCCCCTAACGAAAAACCCCCTGAGGGACCCGGAATTGTAGAAGAAACAAGGTGAGTGGCCACGCCCTGTCGATTCTCATAAAAATTAAATCTGTTTTTATTTGCTTTTTCTCATATCCTAGATGCTGCTGTTTCAGAAAGAGCGTAAAGAAGTGATACCAATACGTCCATCGCCAATAATCTCTTACGTATAATCTCACTTTCTTTTCTTTCTTTTATCATATCCTGGTTCGCTCTCTCTCCCTCTCTTTCTGCACAACAAACTTACTACTTATGTTACCTACTAACAGCCACTGCTCTGCTATCTATATGCATCCTCTCCTCTTTTGTATAACTTTTCTTTTCAAATCCATCAACTCATACTCCTCTGTGATAGTAGAGCCACCGCTACTAATGAGACTGTTAACGATTGAATAAATTCTCTCTATTATTATTATTATTATTATTGATATTACTTTCTTGTGTGTCTAATGGACTCGACTCACTCTTTCTTTCTCTTCCTCTCTCTCTCTCTCTTCTGCTCTCTCTTTTCTGTACATAAGTTATAATGTTGTATTCATACAACACACACTATTAATGTGTTATGTTTCAACGATACTTTATGTAAATTAACTATTATTATTATTATTATGTATAGCTCATTATTTTTTTGTAATACCTGTATGTACAAAATAAAAAATTTTCAACAACAACATTTTGTTTTCACTGCTGTATCCTGTGTTTATTAGCATCATAGATTGGTGTGTATGTACAATAAATTTGGAAATAAAAGTATGAGCCATCGGTTTTTTTCACAGGATTTTGGCATAGTGCTCATACATCTTATCAGAAGATTGTAATGTAAGATCCTGTACTATATTATAGTTAAGGTATTTCAACAAAAATTTTAGAATTTTTCCTTTTTTATAATTTTTGATACATAATACTTGCTCTGATGTTGTGCTGCAAATTTGAGCAGAATTTAGATTTTTGCATATTATTTTTAAAGTTGCTAAAAAAATTGGACCAAAATCCCTGTACTATAGTACAGAGTTATCAGCCAAAAATAGAAATAATTTTCCACCAAATTTTTTGAAAAATTTTTAATAAAAATTTTCCACCATAAAAAAATAATAATTTTTCCGGCAAATTTTCCCACAAAAATTTTAATAAATAATTTTAAAAATTTCCCGCCAAAATTAAAAAAAAAATTTTTCAGAATACAAGAATTTTACAAAAATTAATTTTTTTTAATTCTGACAAATTATTTACATAAATTTTGGTGACAAATTTGGCCTATGGATGATTATCTTTTTTATAGCTAAAATGTAAAATCTCAATCAAAAATCATTAAATCAATAATCATCATTAATCATTTCATAGAGTCAGTTCATGTATATACTGGCATCACACTATGACTTGTACCACTTTAACGAGCGATGGAGTGCCTCCTGCCATGTTAAGTACAAGGATTCGTATTGAGGATTCTCCTGAGGCTCAAAAATATTATCAAGCTTCCAAAAACCCTCCAGCTCATCGCGGGACTTCCAAAAACCAGAGGCTAGCCCGGCAACATAGACAGCTCCGAATACAGTCTTGTCAAGTTCGCTGGGTTTCTCTATGGGTATCTCAAGTAGGTCTGATATGAGCTGCAGTATGAAACCATTGCGACAGACACCACCATCCACTCTTATCTTCTTTATGGGGTGACTCACTTCAGCGTTGGCTACTGTTAGCAGCTGCTTGCATATAAATGCAATGGATTCCAATAGAGCCCTCACTATGTGCTCCTTCCTAGTGTTATGAGTGAGGCCAATGACAGATGCTGTAGAGTTGGGATCATTATGAGGAGCTTGTATCCCATCGAAACAAGGAACGAAACACACTCCACCTGATGAATCGACAGATTGCGCCATATCCTCCGTTTGCGACGGACAGTCATACAGACCAAACTTCTTCCCCCACTCAATGACACTACCAACACTAGAGAACATACCCTCGGCTAGGAAGGTCAGGTCTGACCCAATCTTCCAGCCTATTACTGGATACAGGCCAGTCACTGAGGCGTGTGGACGATTACCTGTGTTAATGTTTACAAATAAACCTGTACCAAGTGTACATTTAGTGTCCCCGGGCTCCCAACACATCTGCCCAAACATGGCGCTAGTCTGGTCCGATATGATGCCTGTTATTGGGATTGAGACGCCAAAGATATCTTCATGAGAATGACCAAAGTCTCCTCCACTGTCCCTCACTTCTGGTAACATTTGGGACGGGATTTCGAATATTTTTAGTATCAGTCCGCTCCAATCTAGTTGATAAGTGTCATATATTGCAGTAGCACTGACGTTTGAGTAATCCGTTGCATGTACCTCCCCCTTTGTCAGTTTCCATATCAACCATGTGTCCACTGTACCGAAGCACAGCTCCCCATTGCGACCTCTCTCCCTGGCACCCTCCAGTTGATTGAGTAGCCACCAGAGCCTGACGCTAACATGATTCGTAATGAACTTAATGACAGATGCTGCCATGAATTTCTTTCCTCTCGTAAAGAAATAAGCAACATTAGCACCTGCTTGTAATGTCTTCAGTTGGATGGATTCGTTCCAATCAATGCATGCTTGGGCTGCTCTCCTGTCTTGCCACGTACTAAAATTACATAGAGGCTTCCCCGTATCTCTCTCCCAGAGCAAGAAGGTGCATCTCAGTGTCGTTATTCCAATGCAAGCTGTATCCTCGGGCTTCAGGGAGCCACTCTCCAGCGTTTGGGAGACGACGGTCTTAAACTTGGTCCATAATTCCTCTGGGTCTATTTCAGATGCGTCTGGTGTTGGATGGAGGACGTTGACACTCACTTCAGACTGGCCCAAGGTCTCCCCGCTCTTGTCTACAGCCACGCACCTTATTCTACTAGTACCTACATCAACCCCGAGGACAAAAGAAGACGACATTGTGAGCTGATGATCAGATTAGCAATTTAGCAGTGAACCGAACCCAGTGAACCGCATGATCTAATTTGATTGGTTTGACTTTTATACTGATTCTGTGAGTAACCTTGACTTGAGAGCAGCTACAGTAGCTACAGTACTACAACAGCTAAGTACATGCATCACTTTATGGATATCAGTTGTAAGTAGACTTTATGTATGCAAGAGATTTTTTGCTTTTTTCAGATTTTGGGCCATAATGCAAGGTTTTTGCATTTTGCAAGCAACTGCAATGTTGGTAACTAAAGGGTTAAAATTAAAATTGCAACTAGAAAATGGTGGTCGATTTGTTTCTATGGTAACGGATACATGTACTCACTGAAGACATGCACTCAAGAGCTTATCTCTTACTAAAGAGAGATCTACTTAACTTTGAGCGACTACCAATCGAAGTAAGTATCACTTCATGCTTTCAAGTGCTACCTCTATGCCTACTAGGGTCTAACTGCATCCCCTGTATCTGAAGATGATCTCTACAATTGGAATGCTGTCATAAAAGGGCTGGCCGGAACACCATGGGAAGGTCAGTTAAAGAAGCCTCATTATAATTATCTATTTTCTTTTTATATAATTAGGAGGTATCTTTCATTTAAGACTAAAATTCACAAATGCTTACAATACTTCTCCACCTTTTGTCCAGTTTATGACTATACCGTATCATCCCAATGGTGCATATAATCTTTACTTTATTCTCTTAATTTGCTTTGCTTGTTGCAGTCCATCCTGTTAGTGGTGTGCCAGCATTGGAAATACTCAGCAAAGAGCACTGGAATGAGACCTACACAATGTCTAGCATACTAATGAAGATACAAGTAAGAGAGAGGGAGATAGAAAGGGAGACATACAAGCAGGATTTGTCACAGGATTTTGGTGTAGCTGTACCTATAAATAATTATTCCCTCTTGCTATCATTTTACTGACATTAGGTATTACTGAGTGAGCCTGAATTAGACTCTGGCTGCATTTATAATCAACAAGCAGCTTATTACTACGTTCATGCCAACCACACATACAAGCAACTGGTATTTGACTGTGTCACTGCAAGTTTAAGGATACAAGGTAAGAGAGAGAGAGAGAGAGAAAAGGAGGGGATGGATTCTTATCATATCATTGTGTATAGCTGGATTGATGCCTTATGAAAGCACAGAAGAGAGCAAGACTGATTTTGTGGACCATGGGCCAGTTACAAGCTCAACTTCTCCTCTCTTTCCTCCTCCTCCTCCTGCTCCAACTGGACAAAAGCAAAGATTTAAACAGACAAAAAAGAAAATACCTTTTGATGACTATCATGCACTCTGGCAGGGACTGGCTACAACTGTTCCAGCATATGACCCAAAAAATCAGTGTAGGCATTAAAATTAAAATTAATCACTTGTACACAGACATGTACATGTACATGTATGTACATAAAATGCATGTACTGTACATGTACATGCATAAAATGCATGTACATGTAGCCAAAATTGTGTATAGTAGTAATATGTGTTACATGTGTTATGTGTTAATATGTAATATGTGTTAATATGTGTTACAGTAATACATGTATGTGTTACAAAAAATGGCTCCAAAATCACCCCCAATTTTTATTACATTTTCTGATACATGTTGATGTACTTATGCTGTGTAGAAAGTTTGAGCTGATTCCGACTTCAATTTTTGAAGTTACGGCCATTTTAAGAAAACATCAAAATTCTGAAAAATACCCAAGGCTATAGCCCATGGTTTTTTCCAAAAAATGGCTCTGAAATCACCCCCAATTTTTATTACATTTTCTGATACATATTGATGTACTTATGCTGTGTAGAAAGTTTGAGCTGATTCCAACTTCAATTTTTGAAGTTACGGCCATTTTAAGAAAATATCAAAATTCTGAAAAATACCCGAGGCTATAGCCCATGGGTTTTTTCCAAAAAATGGCTCTGAAATCACCCCTATTTTTTATTACATTTTCTGATACATATTGATGTATTTATGCTGTGTAGAAAGTTTGAGCTGATTCCGACTTCAATTTTTTAAGTTACGGCCATTTTAAGAAAGCATAAAAATTCTGAAAAATACCCTGTACTATAGCCCATGGTTTTTTCCAAAAAATGGCTCCGAAATCACCCCTAATTTTTATTACATTTTCTGATACATATTGATGTACTTATGCTGTGTAGAAAGTTTGAGCTGATTCCGACTTCAATTTTTTAAGTTACGGCCATTTTAAGAAAGCATCAAAATTCTGAAAAATAGCCTGTACTATAGCCCATGGTTTTTTCCAAAAAATGGCTCTGAAATCACCCCCAATTTTTATTACATTTTCTGATACATATTGATGTACTTATGCTGTGTAGAAAGTTTGAGCTGATTCCAACTTCAATTTTTCAAGTTATGGCCATTTTAAGAAAACGTCAAAATTCTGAAAAATACACTGTACTATAGCCCATGGTTTTTTCCAAAAAATGGCTCCAAAATCACTCTCAATTTTTATTACATTTTCTGATACATATTGATGTACTTATGCTGTGTAGAAAGTTTGAGTCGATTCTGACTTCAGTTTTTCAAGTTACGGCCATTTTAAGAAAACTTCAAAATTCTGAAAAATACCCTGTACTATAGCCCATGGTTTTTTCCAAAAAATGGCTCCGAAATCACTCCCAATTTTTATTACATTTTCTGATACATGTTAATGTACTTATGCTGTGTAAAAAGTTTGAGTCGACTCCGACTTCAGTTTTTCAAGTTACGGTCATTTTAAGAAAACGTCAAAATTCTGAAAAATACACTGTACTATAGCCCATGGTTTTTTCCAAAAAATGGCTCCAAAATCACTCCCAATTTTTATTACATTTTCTGATACATGTTGATGTACTTATGCTGTGTAGAAAGTTTGAGCCGATTCCGACTTCAATTTTTCAACTTACCGTGCCATTTTAAGAAAACGTCAAAATTCTGAAAAATACATGTATGTGGTTTTGAAGGTTTTTCTGTATAATTTTATTATAGTTATGCAGCTTCTGGATAGAGATAGTTTCTTAAAGCAGGTGCATTCTGGTGAGGACTATCAAAAAACTGGAGACTTACAAAAGCTAACATCTGAGTAATGATGATCATGCATGAACACTATATGAACACTATAGCTGTACTGTATCACCTTTAATGATTCTTTCTCTTGCAGCCACTTGACACTAAAGTATGGTATCTCCAGGAGAGGAGGAGGAGGAAGTGGTGGAGGAGGTAGAAATGGAAAGAAGGTGATGACAATGAAGGACAGACAGAAAAGGATTGCTGAATTGGCTGCACTGTATGCAACTAAAGTCACATCGCCTCTACCACCAATAAGCACTGCAGGTGGGAATACATCACATTTTACAGACATGCAAGAAGTCTTGATATTTTTTTACATTGTGTGTACTGTGTAGATGGCTCACATCGAACGGACACTATCAATATTGATGAATTGGTGGCATGGACTGAGGCATTGGATGAAAAGGAGCTAGAGAATGTTACTGTCAGTTAGTACAGACGATAGCCATTCATTGGACTACAGCAACAATTTTTGTTTTATTTTATTTTTCTACAAAATAACAATCAACCTCTTTTTAATAATAATCAGAACAGAATATTAATTTTTGTGAGAATTGAATTCTATTGGGTGGAGCTCATAATAACTGCAATTAGTCTTGTAAAATGGCCGGTTCTCCTTGTAACCCTTGTTATGACAATTTCATCCTCACCACTGATTCTTACAAGGTAACTTGAGCTGCGGTCATTTTGTGAATCACTATGTCTTCTTCCTCGTTGTGTAGAATACTCATTATTTGCAGTATCCCCCAGGAACTACTACCGTCTATTCTTACTTTGAGAGTAGAGGAGGGAAGCATCCTCAAACAGTGTTCTTTGGCCTCCAGTACATATTGAAGGTACTTAGATAAGATTTCACATAAAAAAGTCAATTTTTTGATAGCGTTATTTTCTTGGTAAAGTTGTGACACTTGAGAAGATTGAGCAAGCTAAGGCAATATTTGATGTCCATGTTGGCCCTAACATATTCAATTACGAAGGATGGAAGTACATACTAGAGAAATACGATGGACACTTGCCTCTTAGAATAAAAGCTGTTCCCGAAGGAACTGTAATGCCCACTAAGAATGGCATGTGTTTGTTTGTTTGTTTGTTTGTTGTTGTTTATTATTTTGTAGTTTTGTTTACTGTTGAAAACACTGACCCAAAGTGCTACTGGTTAACTAATTTTGTGGAGGTATAGCTTTATATTTATCAGTATTATTATTGTTATTATTTTTGTTAGGCGGTTTTAGTCCAAACTTGGTACCCAATGACAGTCTGCAGCAGCTCAAGGGCTCAGAAAGAAGTCTTAGTTAAAGTACAATGTATAATGCAATAGATCATTATTAATTTTTTCTATTATTTTATTTATTTGTAATAAGTATTTAGATGAGACTGCCGACAATTTGGACTCACTTCCTTTTAAACTTAACGACTTTGGGTTCAGAGGAAGTACATCAGTTGAAGTATGCACTGAGTTACAATGAAAATTCATTTTTATCAATTAATGTATTATTACCCAGTCTTCATCAATTGGTGGAGTTGCTCATCTTGTTAACTTCCAGGGAACTGATACACTATCTGCTCTTGTAATGGCAAGGTACAGTAATGTGTTAATAGCAGGGCTTCTCACAAAATTTTGGCATTGCTTGAAAACTTGATAAAAACATAACCTAAACAGGATATTATTTGTGAGAAACCCTGGTCCATGCTGCAATGTACATGTATATTTATTATAACTATGTATAAAGGGAATACTATGGCTGTGAGATGGCGGGATTTTCCATACCAGCAGCTGAGCACAGGTACATATACTTGTGTATACTTCTCTCTCTTATTATCTCGAATTCCTCATCTCTTTCTTTAGCACAATTACATCATGGACTAAAGATGGTGAAGCTGATGCCTTTAGAAACATGCTAGCCAAAGTAAGTGCTTAACGTAAATAATTTTGATGTTATGTATATTTCTTTCTTTAGTTTCCAAAGGGAATAGTGTCATGTGTTTGTGACAGTTATGATTTATGGTATATGAAATTTTGTTAATTGAATTAAAGAATTATGATAATGACATTAATAGGAATGCATGTGAACACATTTGGGGAGAAGAACTAAAAGAATTAGTTGAGTTGAGAGGGAATTCAGGTATAAACTCCACCTGCACTTATAAGGGAATTATTAATAATCTATTTTTTAAAAGGTGCCGGTATTGTTGTCCTAAGACCTGACTCCGGTGATCCTCCAACCATTCTGCTTCGAGTCCTTGAGATTTTAGGCTCTAAGTTTGGAACAGTGACCAACAGCAAAGGATATAAACTCCTTCCTCCTTACCTGAGGGTGATACAAGCTGACAGTGTGAGTTATGACTCACTGATTACCATACTGGAGCACTTGAAGAAGAACATGTGGAGTGCAGATAATCTTATATTTGGAAGTGGTGGTAAGACAATTATATTTGGTGTACATTTATACTTATAGCTCCAATGCATATACTATAGGTGGTCTGATACAACGTGTGGATAGGGATACACAGAAGTGTGCATACAAGTGCAGTTATGCAGTGATCAATGGTAAAGGTGTCAATGTGTACAAGTCCCCAATCACCGACTTGGGAAAGAAGTCCAAAAGAGGCAGCCTGACACTGGAGATGGAGAATGAGCAGTTTCTTACAAAAGAGGAAGGAAAAGGTTCACCTGACAAGGTATATTGTTATAGCTCAAATTACAGGCTTAGTCAAGTTAGCTGGAGTTAATACAGTTTTAGTTTTAGTAATCACTTGTTATATGTACCTGCAATGTAGGGGTACATGTATGCTGTGTGTGATATTTGGTTAAAGGGAATATTGTTAATATTAATAGGATCTCCTCGTTACTGTGTATGAGAATGGCCACTTGTTGAAGGACTACAGTTTGTCTGAGATCAGAGAGAGAGCAGAGATACCGCTAGTAAGAGAAAAAAATTCTAAGAAATGAGAACTAAAAAATAAAAATAATACTTTTTAATTTTTGTATGCTCATCTAGTTTAGTGCTATCACTGCTGTGTTTTTTAATTATTTCAAATAAAAGTAATAAATAGCTTTAGCATTAAATATAAATGGGAATTTCAGCAGGAAGCATGCATGTTTACATCTAAAGTATCACAGCATTAGTATTATATAAAAAAACTATTCAGCAGCAGCAAATTGTTCAGCAAGTATAATAATAGCATCTCTAACAGTCTCAGCATTGTTCAGTAGTTTATTTGATGTAGATTTCATAGTAGCCAAAAGGAGTGTCTTCATCTCCTGTACCTTGATCACCACACACCCTTAGCTCAAGATTGTCATTGGTAGCAACACTGTAGGTCCTGTGAAACCATGGTATACCGGGTGCAGAGCAACAATTGATATCAACTGAGCCGCAATTCTGACCATCCCAGAGTGGATTTGATGTAAATAGTTTGAACTGAGCCATGTTTAAAAGATTGCCTGATTCACAGAAATAATTGTTACCCACGAATGATTGAGTTGTTTGGGTACTGCCTATGCCACAGGGACATGTATAGTCTGAAGCAAGGAGGACATTACCAGAAAATCCAGAGACAAATGACCACACATGTTGGCGTGGAGAACCTCTTGTAATGCTAATGCCGTCAACATAATAGGAATTGAGATTATTGTGATTTGGCCATGCTGAAGCTAGTCCATCTGTTGTTGCATATTGATACCCTGTTACTCTCCCACATATTTGACTATATGAGAAACCGTTGGATGGAAATTGAACTGAGGTACAGCTTGCAGTACTTGAAGAAGGCCTGCCACAAGCTCTAACTCCTCCTGACTGGTAGAGTCTAAACCCAGTGGGACAGTTCTGTGTAGCATCAGACATATCTATATATGCTATTCTTTTCCATCCTCCTCCGGAACCACAGAGCTCTCCCATGTGACAATATGCATATGTGACACCATTACCATTTGGATTAATCAATAGGTAGACGCCAGAGGGACTATTTGGTTGTCTCTGTTTAATCTCCTCACATGAATAAGGCAGTGTAGAGTTATCAGAGTGCAGCTCAAGTAGCTCATCTACAACGAGCAAAATATCATCAACAACTCCTGCAGTTGATGTACTCGTATTTTTCAAATTAGTGAGCGTATTTACAATATTGACTAACTTTTGAGCAGTGTTACCAGTTGTCTGCATTACCTGTTCAATATTATATGTATTGTTTACAGAAATGGCTGCTTGTTCATTTGCAAGAGTACGGATTTCATTCACTTTTGAGGCTGTCTCATGTGTAGCATTAAGTAGCTGACCGATTTGATTTTGTACGATTCCGAGTTGGTTTTGCTGTCCCTCTAGCACATTAGAAATGGAGCAGTTAATTGCATTAGAGCCACCAAGAGAATCAGAAGTGCCTGTATTAGTAGTCGGATTCACAATATTATCAGTATTTGTTTGTGAGTTGTCACATATAGGGAGAGTGGTCAAATGAGTGAGTATTGATGCTGTTGTTGCAATGATGGCCACCAAAGATATGAATAGGAGTACAACTCCAATGCCTAATACCATTGATGCAAGTCTTCCCATACCAGCTCCTCCAGTCTCTCTTATGATCATATGAGGTCTGCTGCTGCCTTTGTTGTTTTCATATTCTTGAAGGTCATTCACTTCATAAATGTGCTGCAAATCTTCTTTGTCCATCTTTGCTTAGTATTATAAATTTTAGAGACTGGTTTAGGCTACGGTATGTGTCAGCTATAAAGCAAAGGGTGTGCAAAACAAAAGCTACTATGGATACCAAGTGCATTCATGGATAGAGCACAATTTTACTTAACTAGATCTAGTTAATAGCCTAAGCCTATTTTAACCCCTCAGTCGGGATCTAAAATGGTGACCAGATTACACCTCTTAAGAAGATATTTTATGTCTTGCTCTTTTCCTCTGCTCAGAAAGCTACCAGAAAAAGATATAATTATCAACAGGATAACTTACAGTAATAGATCGTTGCCTAACAGATATTGGACTGTAAGGTTATGCACAGGAACGAGGTAAAATTGCTTCAAAAAAGTGCATGAAGTGATTAAAAATAATTATTTGATTAATTACAGGGTTTTCCCTGTTGAATTGGACGAGAAGACTTATGAGAAGATAGCAGATGAAACGTTACAGGAATTATTATCAGTTTTTGAAGACCTTGTGGACTCGGGAGAAAGTGGAGACGAATCTGATGTACAATACGAGGTAATAACATAATAATAATTATTATTATTATGATTATCTTTTTGTGTAGAGTGGTGTACTTACATTTTATTTAGGAGGTGAGTTTAATAATAAAATATATAATTTTAATTATGTTGTTGTTGTTAGGTGGTAGAGGGACATACGTCATTAACAAGCAGACGCCGAACAAACAGATCTGGCTCTCTTCTCCTACAAGGTATCATACAGGAGTATTAGCTTGATAGGTTTTTGTGGTATTTTTTATCAATTTTTACAGTGGTCCAAAGAGATATGACATCATTGATGATAAGTGGACTTATTCTCATGATTTGGTACCAATGCATGAGCTTCTGTCAAAAGAACTAACTCAAGCACTTCAGACTAACGTTGATTTGACCGTACTTAATTATGCAAAGATTCCAAAAAGTTTAATAAAATGAATTTAATACAACAACATCAACAAAAATACACTTATTGCATCAATATAGTGATTGTAAACATAGATCGGACATTCACACAATTTCACAATATACATATAGAACTATTATTATTGTTTTGTCAAGGGACAGCATCATAGTACGTCTCTTTCAAGTATTTCCTAAGCTCTGACTCTCTCTTCTCATCCTCACTGTCTAGATTCTGTAAAAATAATAAAATTTAATATTTTAGACAATATTCATGGTCTTCATTCAAATGACTGCAAAATGAACTATTATATAACCTTCAAATTTTTAATGCAGCATTTAAAAAATTTATAAAAAATCCAATTTTGATGCAAAACTTCATACACAACATAAAATGTGTGAAAAATTATACTGAAAGATATTATCAGATGCTAACGGTTACATGTATTCTTTTGCAGGGTGTTGCCTACCAAATATGGGGACACCCTGTACAGTGTATACAGTGATACAGTATTTTGATATACAATTGATGTTCTATCGTGACTTTCTTACTTTCCAAAGCAGCACCATATTGTCACTGCCACACGTTACCAATCCATCCTCACTGCTCATGAATAATACTGACTGTGAGAGAGAGAGGGAAAAGAGAGAAGAAATATAAAAGGTTAGTAGTATATTTCATTATTAAACAATACAATTCATATCAGAGCACTCGTATACCTGTACAGTATCAGAGTGTAGCATTAGTTCACCAACCAGTGTTGGTACTATTGGGGTGGTTTGTGATGGTAATGATCTTCTCTTTCTTAAAGACTGTCTCCTAATAATGACAGATATAATTTGATATAATTACTCTGTTGTATGACTTGTATCTCTCCTCCCCAACTTATATGTGCTACATGTATGGTTGTGTGTGTGTGTGTGTGTGTGTGTGTAATTTATGCAGCAGGTTTCCCCACAAAGCATGCTATGTGAGCTAAAAACAGCATGAGCTTCATGCATGCATGCAGTAATAGACACACATGCATTGGCTCTTAGCAACTTCAAAAATTCATAAAAAATTCAATTTCGATTAGAATCAGCTCAAAAGTTATACAGAACATAAAGATATGTATGCGTATCAGAAAAAATTATAAAAACAGTGAATTCTCTCTTAGTCATTATTGACAAAATTTGGCCAAAAACACTGTACTATAGTACAGGGTCTTTGGTCCAATTTTTGAGTAACTTCAAAAATTCATTAAAAAAATCTAATTTTGATCGGAATCATTTCAAACTTGCTACACAACATAAGAACATGTATATGCATCAGAAAAAGTTATAAAAATTGAAAATTCTCTCCTAGTCGTTTTTGGTGAAATTTGGCCAAAAACCCTGTACTATAGTACAGGGTCTTTGGCTCAATTTTTGAGTAACTTTAAAAATTCATAAAAAATCTGAACTTGATTGGAATCAACTCAAACTTTCTACACAGCATAAAAACATGTATATGTATCAGAAAAATTATTAAAATGGAAAATTCTCTTTTAATAATTTTTGATGAAATTTTGCTGTACTAAGAGACTTTGGCCTAACACTCACTGGTTTGTTGAATTAGTATGTATACCACAGAACACTTCAACATTGAACTTATCCATATCCTCTGGAAGTAATAAATAAATAAACAAATAAATGAATAAATAAAACTGTCAGGAGACTATAGTGTACCTTTCTTTTGTACCGGAGGCTTTTTTTGAAACGGAGCGAGTGATGGGTCAGGCTTCCATAGCCTGACTGACTGATCAGCAGAAGCTGTTATCAACATTGATCTATTATACATATATATTTATATACAGATATATGTATTTATTCATACATATATATTTATATACATTATATCAACATAATGTTGTTCACATACTCTTCAATGATAAACTCCATGTGATTGATGGCGTCTTTGTGAGCTTCTGTGTGTACTACTAATGGTTTATGGGTACTCTGCAATTCATGGGGCGTTACTGACACTATCAATAATGAATAATAATAATAATAATAATAATAATAATAATAATAATAATGCTAATGTTAATAATCAATTAATTCACAGTGTCATAATGAGTCATAGTGAGTCGTAACTCATCATAGTGATTCGGACACAAAATAAAGTATTTATATGCAAACAAACAGCTATATGTGTAACTCTATGATACTAATTAAATTAATAATAAATAATAGCTCATGCCAGTCAAAATAAACATGTGCGTAACCATAGCAACGCTTACCGTCACTAGAGTAGACATCAAACACTTTGAATCCTCTTCCAATGGCAACAAACAAATAGCGCTAAGTATGGAGGGACAGAGAACAAGACACGTAATTATTAATATATTACTCAACTTTACAAACCCTACCCTCACTAATTTTAGAGCTATTTATTTATTTATTATTTATTTGTATTAACACACCTCTCTCTCTCTCTCCCTCCCCCCCTCTCTCTCTCTCATGCTCACCTGACATAGCACTAGTATAAAATTGACCCTGCTTGAAGGATCAAAGTTGATTATAGTAGAACTCATGATAGAGGATGATGTAGACTGACTCAGAGAGTTTGAGCTATCGGAAAAATCGTCTTTCATTCCCTCAAATCTCTTAATTGCGTTCAGCGAATTAATGGACCAGACAATGACACTGCCGTCCTCAGACCCAGTAGCAAATAAAGTATCTAAATAACAACAAAAACAATAATAATAATATTATAATAATAATAATAATAATGCAACCTATCCTTATAATTACAATACCTTTTGTCCTTTAATGATATAATAAAAATTGATGACCTACATGTACATATTTGGTGTAACCTAACACCATTCTTATGCACTCATTAGTCAGAGCATGACTTCAAATCAAGTGCTACATCATCTAAAAATTCTAATTGCATTATTATTTTATTATTATTATTTCTGCTAAATGAATTAATATAAGCTATATATGTATAAGTTATACAGTCACGGTAATCTGATACTGGTAGCTTTGCAGTAATCAATTCCATTCTCAGTCAGATTCATGTCACACACACACACACACACACACACACACAACATGCATGCTACGAATGTATTGTCTTATTATTCAAAATTTCCTTCCTACAATTATTAGTCTTTGCACCTTTTAGGAGTTTGTATATTTGTATGTGTGTACAGAAACACTCTCTTTAATGCTCTTTGAACAATTATAAAATCAAACAGCTGCTAGATGCATACACACATTCATCCTACCCAAACACTACTGGATATCCTCAGTATTTACATTACAAACAAATCTGTAGCCTTTGACTGCTTTCCAACTAATGATATTATACCCAGAAAATGCTAAATTTCATTATGTATTCTTGTTGGCTCATTAGTTGCATATCTAACTAGCAATATTGTCATCTTAAGATTACCTAATACTATGCCCACACATCTTGCCTTGCGGGCATGTTACTCGTTGCTGTTAACACCTTGCGCTTGACCACACCCTCTAATTAATAGCGTTCTCTAATTAATAGTGTTGTCTTACTTGACACTGAAGTGAGGTATGAGACTGGTCCGTTGTGAAACGAGAGGAGGTGATCGTTGAATTGCAGGTGATATTGGACGGTCTGTGTCACCGTTGATTTCTTTATTTCATAAAACTCTAACAAAAACACAGCATAAAAAAAAGACTACAATAATAAATTGATTGTACTGCATTGAATTTTTGGTATTTCCCATTTTAAGTCAACATCTAAAACATTGATGATTTAACATGTTTTGCTACACTCCCAAAACAGTAAAAACACCATAGAATTAAAATACTACTTGTATTACACTAGTGGGTGGAATGAGGTACTATATGTACAACTAGTACAGTATATGATACATTAGTGTTAGTTTAGAGGAGGGACAAGTGTATGAATGTGGCTTACCAGGTTTGGGGTTCTTTGATACAGCTACTATACCGAAATTCCTTCCCTCTATTTCCAAGATTGAATGAATCTCGCCTGAAATAATAATAATAATAATAATAATAATAACGATAATAATAATAATAATAATAATAACGATAATAATAATAATAATAATAATAATAATAATAATAAAGATAATAATTATAATAATAATAATAATTCGCAGAACTCTGATAAAATTAAATTAAAGCAACTTACTTATGTTTTCATCTGGGATTTGTGAGCGATCATATTTTGAGAGTAGTTTGCCAGAAGGTATGTCCCAGAGACAAATGTCCTGACCTCCTGAGCAAAGCATGTCTTGACGTAGGAGACATAAGCACTGCCAGGTGGAAAAGGGAGAGAAAGGAGAGAGGGAAAGAAGAGAAAGATTACTGATTATGACTGATTGGTGCATACGTTGATCACGCCCTTGTGATCGGTACTGATTTTAGGATTAACCCCGGGCTCAATGTCCTTCAATTCCCAGATGACCAGTTCAGTAGATGACGCAGTCGCGATGGTATGATCGCTGATATCAGTCTCAGACTCAGTACTATAGTCACTACTGATTGAGAGGGGAAGGATACAAGTGATTGGTGATGTGTGGTAACTGTGATAGAGTTCTGTCATTGAGCCGTACTGTGTAAAAATAATGTAAATAAACTCTCTCTCCTTCTCCTTACCTTAGACTCCCACACAACAACAAGATTGTCATCAGCTCCGGTCACAAAACTAAGAAAATAAGACATTTGATTTAAATTCAGTAAACATTAATTTTTAGTTTCTCATTATTTATAAATGCCTCCTCTCTCTCTCTTACTGTGTTTTATTGATTTTCTTCAAGTGGTTGACTGGGCCACTGTGCCCTTTAAGAAAGAGAACCTCCTCATAAACATTATGAGGTTGAGAATTAGCAATAGTCTGGTAGACATCGTCTTTAGCCTGAGGAAAGAAAAAGTAAAGGAGATGTCCAAATCTAGTAATTTATGTGCCTGCTTATTAGAGACAGGGCTTGGTCTGGGGCTGAATATAGCTCTAAAGAGAGAGGCCATCTTTGCAAAGCTAGCTTCTCAGCCACTCCCCCAACCATTTGCACACAGGCTCGAGATCACGTGATCCTCCAAACTATTTATTTTCTATTTTTAAAAAAGATTTTTCTCACGAGTCCCTTTCTCTCTCTCTCCTTCCTCTACTCTGTAGTGGTTGCTCGTGGTGTTATTATAAGATCTTTAGTAGGATAGAGCTCTAAAAGGGATTCCCAGTCTACCTTTGCTTAGTAGAGCAAGGGTGAGCTTTGGTGCGTGTCTGATCTGAGAGGCGTTATTATATAATTTTGTTATTATTTTTTACTAATAGGAGAACGGTATTTTTTTCACAGCTTGGAAGTGTCTGATAAGATCTCTTGTGCTGTTTTTTTGTCGCTAGATAGAAATAGGGAGAGACAGAGAAATAGTTGCAATATTTTCGAAGGTTCGATACCAACACGCTAGCCGTAACCATGTCAACTAGCAAACCGATTCTCCCTCCACTTGCTTCCTCCTCCACTCCAATCCTTCCCAGCCACCATCAGGTGAGGACCTAGTCCTATATATTTCCCTCTCTCTCTTGTAATGAGATTATCCATTTACATGTAGATTTTATCAAAAGTACTATTATTCATTCATTTTTATTTATTATACTTTGTGAAAATTATCATTCTCTCTTATGTCTTCTTGTGATACTTGCTCATGATCTATCTTTCTTTATGACAGCTTTTATTTTATTTATTATTGTACATGTGTATCCACTGAACGGCCATCTTGTAGTAACGATATACATGTCTTTTGAAGTGTGTCCCCTCTGTGTGTGCTTGTGTGTGTTCTTTTCTCTAATATTGCATTATATTTGTGTGCTCTGGTTCTAATGAATGTCATTAATATCATTGATGAATACTCCTCAGGTTTGTTTTGGAGGATATGTCTATCTCCAAATATGGCTATTAATTTATTAACCTGGGAGAGTTATTTGATTTTTAGTGGATTTGAAATAAGAAATGTATTAAGTGCATATTTGTGAATATCACATTGCAATGATCTAGAGAGAGAAGAAAGATACATGTACAGGGCTGAGAGAGAGAGAGAGGGGGGGGAAGTCTCACAGACTATCACAGTGGTGTCACTGTCTGGCTTGCTATTAGTGGAATATTTTGGTGTTTTCATTGAAAATGATTGCATTGTTTTCTGGGTGGGTATACCCATGCATCCTTTCCATGTACATATATGTGTTCTCTCTCTCTCTCTCTCTCTCTCTCTTTCTTTCTCTCTCTCTCTCCCCTCCCTCTCTCTCTCTCATTCCTTTTTCCTCTATATTAATAAGCCTCCCTGTTTATGTTATGCAGCGTGTGTACTTGTATACGTCTGTGTTGTTTTCTGTCTCCCTATGATAATTGCTTGTATTAGCCTTTATTAGGACATAGACAATTACCTCATACGTGTACATACGTACCTTAATACTCATGCACTTATTATTCTGTATAGTAAATGTATGCATTTTGTTAATATGTATGTGTGTTTGAACTTTAGAATTATTGCAAATATTTTCTTTACACTCAATGCACATGTATTGTACACACACACACACACACACACACACACACACACACACACACACCACACAGGCATCATGCATACAGCTCCATTCAATTCCCTTGTATTGGTCTTGTATATATTATCTCATTTGTATTCTATTGATCACTTAAGCTCTCTCTCTTCCTTTCATTATACTTCAATGAGACACACTGTATATTTATCTTCCTTTGCTTATGTCTATAATTCCATTATAGTCTAGCTACCATGAGATCATTTGTCTGTAACAACATCTTTCTCGCCTCTCACTCACTCTCTCTCCTCTGTTCTCATGTATGTCTATACTTGGTAAATCTGGTGTCATTTGTTGTTGGTATAATGTTTCAGATCCTCTTTCTCTCTTAATCCTTTATTCTTTTTCCTTGAACATGACCACTGCTCATGTTCTCTTGTCATCTGCTTATCTAGCATAATCTCTTGCTATGCACATTGTGTTTCCCTTATTAATTATTAATATAATTTTAAATCATCAAAGCCAGCCTAGATATTGATCCCATTCATCTTAGGATTGTGTTTCCATGTTTTTACTGTACCATATCCATATATACTGAATGCCTTGCTAACATTAATCACTATATAGCCCTAAGGAGAAATGAGACAAAAAGAGGACATTATGTATGCATGTACATGTACAGTAGTGTGATCATGTATATATACATGTACATGTACATGTACAGTGTAGTTTATATTTAAGTAGTACATTAAGTCTATTATTGTTTTGATATGTCAATATTGCTGGAATTTTGACGAACCTTCCTGTCTCTTTCACCTTTCGCTGACAGTCTGTACTTACTATACATGTCAGTACATGTACATGTACATGTAGCTCGCTCTGTCTCTAAGACAATGTATAGGTGTCTTTTCGTACCAATGGTGTAAATCATGCTAACATTGACACCTCCTATACATGTTACTATTTATCATGCGTCTTTATATGGCTGGTGGGAAAAATTTAAAAACATGTTATTTATTTTGTGGTGTTTTCTCTTTTTTAAGTAATCATTTTAACACTAAAGCTTAACGTGGGAATAATTTGTTAACACACTACTCTATGATTGACACATTCATTATAGTTGTTGTTTTTCACAGAGATGATTTAATAAATGTACACATACGCACATTTCAGTACTGAATCAATCACTGTCTCTGTCTGCTGTATATTTATGCCCAAATGTGCTTGTAGTTTCAAAGCCCCCATGCAAGGGGTCTTGTAATATCGCCTATTAATAATGATATTATTGTTATCGTTATTTTTGGTTTAAGTTGCTAATTTTAGTAACCTGGCTTATACATGTATTTGCTGCTTTTTTCTCACTAAATGTGTGTCACTTTAGGTTTGACGTAACATGTTATCATCACAGTGTATAGTAGGAGCATGTCATGGCCTCTCATTTGATTATAATTATCCTACAGTCATATTGACTGGGAGACTCCTTTGATATCAGCAAGGAAGTAATTATTAATTGGATTTATAGGAGTGAATTACTGTTGCTAGGATGCTAATTGTCGGGTGTGGTTTAGATAATTGAAATACCATATGCATACAGATACATGTACATGTTGAAATGTACACGTTGTTATATTTTCTGGTTAATTTGCTAATTTTTTGTAAGGCTTTATATGTTATTTGTCACTATGCATGTCATTTTAGTTTTGTGACCATTATACAGCTGCCAGGCAGAGAAAGAGACTTACATGTACATGTACATGCATGTACATGTACACATACATGTACATGTATATGTGTTAAGAGGGATTGAGAAAGAGGGGAAGCTATGGAAGAATAAACACATGTACATGTACATGTAATATTTATGGGAAAAAAATTAAACTTAATTATTATGAAGGATACATATACATTCTTTAGTGTATTATTATTATTCAATTTATTTGTGGTTTTATTATTTAATATGTATGCGTGTACTTAGGGTCCAGCTGGGATGGTATAGCCCTAGAATTTTAATATCACAAGGAAATGATCACACTCACTAGTACAAACTAATAATTTCTATATTTTATATTAATGCTTTATGTCGAGGCATATGATTCGTTAATTGTGCAGATATTTCTTTAGCGACCACGTTATATACTTGGGGGAATTCCCTATTGTGATTGACCCCTCCTCCTTCATCTCACCCTACAATAACTACACCAATCAGCTGTCACATACAACACTATAGAAATAGTAACACACTGTACATTATAATATTCAGCCTACTAGCCACATTTATCTGATTTGTGTAATGCGTGTTTATTACGTGTGATCATTATTTGCTGTAATAAAAATGATATTTTTATATTGATTATAATCTAGCTCTTAATATTGTCTTCCTATTCCTGTAGTTTTATGTAGTTATGGTTTGTTGTGTATGTCTGTTAACATCTTCATTATTGTTCTCTCTCCCCCCCTCTCTCTCCCTCTCTCTCATTAGCCTTATCTAAGTAATATATCCGCCGTTGATGTCTGTAAGTCACAAAGCAGTGAGTCCTTCTTGCACAACGTGTACATGGGACCTCCTAGCAGAACGAAAGTAAGCATTCCTTTTTGTCTGTTGTACTTGTATCACTTTTTGTTTATTTTTGGTTTCGAATGTTTGAGATATTTGTCATTATTTGGTCGTGGCGACTATAGCGAGACTCAGTTTGTTGTTTTTACCCCTCTTTGGTCAAACGGCGTGTAAATGCTAATTAGCTAATTTCTCACTTCTTTCAGAGAAAAATAACTATAAGACGGACTGGACTAGCTGTCTTTAATTCTCATTTCTATAGGTTGTGTTTTATCAGATGAAGGAAGACATATTCATTCTCTTATCCCAAAAGTTAATACAGAAAGGTTATATATGCGGCCAGGCTTTATCCCCCGAGAGCACACTACCATTATTACAGGACCCTCTCAACCAAGTAAGATATTAATGCATGTACAGGGACTGGCCCCTTAAAGAATTTAATATTAAGCCATATGAATGTGTGCTATCTGTGTATACGTCATTTTGACCTTTGTATGTACAGTAATTGTATTTTTAATGATTTTTAAATATTTTTAGGTTGTCCTTGTCTTGTATGTCCAAGAGAGCCTACATGTGTCAGCTCAAAATCTTTTAAGGTTTGATTTTATGTCCATACATGCAGCTGCTATTGATTTTATTCTCTCTCCCTCCCACTCTTCCTGTTCTTTTCCTCTTCTTTTTCCTTTCATCCTTCCTTTTCTCCTTGACTTCCCTCTCTTTCTCTCTCTCTCTCTCCCTCTCCCTCTCTCTCTCTCTCTCTCCCTCTCCCTCTCTCTCTCCCTCTCCCTCTCTCTCTCCCTCTCCCTCTCCCTCTAGACTAGTCCAGTCTCATGGGTTATCAGAGTCTATATTAGTAATGGCAATACTTCCCAACCTATCTCAGTAAGTCACGCAATGTACAGTCTATATGTACATAATATTTATTTTTAGGATTTCAGAAAATCTCTTCTCTAGCCTTTTATCTGCTGGTGTCTCAAGAGTAAGGAAGAGAGGGAGGGAAATGTTACATTATTATTTTAACATTTTCTAATATGAATGCCATATTGGTTGTAATGTATCATGCATGACTATTAAGGATGTTTAAGAGCCAATGCATGATTTTTATGTACATGCACATGTACATGTATTCTGATGAGATACATGTACATGACATATGTACATGTATATGTCCTTATGTTACTCTTTCTCTGTCCTTTTGTAGCTTCTTTCAGAAGAAGACGGAGAAGAGAAGTTCCTCCAAGAGCTGAGACTAGCTGAAATGAATGAATTCAAACTACACAGACTATTAGAGTTAGTATACATGTACACGTCCCTCACTCTTTTTCCTTTGCATGTACATGTGCATCATCTCTTCTTTGTTTATAATGATATCTTTTCTCCCCTGCAGTTTCTCCTGCTCCCTCAAGAAGGCTGTGGATAATACAAGTGATGCAATTCAGATTACAAGGGACAGTAACATAGTGGTAAGTAAGACATACATGTACATGTATATGTACACTTAAGCAGGCACACATGCTTTGTACAGTGAGAGTTGATCAGTGTATTTTTTGTTAAACATGATTTTAAGATGTAGCCTAACATAGTTGTCATAATATAATTGGCATTCCTTTCTCTGATGTATGAAAAAACAATTTTTAGCAATGATGTTTTTATAATAACCGCAACTTCTATTCTTTTCCCTCCCTCCAGTATGTTAATAAATCATTTAGTGAACTAACCGGGTATCATGCTGAGGAGTGCCTTGGTAAACCAGCCATTGATCTAATGGACATACAAGACAATGGAACTAAGAATCTAGCTAGAAGAGAAGTGAGTCTATGCATGTATTATATTATATTTAATGCACACACAGTAATAATATGTGTACAGCATACATACTGACATGTGCATTACTGGTATTTGGTATTTTATTTGTACTATTTACCACAATGGACCCTGACCCTATTAGCTGTTGGTATAGTTGTTATCATAATTTAATGGTGTGAGTCTGACTGTATGTATTCCACTGATACAATATATTTTTTAATGTACATACATGTATATACTGTCATTCTTTCATTCTTTCTTCTTCTTCTTCTTCTCTCTGTCTCTCTGTCTCTCTCTCTCTCTGTCTCTCTCTCTCCCTTCCCTCTCCAGACTTATGAAGGTCACTTCTTGTTAAGGAGAAAGTCAGGCTCATGCATTAAGCAGCACATCAAGCTAATGCCAGTGAAGGATCCTTCGGGATACGTGTCACATCATGTGACCATTAGGAGACAATTGTCATCACAAGAAATAAGAGCTACCATGTTTAACAGTGGTAAGGAGAGAAGGAAAGGGAGAGAGTATATACATGTACTGTACATGTACTGGACATGTACTGTACATGTAGGCACATGAGAAAAGAATGATAATTAACAGAATAAAATGTCTATAAATGAGGTTGAATTACATGTAGGGGTACAATGTAGATATGATTACACCTTACATTAATTGAATAATTTTCTTTGTTATTTTATTTTTAATTATTTAATTATTTATTTATTTATTTATTTATTTATTAGGTGGCAGTATGGATTTGGGTTTGCCATTGTCAAGGTCAAGGAGCAGAATACCCCCACAGTCAGAAACACCAATATTAAGGGTAATTAATTATTACCTAATTTTTATTATAAATAATTAGTGCGCTTTGTAATTATGCTGCTAATATTGATTTTTATTTATTGTCATAGGCTGTACATGTTATAGATAGTGCTAGAGATAATCCAAACTGTCCTTTGGAAATAAAGGAATCACTAGACACCTGTGTAGTATGTACTACTCTCTCTCTCTCTCTCTCTCTCTCTCTCTCTCTCTCTCTCTCTCTCTCTCTCTCTCCCCCCCCCTCTCTCTCTCTCTTTCTCTCTCTCTCTTTATTCATATTTATCGTCTCTTCTTTTCTCCATTAAAAGGAGATACTACGCACTGCTGAGCTCTTTACTCCACACTTACCAGTCAAACAAACCAAGGGACTGGTAGCAGGCCTACTGGATGTAAGTTAGGAAATGTACATGTACGTAGTTATTTATTATTATTATTATTATTATTATTATTATTATTATTATTATTATTAAATACAACAGTTTTAAAATGCATACACTTAGGTTATTATTATATATTGTTATTATTATTATTATTATTATTTATTATTGTTATTGTTATTGTTATTCTAATAGACTGGTAGAGGCTATCAAACTGGAGTTACTAGTGGTGGGCATAGCTCAGACAGCAGTAGAGGTAAGAAGAAGAGACAGCCTATAGTTATTTCTAAAATAATGGTCTAGTTTATACTTGCATGTGTGCAGCTGTGCATAGGGTTTTCCACAGGATATTGGCATACTGCTCAGCTTTTTGCCAATGCTTCAAAATCAGGCCAAAGACCCTGTACTATAGTACAGGGTTTTTGGCTAAATTTTACCAAAAATGACTAGGAGAGAATTCTCCATTTTTATAACTTTTTCTGATGCATATACATGTTCTTATGTTGTGTAGCAAGTTCGAAATGATTCCGATGAAAATCAGATTTTTTACAAAATTTTGAAGTTACTCAAAAATCGGGCCAAAGACCCTGTACTATAGTACAGGGTTTTTGGCCAAATTTCACCAAAAACAACTAGGAGAGAATTCTCCATTTTTATAACTTTTTCTGATGCATATACATGTTCTTATGTTGTGTAGCAAGTTTGAAATGATTCCAGTCAAAATTTGATTTTTTACGAATTTTTGAAGTTGCTCCAAAATCGAGGAAAAGTCCCTGTACTATAGTACAGGGATTTTGACCAAATTTCACCAAAAATGACTAGGAGAGAATTTTCCATTTTTATAACTTTTTCTGATTCATATACATGTTTTTATGTTTTGTAGCAATTTTGAAATGATTCCGATCAAAATTAGATTTTTTACGAATTTTTGAAGTTACTCAAAAATCAGGCCAAAGACCCTGTACTATAGTACAGGGTTTTTGGCCAAATTTCACCAAAAACAACTAGGAGAGAATTCTCCATTTTTATAATTTTTTTCTGATGCATATACATGTTCTTATGTTGTGTAGCAAGTTTGAACTAATTCCGATCTAAATTGGATTTTTTATGAATTTTTAAAGTTACTCAAAAAATGCATGCTACAGTTTTATAAGGCTTGTCAGCTTTGGAAGCATGATTTTAACTCACTTAATAGCATGTTTTGTGGGAGACCCTTGCATTACATTGTACATGTACCCATGGACTCCTCATATTATAAATGTATTAGGTCCTAGTACTCCAATACACAGTCAATCTCATATGGCCGGGTTTAATGTTGCATCACAAGCTGTCCAGGACTGCCTTGTTAATCTTTCTACTTGGGACTTTAACATCATCCATCTTGAAGGAGTCTCTCACTTTCAGTAAGAGAGAGAGAGAGAGAGGGAGGGAGTTAGGACAAGATTTTGAGATTATTATTATTATTATTATTATTATTATTATTATTATTATTATTATTATTATACTTAATTTCCTGTAGTCCTCTCTATTTTCTTGGTATGAAGATATTTGATGAGTTTAGAGTCTGTGAAACATTAATGATCAGTGATAATGTGATGGCATCTTGGCTCAAGGTAACCAATCTCCCTATGCTATATTGCATGTATGTATATATACTTGTATGTAGAAAGTTTTTAGCTTATTCTGACTACAAAACCTGTACTTTTGAATATCTGAAAAATCTGAAAACGCCCCAATATTTGATATGCATTGAGTGATGGCCTTATGCTCTCTGTGTAGAAAATTTGCATTTGTAATTAATGCATACACAGTTTAAAATTATTTTCTAATCATATTATTAGCTAATGGAGAAGAACTACAGGCATAGGAATACGTATCATAATTCAACGCATGCTGCTGATGTACTTCAGGGCACGGCATTTCTTATCAGGTCACTCCAATCTGAAACTGTAAGTTATAGTTATAATTAGCAGCTGCACATGGACTCTCTTATCCTCCCTCTCTCTCTCTCTCTCTTCTTCTTATTCTTCTTCTCTCTTCTCTCTCTCTCTCTCTTCTTCTTATTCTTCTTCTCTCTTCTTCGTCTTTTTCTAGTGTTCTCTACAACCAATAGAAGTTGCTGCTTTGCTCATAACTGCAACAATACATGATCTTGATCATCCTGGCAGGACTAATCCTTTCCTTGTTAACTCTGGGAGTGAGCTGGCCCTCCTCTACAATGATAGGTGCATTGTTTAACCATTGCTATTAGTACATCATGTACATGTACATTAGTACATTAGTACATTAGTACATTAGTACATCATATACATGTACTATATATACAGCAATATTTAGCAGCAATATACATGTACATGTACATGTATATTGCTGCTAAATGTACTTTATGTTCCACCCTCTTTTCTCCAGGACATGTCTTGAGAATCATCATGTTGCTAAAAGCTTCAAAATAACTCTTGACGACAAACAGCATAACATATTTCAAAACCTTGACCCGTGAGTTATAATGTACCTATCAGCTTTACTGGGTGCTGTACATGCATATACATGTACACGTATGTTGTATACATGTTATATGTTATGTGTTATGTTGTCCTTTTTCTATCTCCCTCCAGGTCTCTCTATCAAAGCCTCAGGTCTAATATAATTGACCTGGTCCTAGCTACGGACATATCTAAACACTTTGAGCATCTTGCAAAGTTTGAGAACCTCCCAACTGAAGTAATTATTATTATTAACTCTCAGCTACAACACGCTACATTCTATAGCTTTCTTTCCTCTTTAAATCTCAATCCGATTGTTTTATTTATTCATCTCCTCCCCCCTTCTCTCTCTCTCTCTTTTTTTATAGGACGAGACCTATTTACTCTCTCATGAGAATCGGTTGCTGATTCAGCGTATTCTCGTCAAATGTGCCGACATTTCCAATGCTTGTCGTCCCCTTGTTCTCTGCCGGGAGTGGGCGGGGAGGATCGCTGAGGAATACTTCTCGCAAACTGACGAGGAGAAGCAGCGGAAACTTCATGTAGTGTTTCCTGATTTTGATAGGCAGACATGTAAACTACCCGTCACACAGGTAGGTGGGGCTAGGGGCTCGGTCAATCATTAAATTAGGATGGGTACATGTACATGTACATGTACAGTAAATACATGTACTGTACATGTACATGTACAGTAAATACACGTACTGTAGATGTAGATAAATTTATATTTTATCATTTTAATTTTCCGTAGGTCAAATTTATTGACTACTTTGTTAGTGGCCTGTTTCAAGCTTGGCATAGTGAGTTATACCAATATTTCCATTTCTTTATGTTATTTTACACATGCTTTATTGTTTAGCTTTCTCTCCTATACCACGACTGATGGAGAATCTTAGCTCAAACTATGAGCACTGGAAGAGCCAGTATGAATCACCAAACAGCTCTGAGGGAGAGACATAGGTATAAGAGAGTGTGCAAGTACACTAGGGGATCCTACAGAATTATTTCCTGCAATTATAAATGCTGTATAATAAGGGATATTATGGTATACTTAAGTTTGGTTCTTAATATGATCAAGAGTAAGATGCATGGCTTTTAGATTGTGGCCAAAAGTGCTGTAGAAATTAATAAGCCATTGCTTTACAAATACGACGCCGCTTTTGAAGTAGTATTTATTCTTGTTTTGTCATTATAGGATTCAAGGCTTAGTGAACATAAACAAATTACTACTACACAACACTGTGTTCATACTTTTCATCTCTTTGAAACTTTATTCTCCTCTTCCAGTTCTGTTCACATTTGATTTCATGACTCACATTTTAATTAATTATTATAAATTATTGTTGTCGTCATCGTTATTGTTGCAGGTTTTGATCAACGGTTGTTATGTATTATTATTACTTATTTAAAGAATAAAATATTAACAGACTAGGGAATTAAATTTGTGATTATCAATAATTAATTTTACTGGCGTAACCCAAAAGATACGGTCCTCGTTAAAATAATTTTCACTACTATGCCTATACATGTATGTACACGTAACCGATTCCTAAAAATTATTGACAATAATAATTATTGAAAATAATGATTATTTAAATTAAAGGTACTTAATAAATAGTAGGAACAATAATGTAACGTGCTTAACAGATTACAAAATGTTACTCAAGCATAAAAAAATTTAAAGTGATTAAGCCGTAATCATTGCAGGATTTCTTGAAGATTTTCATCAATCTTGAGATTTCAAGCCAACTTCATTCTTTGAAGACGATAAAACAATCACTATATAGATTCTAATAATCATTAATTTATTACCTCAACTTGAGTAAGGAGGCACTCAATTTCTTCCGTCAAATCATCAAGGATTTCCATTTTTCTTTCGCTTTCAGCTATCAGTTCTTCTTTAGTGTTTTGACTCTAAAAGTAGAAATAAAAATGTATTTAGGATAAAAGAACTTCGATTCATTTTTCTTTAAGTTATAAATTCTTAAACAACATAAAAATCTATAATAACATAGGTACATGCATAATGCATCAAAAATTTTATTTAATGGAGAATTCTCTCCTAGTCATTTTTGGTGAAATTTGGTCAAAATCCCTGTACTATAGTACAGGGTCTTTGTGAACTACTTAAAAATCCAATTAGGCGAAAAGGCCTTACACCATGTCTGACTAACTCAAACTCTTCTACATCACCTACTATATATAGTACATCAAATCGCACATACATGTACATTGACAGTACCTTCAACAGTTGCTCCTCATATTTAGCAATGAATTCGGCCATCGGGCTATCAACAATATCCTCAGATATATCCTTTGGATCATCACCAGCACTAGCATTCTCATCCCCATCATTAGCACTTCGTTTCATTTCCTCCAATTGTAAGAATTTCTTCTCAGTTGACGTGGTCTTCATAAAATCTGCTATTCTTTGCTAATTGTGATGAAATAAAGTATTATTATTAATTTTTATTCTTACGTCAATTGCTGTTGATAACTGTGGACATGTTTGTGCCCAAAGTTCTTCAGCTTTTTGGGCCACATCATCTGGGAAGTGATGAGATATTTTATGCCTATAATAATGAGAGGAGAGAGAGAAATCAAAAAACTAGTATATGGTTGGTAAAAATATATGATCAGGCCCTTTCCCTCACTTTTATATCACAAGGATTTACCTGAATATTTCTTGCTTTGCCTTTTCAATAAATTCCATAAAATACTGATAATAAGCTCCCGTCACCTCAGTATCCATGCTCTCTGTTTCTACCTTGTCATCAGACTCTGCCATTATTCTTCTTTCAAACAAAAACTTCCTTATCTTGATTCTTGAATATCTTCCCGCTCTTGTAATTTTTTATTTTGATTTTACTCTCAAATAATCCCTTTAAATAGAATTACAAATATTTCTCTGTCGAAGCCGTTTAATTAGACTCGTTACGGTAAGCCATAATGGCTTTCACTCTTGGTACATTGTTTGAGGCTGCTTTACTTGTCATCAATGCTATAGCAATACTCAATGAGAAATATTTCCTTAAGAAAGGTAGGCCTCTATCTTTTAATTTCATTCATTTTTAATATTTCTCACATCCAGTTGGCTGGAGCACTGATAATAGGAACGAGGGGTTTGGTGATCAGTCAAGCATCAAGTCGCAATTAATATCATTAATAACAGCTGTACAGACTTTATTAAGAAGTAAATAATAACCTTTGATTTGTTACGTGATACTATGAATACAGAAAATGCTTTTTTTTGTTTGTGTGCCGTGGCTAAATTTTTAATGTCTCTGGCTCGATTTTGAGCAACTTAAAAAATTCATAAAAAATCCAAATTTGATCAAAATTTGCTCAAAATTTCTACACAACATAAGTACATGTATATGTATCAGGAAAAAATATGAAAATGGATAAATCTCTACTTTTCATTTTTGGTGAAATCTGGCCGATGACCCTGTACTATAGTACAGGGACTTTGGCCTGATTTTTGAGTAACTTTAAAATTCATAACAAATTTAAATTTGATCGAAATTTGCTCAAAATTTTTACACAACATAAGTACATGTATATGTATCAGGAAAAAAATTAAAAATTGAGAATTCTCTATTTTTCATTTTTGGCGAAATTTGACCGATGACCCTGTACTATAGTACAGGGACTGTGGCCCAATTTTTGAGTAACTTTAAAAACAATTCAATTTTGATTGGAATTAGTTCAAATGTGTCATTTCAAAGAAACAGCATAGGCTAGATCCAGTACATCTTTCTCAGATGCCATAGCTTCTCAACAGTAGTTCAAAATTTATTGATTTGCCTAATAGATTTGATATATTCTAGTCTAGTGTCGGAGTAGCTTTGGGAAGCATTTGTTTATTGATAAACATAGACTACGAGTCATTACATGTTTAATAAACCTTAGAAATAACTACAAGCTATTTTGTTTTCCCATTAACACGCCTATTAATTTAATTATTATTATTGTTGTTGTTATTGTTTTATTCTCTTTACTCTATAGTACCATTGATAGCTGTAAACATCCTGGTGATACTATATGAACTCATTCTAGGATAATGAATAAAGATGATAATTCATGATCACACTGTGCAATGTATATTCTCTGTTTTTCTTTCTCTCTCTCTCTAATGATTATTAAATTTTATAATTGTTGATACTAGCAGTTTATGCTTGACTGTGTGTGTTACACAAACAACAAAGCTGTACCTTCGCAGCTTTGTTGTCACATGATATTAAGTCTCTTGCCGTGAATGAGATTAATACTGGCGGTAAACAGGACCTTTGCTAGGGTGGGGTTGCAAGTATTCTTGCTTTTGTGTTCTTGGCATTTTTACTGTCTCATGAGAATACGTTCCACTCACAGACCGTGAAGAGTTACAAGTAAATCCTACGCAGCTACAGACCAAGTCTTTGCAGCAAAAGTCGCTCCACTCGTCAAGTTCGTGATGCCTCGGCTTTCTCCGAGGCTACCCGTGCTGGCCTTTCTCTTGCTGATTTTGCTAGGAGCAGCAACACGTAAGTTACCTTTAATACTGCTCTTTTGTGAAGTAAAAATGAAGAACATTAAACATTATGTGATTGCATGAAGCTATTATAGGAATCAGCTTTTATAAATATCATATTATTGATGGCTTGATGCAACTTGATTATGTGTCAATGCTTAGGTGCTGTGATTATACCTAACTTGTGATGCTATGCATTTATGCATGTAACTTAACTGTATTGTAATTTATATGCATTTATTTTGTCAACAGGTATTGCAGCTCAAGCAAACACAGTCACGATTAATCAAAATCCTCCTGCTGGTCATGGTTTGATTAACATACCATGTAGTTTAGATGGTGATAAAACATTCGACATTTTAACAGTCATACCAGCAGGTAATGTATCAGTCGGAAACTTTACAGTTGTAGGAGGGAAACTGCAATTAGCTGTAGCAGCTGTGAACATACCGGAAGGTACATATACCATTTCTATTTCATGCAGAGTAGGATCAGAAACTGAACCTGTTGCGATAACACTCATAAGAGTAGAACGGAACCAATACCCACCAGTACTGGACCATGCTAGCCACCTGTACTATACAATATCAGAGAATTCACCCACTGGTACAGTAGTAGCTAATATTAATGTTACTGACAATGATGTTGGTACGTATGGTACTGTAACGTTCACAATCAACTCTGGTAGCATCAGCAATGCTTTTTCTATCAACTCTCAGACTGGTATAGTCACGGTTGGAAACACGCTAAATTATGTTACACAAAATGTATACAATCTCACAATACAGGCAGCAAACCCTGCTGATGTATTCTCTCCCAGTGTCGTCCATTATGTCTTGGTCAATGTCTCTGTATCACTGACAGCCGTCCCACGCTTTAACGCAACTCAATACTCAGCCAATGTGCCTGAAACAGGGGAAGCAAGAACTGGTGAAGTATACGAAAGACCAGAGACAGGCTTCATTACAGTTCAGTGCACTGATCCCGACACTACTGACATTACCTATTCACTGGAAGGTGCGAATTCTAGCGTATTTAGAATCAATTCAACTACCGGAGAATTAATGGTACTCAGTGATCTAGACTATGATAATGTTAATACACAGTTCTACGAGTTTAGTGCTGTTTGTTCTGATGGCGAGAACGCTGACACGGCACTAATACAAATAACAGTATCTCCGGTAAATGAGCACGCACCTACAGCTACAGTATATGCACCAGATACCATCCTGCATGGTGGTGACACCCTGTTCTATAGTGGACCTGAAACGCAATTTAACGCTGGAAAAATTCTCTTAAATGCAAGCGATCCTAATTTTAGAATAGTCGGCCATGATGCTGATCTTGGTGAAGACGGTGAAGTCACTTTCTCTCTTGTTCCTTCCCTGACCAATAGCCGTGGTCAGCCATTCTTCTCCATCAACGGTTCCACAGGCCACATGGTCATAATAAACTCCATTGACGTGGATAGTGAGGGACTCCAATCAGCAGCCTACAGCTTTCGTATCGGCCTCTCTGACTCATCCCGCAAAATCACCCTAGCCAATGTCGTTGTATTTATGCTAGTGTATGCTGCCGCCGATGAAGACCCCATCTTTTCACAGGCCAGCTACCTTAGGTTCCAATCAGAAGCATCTTACACTGGAGTCCAACTCCTCAACATGACTTGTACTGATGATGATATTGGTGCAGGAGCCTTTTCTAGGATAGCATTCCTTCCACAGGACGAACAGTCACAGAATCTCTCTGGTCGCTTCAGCCTCAACAGTCAAACTGGGCAACTCTCTTTGAGCAGTCCCCTAGACTACGAAACAGAGCAAGTAATCACATTCACTGTAGTCTGCTATGACACTGCTAACTATAACGACACAGCTATAGCTAGGATCAGTGTTGTACCAGTTAATGATGAAGTACCTTACTTCCCAACTGAAAACTACACTTTCCCCGTATCAAGGACGACTCCAACCAATTTCTTTGTAATCGGTCAAGTAAATGCCATGGACGATGACCTTGGCTATGGAAGCAATCTCACCTACTCCATGGAGAGTGAGTATTTTGTTATATCTCCCTCAACTGGAACAATATTTCTCACTGGATCAGTACAAAACGTAGATGGCAATGAAATAGAGCACATCGTCACAGTTCATGATGACGACGCTACTCATTCTGCCACTACATACATCACTTTCAATATCACTGATGGTAACTACCTAGCACCCGAATTCACGACAAATTACCCATTGATTGAAATCAGTGAGTTGGAGCCTGTAGGATCTCCGCTAGTCACTCTATTCTGTAATGATACAGAGGAGGGAGAGAACGGCCGTGTATCGTACAGTATAGTAGCTGGTAACGTTGCTTCTTCATTTACAGTAGACAGTGTCACTGGTGTACTCAGTGTAGCCAGGTCTCTTATTCTACCACAAAATACTACGTCAGCCAGTTACCTCCTAGAAGCCCAATGTACTGATCACGGTGTACCTCGTCTACAAGACAGCACCATTGTCCGTATACAAGTGTCATACGCCAGCACCGTTAGCCCTGATATCAGCAATGATACGATAATAGCATTCATTGACGAGGACGCTAATGTTAATGATGTAGTTGTCTCGATTACAGCAGTGTACTATCAGGACAATCTTAACTTCTTTTTCCAAGAGGAATCAGTTCCCAATGCTTTCTTAGTACACTCATCCGGTACAGAAGGCTCAGTCCTAGTGAACTCTATACTAGACAGAGAGACATACATATCATACACGATGACTGTGGTAGCTGAGGTTATAACGGATACGAGTAAAAACGACAGTGCAGAGTTGTTTGTATATGTACGCGATGTGAATGACAATGATCCTTTTTGCACCTCTTCCTCAGATACTCTACAAATATTAGAGACTACCCAAAAGGGGGCAGTTCTCTTTGACTTCAACTGCACTGACTCTGATGTAGGCCAGAATGCAAACCTCACCTACTCCCTTTACAACAATTACGATATCTTTGAAGTCAATTCCGAGGGAGTCCTCTATCTCTCTGATCACCTAAATGCCTCCAATTTGACAACATTCCAACTAATACTAACTGTATCTGATCAAGGATTCACTCCTCGTAGCATCACTTTCTCTACAATCCTCAACGTCCTAGCACTCAATAACTTTGCTCCATCATTCACTAATCTCCCGACTACCATTGGCCTAGCAGAGTCCACTCCAGTATTCCAGCTACCAGTGTTCACTGTACACGCCGTTGATAACGACAGGGGAAGGTTTGGTATAGTCCGATATTCTCTAGTGGGTCAGTCTGGGCTTCCATTCATATTAGTACCCAATACAGGAGAATTATATATAAGTAATAAGCTGGATCATCATGATACTAATCAGTACACGCTCAATGTCAGTGCTAGTGATGGGGCCAGCACTACATATTCAACACTTATTGTTAATGTGACTGACAGTAATGAGCACTCTCCTTCCTGCTCATCAACTCTCTTTGCCCGGGTCATACTAGAGGGTCTGGAGCCAGCTAGTGTAGAGTCCATACCTCTTGGTTGCACTGATGAAGATAGAGGAACATATGGTGACCTTTCTTATGAAATAACATCAGGTAATACTAACAACGACTTCAGTGTTAGCAGTAGCGGATCAGTCATGACTAACAGGGCGCTTGATTATGAGTTAGCACAATCTTATGAGCTCATAGTGAGAGTCTCTGACGGAGGAGACAGATCCATTGACGTTACAGTAAGAATAACTGTCTCACCAAAGAATGAGCATAGTCCTGTTATTCATAACGGTCCATTTAATGTGACGCTGGTTGAAAACACGGACATTGGTCACACAGTTTTCGTTGTTAATGGTACGGATGAGGACCAAGGGGATGATGGTTCTCTGGAGTATAGTTTGAGCCCACAGCAGACAGCATTTGGGATTACCAATGGAGGAGAGCTGATAGTTACTGGAGTCATTGATCGGGAAAAGAAGAGCTCTTACTCTTTTAGTATAATAGTTAGAGATAGTGGCTCTTCTGTAATGTCTGCATCAACGACAGCATCAATATCAATATCAGATCAAGATGATTCGCCTCCAACTTTCACTCAATCACTTTACGTTGAATCAGTGTCATCAGAATCAGCCGAAGTAGGGGATACTGTTGCATCAACTCGGTGCACTGATCCCGATCAAGGAGATAACGCAGATTTGACTTACTCGATCATTTCAACCGGCTCCCATTCATCGTCTTATTTCAGTATAAATACTAACGGTGATGTGGTGATATCATCCACATTACCAGTGAGCTCAGTTTACTCAATCACAGTTCAATGTTCTGGCCTCCTCAATCCTAATCTAACAGACACAGCAGTTGTGAGTCTCACCATTCTTATACAGAGCAACATAACATTTGATAATTCTACCTACATGAGTACAATAAGTGAAGACACTCAACCAATATATTCTATACTTACTGTCAATGCCTCATCAATCTCTGGCTCCTCTCTATCCTATTCTCTCGTGTATTCATCCACAGTATTTCAAATATCGTCATCATCTGGTGTGATCTCTCTAATCAGTAAACTAGACTATGAGACTCAGCAGTCATATGCACTCATTGTTCAGGCAACAGATAGCGGGACCCCACCTAACACTGGTCAAGTAGCAGTCAATATATTTGTTGAAAATGTAAACGATATGTCTCCGGTATTCACTAACGCAACGTCCTCAGTCTCCATAAATGAAGGTCAGGAGTACAGTCTGCCAGTGGGCCAGTTTGAGTGCACTGATGGAGACTTTGGGCCCTTTGGTGAAGTGACCTACAACATAACAAGTGGAAATAGCAATGGTTTATTCAGTATTGATGAAACTGGTGGGCAGCTGCTGTTAATGGGTGAGGTTGACTATGAGACAACACAATCATTAACGTTACAAGTAACATGCACTGACGGTGGTCAAGCGAGTCAGTCTACACTAGTATCAGTCTCTATACAGCCGGTAAATGAAGTACCACCTGTATTCACATCAACAGGTGTAGTATCGCTCACTGTAGCGGAATCACTTATAGTACCAACACTGATAACAGTTAATGATGAATTGGAAGCTACAGATGCTGATCTGGCCCCCCATAATCAAGTATGGTATACTATAAGTGCTGGTAATTCGGACTCTACTTTTGCCATATCCTCAACTGGCGGCGACCTCACTCTCATAAAGGAGCTGGACTATGAAACAAGACAGTCTTACACACTCACAGTTCAAGCCGATGACAGTGGCGGAGCCTCCAATCCAACCTACACTGTTTTAAACTCTACGCTAACAGTAGATATCATAGTAACTGATGCCAATGACAATACACCTACATTCTCTAAAAGCGTCTATGTTGGATCAATATCAGAATCAGCTCTCAAAGGAGATTACGTTAGCATGGATCCACTCAATTGTACTGACAGGGACTCAGGTGTAAATGGAGAGACAACACTCACTATAATCAATGGTAATGATAACTATGCTTTTCAAGCACTATCAAACGGTAGAATCAGTGTTAACAATACACTTGATTTTGAATCAGAATCATCATATATACTGACCGTTCGATGCTCCGATAGTTCCCAGTCTCCTCGTGTTGTCGATGTCACTGTTATCATCAATATTGATGATGTATCAGAGTTTGGTCCTGTTTTTCAAATGTCCTCGTATGAGTTTTTCGTCAACGAAACGGCACTACCAGGGACAGTGGTGGGTCGAGCGGTTGCTGTTGATCAGGACACTGGATCAGCTGGTGAAATAACATACACACTCACCAATTCCAGTGATGTACCATTTGGAATCAGCACAACTAACGGCGATATCTTTGTACTGGTACCATTAGATTACGAGACGGGGCCTAGTGTATACAATCTCAGGATATCAGCTTATGACTTTGTAAATCAATCTGATTCCACTGTAGTAGCCATTACAGTACGTAATATTGATGAGTCAGCTCCTACATTCCCAGCCTCTAACTACTATGGTACGATAAGAGAGAGTCTATCGCCAGGTACTGCAGTGTCTTTAGTTAATGCAATCAGTTGCTCTGATCCTGATGATGAAGCTGATAACATTCCTCCATCATTCTCATTAACATCGTCTACTAATGAGCCCCTACCTCCAGACTACCCATTCAACATACACCAGGCAACAGGAATACTAACATCACTAGCTACGCTTAACCTTGAAGCTACCAGCAGATACACATTCAGAGTACAGTGCAGGGACAGTGCTGGTAATTCAGCCTTTGCTGGTGTCACTATTGACATTACGCCTTTCAACGACTTTGCACCAGTGTTCAGTAACACGCCATACTCACACACAATAACTGAAGGGCTACCTCTCAACTCACTAATATTCACAGTATCAGCTACAGACTCTGACATAATGAGCTACAATGCTATCACGTACGGTATAGTAGCTGCCAGTAATCCTGATGGACGATTTACAATAGATACGACATCTGGAGCTATCAGAAATATACAAGACATTGACTATGAAGAGCAAACGTTTTATTCGTTAAACATATCAGCAACTAATGTCATACCAGTCTCTGATAACAGTGGATCACAGTCCTTAGCATCATATGAAATATTATCCCTAACTATTAATGATACTAATGACAATAGTCCAATTATCACTCCTCCTGCCGCTTCAGCTCTCATTACAGTCGATGATCCCCCAGGGACTTTTGTGATAACAGTCTCCTGTACTGATGCAGATAGTGGAGCCTATGGTAACACCACTCTATCCCTATCGGGTTCCAATGCTGGTAATTTCGAGCTCCTTGCTAATGGTACTATAATCACAGCAGCTGAGATATTAGACACACAGATATTGTTAGTGAACTGCACTGATATGGGTTCACCACCTCGCTCAACAATAGCACAGATCACAGTATCCTCTACCTCCACTAATGACTTTCCTCCAGCTTTTAATGAGACTCTTTATGAGTTTTCTACACCAGAGAACACTACAGTGGGTGATAGTATCGGGTGTGTTACTGCCAGTGATGGAGACAACCCATTAACACCAGATGGAATGATAACCTATACGTCCATTAGCATAGCAGGGGCTGATCACTTTAGAGCGGACGCGACAACAGGTTGCATAATAGTAGTATCGGCTCTAGACTATGATGACGACAATCAATACACGTACAGTATAAGGGCTGAAGATGCTGGAGTGCCCAGAAGACATACCCTAACAACAGTAGTCATATACATTACAAATATTGAGTTTGATGCACCAGAGTTCTCAAGCTCTGTGTACAGCCGTGAAATGTCAGAAGGTTCTAGTGTAGGAGCAACAGTAATACAAAATGCAAGATGCACAGATAGGGATGATGATGACATTATTACATATACACTAGAGGCTGGTAATGATGATGGTATATTCAGTGTTAACAGCAGTACGGGTGTTATTACACTCGCCTCAGGCCTGGACTATGAAACAGCCATACTCCACACGCTAACAGCAAGATGTACTGATAATACTGGCCTGTATGATGAAGTGAATGTAACTATAACAGTAACACCAGTGAATGAACATACACCTTATGTAGTATCAGCATTAGTGAGTATAAATGAGGAATCACCTGTAGGTACACCTATCACTATTATTGGTTATACTGATCTGGATGATGGAATTGATGGGGAGGTCACTTTTGAGATAGTTGACAGTGTCCTACATAATCAGCTATTCACAATATCAGACCATACACTGATACTCAATGATGTGCTTGATAGAGAGTACAGAGGAAGATATGATCTCGCGATACGTGTTACTGATCGTGCTCAAATCAGTCGTAGCTCCATTGATTTCGTTAACGTATCGTTAACTGATATCAATGATAATGCTCCCTCACCCAGTCAGTCAATATATACTCAAGCAATCAATGAAGATACAGCAATCAATGCCACTGTGCTAACTGTTAGTTGCGATGATGATGATATTGGTGATAACGCTGTCATCGATTACACCATTTCAGACGATAACAATCTCTTTAACATTGACACTAGCGGTGTTATCTCAGTCAATTCTAATCTTCGTTTCAGACCCCGTGATGTCCTAGCATTACAAGCAATATGTAGTGACAGAGGTCAACCAACCCTGAGCACTTCAGTACCCGTCACTATATCAGTTAGTAGCATCAATGACTACCCACCTGTGTTCAATGTCTCATTAGCATCAGTCACACTGCCTGAAAACACAAGCATTGCTGTACCATTTATTAAAGTCAATGCATCAGATAATGACATTGGACTAAATGGTAGAATCACTTTTAGTCTCATCGATGATTTCGACGATCAATTTTTTATTAATTCTGAGACTGGTGACATATCACTGCTGTTGCCACTGGACTACGAAACAGTTTCCTCTTATGCATTACAAGTTCTGGCTATTGATGGATCTGATGATAGCCTTCACGACAACAGAATGAATGACACAATGACTGTCAATGTGACTGTAACAGGGATCAATGAACATACCCCTGTATGCAGTCAACCTGTTTATTCTGCCTACATCAATAGAACCAGTTTAAACGAAGTATTCCGACTAAACTGCTTTGACAGTGACCTGGGGGTTGATGGCTCACTCTCTTACAGTATAGTAGATGCTGGAGGTTATTCATCATTATTTGATATCACTAGTGTAGGAGCAGTAACCCTACCAGCAGTCATAGCACCCAATGCCTCCGTTACGGTGTATGTACTAATGATAGCAATAACTGATGGAGGTCAGCCATCAAGATCATCACAAATTCAACTAAACCTAATATACTCTTTTGACAACTTTTACTCTCCAATGTTCAACCAAACGTCATATTCATTTAATGTGTCCGAGTCTCAGTCAGTAGGCGAAGTGGTGTACAGCGGTATACTGGCCACTGACTCTGATCCTGGAGTACAAGGAGAGATAGAGTATTCTGTAAATAACACTGACCTATTCAGAGTCAATCCCTCAACTGGTGAGGTGTTTATATCAGAGACTATAGATTGGGAGAGCATTGGTGATACTACCACTTTCAATGTTATTGCTAGTGACAAGGACCCCAGCAGTCCGCGTAGCAGTGCAGTACCAGTCAGTGTATACATAACGGATTCTAATGATAACCCTCCCCACTGTGATGCTTATTACTACACTGTTCAAATAGGCAGTAGCCTAGGAGTGGGATCAACAGTATTCAATGTTAATAATGTCTGTGATGATAGGGACGGTCCCTCTCACTCTACCCTCTATTACGAAATGGAGTCTTCGCTATACAGCATTGGTTACACTACTGGTATTATTAGTGTCAATGGTACACTAGTGGCAGGGTCTAGCACAACCCTTACTGTTACCATCAGTGATAATGGTGGGCTCAGTGCTTCAGCACTAGCAGTCAGTGTACAGGTCCGGTTTGATAATGTCCTCCCTCCAGTCTTCAATGAAGCTCAGTATGTCTTTAATGTGTCTGAAGGTGCTGGCCTACTCGAGTCCATTGGTACCCTACAAGCTACTGATGAGGACAGCAATAGCAATGATTTGAGTTATGCTTTACAAGGAGCTGATAGTAGCTTGTTTTACATTGACTCAACATCTGGTGGCATTAGACTCACAAGTCTGTTGGACTATGAGGTGAGGAGCAGTTACACATTCAGTGCTGTGGTAGAGGACTCTGGCAGTTATAATGGCAGCAATGTACTATCAGGAACAACACAAGTAACGGTTAATGTATTAAACATCAATGATAATCAACCAATGCTAAACAACAATGGGCTGTATGGCACTACAGTTAACAAGACCACTGCAATAGGAACAAGTATATTAAGTATAGAATGCAGTGATGCTGATCTATCTCCTTATAGCAGTCCTGTATACAGTGATACAAGTGGTTTTGAGGCCATACCATTTAACTTTAGCTCACTAAGTAATGGGGCAGGATCTGTTATAGTCTCAGAAGATTTAAGGACACTCTCTGGCTCCGTTTCTTACACTGTTAATATAACTTGTGCTGATGCTGGAGGGAGAGAGACAGCTGGCCAGATTTATCTGTTTGTTCCAGAGCTAGGAGCACCAATATTCAACTCAACATCATACGAATGGGAGGTAAGGGAAGATGCCAGCACTAACACCATGTTCACTGAGATTTCAGCTGAGAGTCAAGACGACACTGATTTAACTTATTCAATCACTGACGGTAATAATGACGGAGTCTTTTACATAAACCCACTGACTGGTGTAGTATCATTAGCTACCAGCCTGGACTATGAAGAGACTGTGTCTTATGGACTAGTAGTCAAAGCAGTGGATGAGAGCAACAGAGAATCAAGCACTTTCTTACTAGTGACTGTTATCAATGTGAATGATGAATCTCCATTGGTATCACCCACAGCATACATGACAGTAGAGCAGAACAGACCTATTGGATATCCCATTGGTACAATATCCTGCTCTGACTCTGACAGCATTGAGATAATGTATGCCTTTGCCTCCACATATACAGCAGGAACATTCAATATCAGTGACAATGGTATAGTACATGTAAGTGGGGCACTTGACGACACGCCAGTACACGTAATACCTGTGCTATGTTATGATGTAGCAGAGCCTGATGACACTTCTAAAGGTATTCTCACAATTGAGACTGTATTTGTTAATCTTTACAATCCGACATTTGAATTCAGTTCCTACCAAACTTCGCTACCAGAGAACACACCTCTCCAGTCACCAGTGACCACTGTACGTGCTACGGATGATGACATTGGGACTAACGGTGAAATAACATACTCGATAGTAGGAGGGAACCCAAACAAGTTTTACATTGACTCTCAGAGTGGCGTGATAAGTGTGCTAACATCACTTGATAGAGAGAGTGTGGATAGTTACAGCATCACAATACAGGCAACTGATGGAGGCATTAGTGGCAATGCTACTAATAGTAATAGTGCGAATACAACGCTTAATGTAACGGTCCTGGATATCAATGATAATGCACCAAGACTGTCACAATTGGCTTATGTGCAATTCATATACACTAACCACTCCCTTTTATCAACTGTATTACAGGTGGAGTGTAGCGATGGGGACTTGAGTGAGAATGGAACCATCTCTTATAGCATCGATCCAGCTCATGATAGTTTCTCTATCAACAGTGAAGGGAGTGTATTATTAACTAGTGAACAAATGGAACAAACTGTGCACAGTTTTAATGTGTTGTGTACAGACATGAGCACTGCTCCTCTCTCTTCTTCGGCTCTTGTCACCATCGTAGTCAGTAAAGACCAATTTGAAGCACCAACATTCACTAATAATAGCTACTCAGTCTCTATACCAGAGGATCAGGGGATGTTGGAGCCATTCCTAACAGTTTCAGCCACTAGCAACGAGTCTGGAGTGAGTATAGTGTACAGTATTAGTAATGGCAATGAAGGGACTGCTTTCTTCATCGATCCATCAAGTGGTAATATATCAGTAATATCTACACTAGATTATCTACAGAATAACTTGTACACACTGACAATAAGAGCTAGTACAAGTGGTTTTGTACAATATTCATCGTATGCCACAGTTACCGTGTCTATAACTGATGTCAATAATAATCAACCTTATTTCATACCAACGCCGTTTTACATTGGATCAGTAAATGAGGCAGGTGGAAGCCTGGAGCCAGTTGTAAGGGTCAACTGCTCTGATACCGATCCAAGCAGCATCTTATCATACTCACTGATATCAAGCACTCCTAGTAATGGAGTCAACTATTTCAACATAACATCTGAAGGTCAAGTTATCACGACTGGTCCATTAGACTATGAGAGTGTTACAGTCTATACGCTGACTGTTCACTGTAGTGATGGTGGTTCGACCCCAGCGGAGGCCATTGTACAGGTATCGGTACTGCCAGTCAATGAGTTTAAGCCAGTATTTGAAATGAGCTCCTATTCATTCAGTATCAGTGAGTCAGAGTCCGTAGGCTCTACCATTGGTAATGTATCTGCCACTGATGCTGATGGAGGAACTGACGGACAGATATCTTATATTCTAGTTGATCCTGATAATTCTTCGGCTATTTTTGTAGATCCATCCACAGGGTCTTTGATAGTATCCAGTACACTTGATTACGAGACTACTTCTTTTTACAATCTCTCTATCATAGGGAGAGACTATGCTGGATCTGAGACATATGTACCAGTTGAAATAACAATCACAAATGTACAAGATGTTGATCCAGTCCTCTTACCGTCGGTCAGCGTGTACAGCGGTCGAGTGGTCACCAATAGCCCTCCCGGTCTATTTATAGAATCATATACTTGCACAGATCAAGATGGAGGCAGTACTAGCATTAGCATTGAGAGTGGTAACGGATTGGGGTACTTCAGATTAAATCAATTCAATCATATCGTGTGGAATGATAGCATCAGTTTAACATCAGATCAAGTTGTATCACTAAGCATTGAATGCACTGATGAATCTAATGCTAGAGATACTGCATCATTTGCTGCTGTAGTGGGCCCTCCTGGTAAAGCTCCTCCTCAATTCAGCATGTCCGTATACACAGAGTCAATATTAGAGAATGCTACCAGTGGTACTGAAGTACTTAGTGTATCAGCCACTCCAGCTAATCCTAACAATACAGTGCAATATAGTGTAGTTGGTATTACACTAGCTTCATTCCCATTCCAACTAGACCCAGTATCAGGTGTACTTAGTGTCAATGCAACACTAAACTATGAAGACATACAGTTGTACTCATTCCCAATACAAGCAAGAGATGTCAATGACAGCACAGTGGCATTAGCCATCATAGAAGTGACCATTAATAACATCAATGACAATCCTCCACTACTCCTCCCCGAGTCTCTCTCCCTCACTTTACCGGAGAACTCTCCTACCAGTACCTCAATCGGTAAATTCTCTTGTACTGATGAAGATGATGAAGACTCCATTACTTATTACATCGAGACTGAGAATCCCACGTCAATATTCTCCATATCGTCCAGTGGATATTTGTCCCTTCAGTCTTCATTGGATTACGAAACTGTACAGAGTCATAATATAACAGTGGTATGCAGTGATCAAGGGTCACCTTCGCTTACTGATTCATCCATTGTACTCATAACTGTATCCCCAATCAATGAGCACAGACCAATGTTTGATAGTAGCACCTATAACTTTAGCGTTAGCGAAAAGGCGCCACTGTCTCAGGTCATTGGCTTCGTTTCCGCCAGCGACGAGGACGACGGTAACAACGGAGAGTTCTATTACACAAACTATGGCGGAAGTGGTGACTCCTATTTTCTTGTTGGATTCGACTCCGGGAACATCTCAGTCACAAACTTTCTCAATGCTTCAGAATCAGATGAACTAACATTAGCTGTGGCAGCCATTGATTATGGTCCTCCTTCTCCTCTCCTATCAGTAGCGACAGTAGTCCTGAGTATTGAGGATATCAACGAGAGTCCTTACTTTGGAGCAATCAGTTACATAGTCTCGACAAGGACAGATATAACTGGAGCTGGTGACACTCTAACAACAGTGCAGTGCTTTGATTATGATGTTGGAAGTAACGCAAGAGTATCTCTGTCCATAGCATCAGTAACTTCAGGTATCAGTGTCTCACTCAGTAATACTGGAAGTGGTGATGGATCGGTTTCTTCTTCACTTGTAACAGTCGCTTCTCTAATTCCTGGTAGTCACGAGATTATAGTACAGTGCAGTGACTCTGGTGTGCCACAGCTAGCAAGAAATGTAAGTGTCGTCCTAGTAGTGCAAGGGGCAAATGGAGGGCCTGTGTTTGACTCTGCAGTATATGGTCTATCAATAAATGAAGACATAGAGATCAATTCTCAATTGCTGAATATCACTGCTACTGATCCTGAGGGAGATGATATAGTTTATACACTAACTGGAGGAACAGGACTTGGTACTTTTGGTATAGATCCAAGTACTGGCATACTGAGGCTACTATTGAAGCTGGATTATGAGACAACCTCTTTCTATCTATTGACAGTGACTGCTAGTGATACTGACTCATTGAATCCAATGTCAGCCAATGTAACGGTCTCTATTGTCATTGCAAACGTGAACGATCATCCGCCAGTATTATCACCATCCACTTACACCACAACACAAATGGAAGGAAACCACACCAGTCTTAGCATACAATCGTACACTTGTACAGATGCTGACGGAGGAACCACTTCCCTCTCTGTCTCTCCAGCTCCTCCTTTTGCCATAAACAGCAACGGAGATGTGACATTCTCTGGTATAATAGACTATGAAGAAGCTACAGTTCTTAGTGCTACAGTAACTTGCACTGATAGTTCGGTTGCTGGAGCAGACAGCCCTCTGAGTACAACAGGGACAATATCAATAAGTGTAATACCTGTCAACTTCCATGATCCAGTCATAACTTCTCCACTTGCTTTCAATGTCTCTGAAGGCTCTAGTGTTGGTGATGTAATAGCAACCATTACAGCATATGATCCTGATATGAGAGGCAGTATAACATACCAGACATCCTCTCATTCGTCCCTAGCTACACTAAATGCTAATACTGGCCAACTGGCGCTAGCCAGTACTTTGGATAGGGAAACTACGAGTGAGTATGATTTTGAAATCACAGTCTCAGATAATGACAATATTCAAGGATTAACTCCAAAGACCACATCAGCTACCATTACACTGATAGTAACGGATATCAATGACCACTCACCATCTTGCGATGTTACATTACAGACAGTAACGATACTAGCCAACACTTATAACCAATCCTTATCACTGTTCAATGCTTCTTGTACTGACAGTGACATTGGAGTGAATGCTGTGCTGAGATACACAGTAGATCAGAGCACACTCCCAACTGAGGGTACCTTCTATCTTAATGAGACGACTGGCTCCTTCTCTATGAATGGAACTATCAGTAAATCAAGTACTGGTAGCATTGTTGCTATAAGCGTCTCTGATTTAGGAACTAATCCGGTCTCTAACCCGGTACTGATTCAATTGATTTTTAACGTGTTTACTGGCAATGAGCCGCGATTTGAGCCCAACTATTTCAATGTGACAATAGCAGAGAACTACCCCAGCACCATACCTGTGCTTAATGGCAGTGTCCTGATGAGCTCTCTCCTCAATATAGAGGACAGCTCTGTGTCGTTTAGATTCATTACTAATACCACTGACTTCATCATTGACTCAAGCACTGGTGATGTATTCCTATTAGCCACTAGTCAGTTGGATTATGATGAGGGAGAGACCAGGTATTCATTAGGAATACAAGCATCAGTCAATACAGATGTAACCGAGGCCATTCTTGAGGTATTTCTATCTGACTATAATGACAACCCACCTGTATTTTCAAGCCAGCTTTACAATGGATCGGTAAAAGAGAACCTGTCACCTGGTCAAACGGTACTAACTGTGTCAGCTACTGACATTGATTCTGCTGATAATGCAATCGTCAGGTACAGTATATTATACGGGAGCACTGATTTCTCTATTGATCAAATCAGCGGAGTGATCAAAACGTTGAAACAGTTTGATCGAGAGGTCATCCCGTCTTACTCGTTGTTTGTGAAAGCAGCTGATCTTGGCCAACCCCCTCTCTCTAGCACCGTAACGGTTACCATTTACATTGGAGACGAAAACGACAGCCCACCTTCGTTCCAAAACTCGCTCTATAATCTACTGATCAGTGATTTAGCTCAACCTGGCGATATCATTACCACGTTTAGCGTGACTGATCCTGATATCACCGGTAGCATCAATTATGCCATAGTAGCAGCAGATGCTGCTCTATTGGAGTTCATACAATTGAATCCTTTTACCGGTGAGTTGTCTCTCAAAGCTCCAATACCTTCAGATCATCTCCTACTCTATGAATTCAAAGTCACAGCCAATGATCAGATACACACAGTAGAGACAGATGTTGTTCTACAGGTAGCAACACTGAGTCAGACGAGCATCAGCTTAGAGGAGAATGTATTAGATCAAACTTATAATGTATTTAGCTTCCTGCAGCTAAGTGCCAACTTGAGTTCCAATACTGTCTATGATATCATTGATGGGGATCCACTGGAACAATTTGACATAAGTGAGACTGGGATATTGTCAAATATAGAGTTCCTTGATAGAGAGAATATATCCCATTACCAGCTCCTGATATCAGCAATTGATAATACAACCAATGAAAATAGCATATTAGCATTGAGCATTGATGTAGCAGATAAGAATGACAATGCACCAATGTTTAATTCCAGTAGTTACAGCATCACCATACAAGAAGGACACTATTCCGTGCCAACTGTTATTGGGTTAGTATATGCTTCTGATGCAGATCAACCAAACACTGAGAATTCACGTATCACTTACAAATTATTAGCAATACAACCACCTCTTAGTGATACTACTGAAATGATCTTGCACGAAGTGACTGGTGAATTAAAAGTCAGAGGAACTCTTGACCGAGAGACATCAGAGACATATGAAATGGTAATACAAGCTGAAGACCACGGTGAACCACAGCCACTGATTGCTTATACATCTTTAAAAATGACACTAACTGACGTTAACGATAATGTCCCTCGTTTTGCAACCCCAGACGTAGCTTCATTCATAGTATACTATGCAGCTGGAGTTCCCATTGGTACTGAGCCAGAGAACATACTCTCAATACGTCCCATTGTACAGCTAGACCCAGTGAGTTCTGACAGTTTCAGATTCTCAGATGCCGATAGTTCTGATGTAGCCACAGCATCACTAGAAGGCGCTGTTAACATGAGCCTAGTGTCAAACTCCAGTCCAGCACGACTAGCATCCACTGGAGATATATCCACAATGCTCAATGGTAGTGTGTTCCATATTATTATCACTGATGGGCTGTATGTAGTTAATAAAAGTGTCACAGTCATGATTATACAGCCGACCCCCACATCATCTGTATACACGTCCACTGCTATTGAGAGCACAATGGTCATATCTACTACTGCAACGTCTGTTAGCTTATCTGTTACTCCTAGCTCCAGTAATGTAGACTTTATTAGTAGTCCTCTTGGGATTGCTACAATCATTGTTGGAACGGTATTCTTCTTTGCAATCATCCTCGCAATATTCTGCATCTGTTGCTTCTGTTATCAGTACTTCCAAAAGAAAAAGGACAACGAAAAAAGGTAAGAGTGTCAGATAAAATGAGAAAGAGAGAAAGAATTGAGGGAAAGCAGAGAAAGAAATAATAATATTTTTTTAAATGTGTCTTTCATTAGACGAACAACGAGTGTTTTCAAAAGAGTAGAAGTAGAAGGTAGACCAGCAAGGAAGATTGAAGAGGCAGATCTGCACAAGAATCCATCATACCAGTACCATGAGTTTGACCAATTGGATTATCCTCATTATGTACCACGTAAGATAATAGGATTAACATTTGATGTTGCTTTTTTCAATAATTTGCTCATTTTAAAAATGCTTGTAGTTCAAAAATTATTTATCAAAATCAGCTCAAACTTTCTATACAGCATAAGGGCATCAATATGTATCAGAAAATGTAATAAAGATTTTGGGTGATTTTGGAGCCATTTTTCAGAAAAAACCATGGGCTATAGCCTTGGGTATTTTTCAGAATTTTGACGTTTTCTTAAAATGGCCGTAACTTGAAAAATTGAAGTCAGAATCAGCTTAAACTTGCTACACAGCATAAGGGCATCAATATGTATCAGAAAATGTAATAAAAATTTGGGGTGATTTCAGAGCCATTTTTCGGAAAAAACCATGGGCTATAGTACAGGGTATTTTTCAGAATTTTGACATTTTCTTAAAATGGCCGTAACTTGAAAAATTGAAGTCGGAATCAGCTTAAACTTGCTACACAGCATAAGGGCATCAATATGTATCAGAAAATGTAATAAAAATTTGGGGTGATTTCGGAGCCATTTTTCGGAAAAAATTATGGGCTATAGCCTTGGGTATTTTTCAAAATTTGGTTGTTTTTTTAAAGCTCATAACTCCAGAATTTGAGCTCAAAATCAGCTCAAACTTTCCACGTAGCATAAGAACATCATTATGCATCTGAAATGAAGATGAAAATTTCCAAAAGTGTCATCAAAATTAACTTAATGAAGCTTCTATATGGCATTAAATATAGCACCAATTCAATATTTTACTATCACTATCATTATCATTATTAGATGATCCAAGCTTGGGACAGATGTATGGCGAATACAATGAGGTAGAAACAGATTTTGGACAAGTAAGCACAAATTAAAGCAACTGCAATACATTCACTAACACTCCTCCATTACAGAGTATGAATGGATCACTACCACCAATGTACCCATACCCTATGCCATATCCTGGCTACCCTATGCAGTCTTATCCTCAGTCCTATGGCGGATTCACTCCTGGTACAAGTATGTCCGAAGTGAAGCCTTTCTCAAGCGAAGAGAGTGGAGAGGAAGATACCTCAAATGAAGATAGAATGAAGTACAGAATGGGGCCGATACTCGGCAGTGTTGTTGAGGACTTCCGGCGCGGGGACGAGGTACTACAGAAAGACGACGTACGCAAATCAAAAAGTAGTCTATTGAACTTGACCGGCAAGTCCAGGTCCAAGAAATAATTAATAACTCACACATGCATACAGCAACCATCATCAAAGCAGCAACGAGAACATTAATATTTTTTGATTATTATTATTACTATTTTTATTTTTATCATATTTAATTATTATGATTAGTCATAGGCTATTTCGTGTACTTCTTAATATTGTTTTTGTTATTTTGCTATAAAAATATTTTAAAAGAATACGCTAGAGCTACATACTGCGTATAACCTGCTCATGAAGCAGTTAATGGCTTAACAATGACATGAATCACACCAATTAACAACTTACAGATTTGCTTCTGGATATCTACTTGACTTAATTGTGGGAGTGTCACATCTATAAATAAGTTAAAAACGAAAAAGTAGTATTTTAAGCTGGCCACGTGAATCCACGTGGGTGCTGATTGGCTTAGATCACGTGATCCTGTCCTAATTCTAGCTGGAATCACAAATTCACAATACCATGGATCGTTGGTGTGGTAGAGTAGCATTAGTGACAGGAGCCAGTTCTGGCATTGGAGCAGGGATTGCTGAATCACTGGTAAAGAATGGTATGATAGTATTAGGAGCAGCAAGAGATGTGGAGAGAATAAAGGTTAGATATTGCCAATCAGCAGAAGAGAGGGAGGGACAAATTCACTGAATAGTTGAATTTTTTTGTAGAAATTATCAGATAGTTTAGGCACAACTGCTAGTGGTGGTAAACTGGTTGGCATGAAATGTGATGTTACTAATGAAGATGATATCAAGAGTGTATTTAGTTATGCTAAAGATCAGTTTGGTGGTATTGATGTGTGTGTCAATAATGCAGGATTAGCTCATAATGCTCCTTTATTAACTGGTGATACTAAAGACTGGAGGAACATGCTTGATGTAAGTAACATCAATGACTCTTGCTCTCACTGTATGATACTGATGTGTAGGTTAATGTATTAGGTCCTTGTATTATAACAAGAGAATTTATGAATCAAGTAAAGGAGAGAGGAGTAGATGATGCTCATATTATACTCATTAACAGGTTTTAAATTTTTTTGCCATTGGCATATTATTATACTTTTTTTTTTTCATTTGCAGTCGTGTAGGTCATATTGTTCCTCCGCTTAAACTCGTTCACTTTTATTCTGCCACCAAATTTGCCATTACTGCTATTGCTGAAGGTGTCAGGCAAGAGCTAAGAGAAATGAAGTCAAACTGTCGCTGCACAGTAAGTATAAACAAACTTGCTGACATTTAATTCTTTCAATCAGTCTATTTCACCTGGAATAGTAAAGACAGAATTTTTTGGTAGAGCAATCAAATCCGATGATATAGAAAAAGTTGTAGAATCAACTGATGACAGAGTAGCTAATGTAAACTAGAGATATTTTATATTGTTTTTTATTATAAAAATGAATGTGTGTGGGTAGGGTCCAGCACTTAGAGCTGAAGATATTGCCAATGCTGTTGTATTTGCCATTAGTGCACCACCAAGAATGGAGGTAATTTAGTTTAATTGTTGTTTCTCTTTAAATACTTTCATTTGTAGGTGAACGAGATTATCATTAGACCTACTGGCATGACAGCATAAATAGATTTTTCTAACTATAACTTTTTTAGTTATCAATTTCAATGAAAAAATGGTTTATTTTGGACTGCTTGAAATAGGAAATTTTCCCACTAATAATTTTAAGACAGTGTTTTCCTTAATATCATGTAAAAAACTGTTGGTATAATAATGATTTACTTATAGCATGACTGAACATATAGATGATATGATGTAATTATTACATTGAAGTCTCTTGTTCTCTTTTCATGTTTTTAAAAAAACTAAGTCTATTTCTTTTAGTCTTGGCCGGTTTCCAATTGATCTCTACCGATTCTTCCAGTCTGCTGGGTGATACTGGTGGAGTATGGTCTAACTCTGATCTCTTAATGAACGTAGTAGTTGTTAGAGTCCTTCCTTTTTCAACATTACCAGTGGTTGAAGGGACTCTAGTTAGTACTGAGATCATCTCTCTTTCTTTATGTCGTTTCTTCTTGTTGGTACGATATTTGCTATAAAGTACAATTATATAATGTCAATAATGATTTAATGCAGTGGTATTTATATGAAGAGAGACTTAGAGATTAAAGACGGTCGTCATTTATTTTACATACAGTCAACTAGCATGCATTATATATATTATATATACTTACATGTATTTAGTTGTAATAGTCCATATAACATTACCAATAATCAATACGATTGTAACCAAAAGTGGCAGATAATAAAAGAAGGCCATGACTTTAACCAATGTGGTGGTCCTTAAATCAAAGTTGCACTTAGGATCGCTGTCATCAACCAGTGATGAGAGGGGCTGGATTGTCTCGTAGGAGCTGTAATGATAATCTTCTAAAAACTTGCTGACTTGAGTAAGAGCAAGCAAAATGAAAACAAGGCAGCCCATTAAAGCATTAACAATGTTGCCTAGTAGCGTTTTAAAGGGCTCTAGCAACATCTCCAGACCAGCAAATGCTGTAATTACTAACAATAGTATACCCTAAAAAAGAAATAATAATAAAAGTTATTCAGTATTAAAAACACTTTAAAACAAGTATTGGCCATGTAGCAGGTTCATCAAACATTATTCAAGTTTAACATGCATCTATTACTTTTAGCTCAAAAGCATGTACCATGAACCATAGTGTCAATGGTCTTTTAGTAAAGCATTTAGTGCAGTGTGTACAGCTACATGTATATAGATCAATTTACTAACAATATTGGAAGGTATAGCAACTAGCAGAATGACCAATACCATCTTCTTCATTAGTATAATGGTACCCCAATAGGGATACTTGTCATTAAACTGAGCATGTAAAGACTCAGCTGCAAAATAAAAGCACCTGTGTAGCTAGAAGAGAGAGAGAGAGAGAGGGAGAAGGAAAGTCAAATGATAGATTATTTTTATACCTTTTCAGATTTATCCAGTGAGAATAAAAAGGTAACAAAAGTTGTAGCAATAGAATAAATTATAACTAGCAACGCAAGGAAAGTCAAGCCAATATGACCACCAGAGAAACACTTCACAGAACCATCGTGATACCAACGCTGAGAAAACGAAAAAAGAGGAGGTGGAAAATTAAAAACATTAATACTATATAGCACATATTCTAAACTTTATAGATTTTAATTTTATTGAAATTTTTATGCTATACTCTATTTAATGAATTAATTAGCTTATTTTGCAAACTTTTTTCTATCTAGCAGCAACTTTTTATATCCATAAATAAAAGTAGTGCTATACTATAAAAATGTTTACCAATTCATGTCTTATATCATTTCCGCCACCTCCATTACTAATGGGAACTAAAGGACAGTTAAAAACTGAGAGAGCTGCATAGAGTGCCGGCATGAAGATTGCTTGACATATGTCCACGGTACCATGATGAGGGACTCTCTTTAATTTACGCTTTAAGAGACAATCTCTAAAAAATGAAAGTGAAAAAGTGTCTCATATTTATAAGCAAAATATAATAGCAATAATAATAATAATGATAATGATGATGATGATGATAATTTACCTAACAAAGCTGACTGAGGGTATAACTATAGTTGCACACATCATTGGAATGAATTTTAATACATAAGAAACAATGGTGGACGTGTTGGAATAAACACAGAAGTCGTAAGGAAAATAGAAACTCAGTAAACTGGTAGCATAATACAACTAAAAATGGTGAAAAAAAGACAATATAAAATAAAGTTGCATCAGTATTTTTTATGATAACTTGATATTTTCATGATAACTTAAAAGATAATGTATTACTTATACGTCTCTATTGACTTACATATGGCTGGACTCTGTCAAAAGTTTCAGGAAAGCGTAGAGAGATAATTGAGATAAGCTAAAACAAAAACAACACAAATAATAATGACAACATTATTATTATTATTATTTACCTGTAGATAATAGATACAAGAGATATACCAATCTCTCATTGGTATCATTACTATCAGCATAACAAGAAAAGCTGCAATATCAATCACAACTATGCATAATAATGGGAAAAAAAATAATAAATTCATGCTATTTTATTCTCTCCTTTCTTCTTGCATTCAGCCCCCTTCTCTGTCTCTTACTTAATAAAACAATAAAAATACTGTTAGCATTACTGCAACTGGTGCACTTGTTCAGCAGGACGCTAACACTAGTGTGATTAATACACTGCCCACATAACACTCCTAGTTCAAAACATGAGTCAATTAATATAGTCATAAAAGGCGGGCTATACCTGTTCTATCACAGCTGCATATAGAATCATTATAATCAGTATTGAACACATAATCACAAGTAATGAAAGAATCGCTAGGTATATCACCAAAATTATTTCCTCCATTTCCTCCATTGCCTCCATTATTGCTAGTGATACCAGTATTGATTAGACTGGCACTCAGAAATGGCGTACACCTGCAGTAACCAGGTGGACAGTCTATGAGGAATAACTTATCACGTGAATTGTCTGTGATAGCAGCCCATTTATTGAGCTAGAGAGAAGACAAAGGAGCAGAAAGAAGAGAGTATGATTTGAGTATTGTAATTGTCTCTAGTCTCACAGTAATATACACAGTCCTGTCTTCACAGCTGTTTATATCAGTCCTGTCTGTATGGCAGGCACAACCATAATAAGTGTTGCCAGGAACTATGGAGAGTACAGTACCAGCTGGACAAGACCTCAAAGTTAAATTAAAAGTAACTTTACTTTCATCCTATATACATATAAAACAAATATCAGATCCTCTTAAATCCTTAGTTACATTAAGATACTCTCATACTTCAGTTAATAGAGTAGATGCTTGGACTGTAATTCTAACATTATCAAGATCAAATGAATCGTCAGTTAAAAAGTAATAGATCTCAACTGGGCGCTCTAAGTTATCTCTAGCTGATACAGCGGACGGATCAAATATAACAGAGTTGCGAGGATTATTAATCTAGAGAAGAGAGAGAGAAAGAGATAGAGGGAGTTGCACATAATTTTTTCTCTCTCTCTTTCTTTCTTTCTCTCTCTCTCTCTCTCTCTCTTTCTCCTTACCGGCCGAAAGCCCCATATAGCATAAGTACGTGTACCAGTTTCACTAGTCGAGTATATATTCAATCTTATTGGTTGACCAGGAAAACCCTCAACCTATTAAAAATTAAAATGTGCATAGTTGTGTATACGGCTCTCTCTTACTCTTTCTTCTCGACCCTGTGAACCAACTACAGTGTCAACTGGTTGGGTCTGAACATCATACTCAGTATTACCAACACGAGCACTGTTTGCATTATTAGGCCTACATTAATAATAATAATAATAATAATAATAATAATAATAATAATAATAATAATAGTACTATACATTAGTGCATACCCAATTTTCATGAATCTCCATTGATAGGCTCGGCTTATGTTGAAGTTACTGGTACCTCCTACCCAAGAGCATCGACGTATATCATTAACATACACTGCACTACCAACAATAGCTCTGTTTTCATTTATTGTCATGTTAACCTGGAGGAAGAGTAAATGTACATATAGTTAATACACACAGACTTATGTTACCACCAGAAGTCCTATAGAAACCATTGCTGAAACATACACTGTATAAGAATAGAAAGCATTCCAGCTCTATTATACATTAGATTGACAGTTCCATTGGTTAATAGATACTCTTGCTTGTGTGTTTACCATTATTATACTCACTATCTATGGCTTTACAGTTAGTACACATCTAACTTGAAATGCAATAAGCAATTAATTGAGGGTGTGGCAGGAAATGGAAATTGGAGAACCCATGATGCTATTGCAAGGTTTATGGCTTTTATAACTTGCAACAATTTTAAGTAAAGCCTCATCTTTTCAATTATAAAGAAACAGTGTTAACAATTTTTGAATGGATCTCAAAAGGTCCTATCACCATTATTATAAACTATATAGTACAGATACATGAACATACCTCCCATTGGTCAGGGGGAACTGAGGTGTCCTCGTATAAAAAGGAGCACAGTGGGTTCCTTGATAGTTCAGTGTAGGCCGAGGGAGTAAATGCAATTGTAGGGACAATACCAGCACCCCAACTGTGTAAAGTAAGCAATAGAGTATGATTATAAGTATATAGTTGTATTAATTTTTGACAAAAGCATAAGAACATCAATATGTATCAAAAAATGTAATAAAAATTTGGGGTGATTTCAGAGCCATTTTTCGGAAAAAACCATGGGCTATAGCCTTGGGTATTTTTCAGAATTTTGATATTTTCTTAAAAAGGCCGTAACTTGAAAAATTGAAGTCGGAATCAGCTCAAACTTGCTACATAGCATAAGGACATTAATATGTATCAGAGAATGTAATAAAAATGTGGGGTGATTTCAGAGCCATTTTTTGGAAAAAACCATGGGCTATAGCCTTGGGTATTTTTCAGAATTTTGAAGTTTTTTAAAAATGGCCGTAACTTGAAAAATTAAAGTCAGAATCAGCTCAAACTTGCTACACAGCATAAGGACATTAATATGTATCAGAAAATGTAATAAAAATGTGGGGTGATTTTGGAGCCATTTTTCGGAAAAAACTATGGGCTATAGCCTTGGGTATTTTTCAGAATTTTGAAGTTTTTTAAAAATGGCCGTAACTTGAAAAATTAAAGTCGGAATCAGCTCAAACTTGCTACACAGCATAAGAACATTAGTATGCATTAGAAAATGTAATAAAAATTTGAGATGATTTCTGGGTTGTATTATTAATTTTTGACAAAAATTGACTCATTTTTAAAATGCATTGATTTATCAGAGTCAGCTCAAACTTTCTACTTAGCATAAGGGCATCAATATGCATCGGAAAATGTAATAAAAATTGAGAGTCATGTCTATTTCTAATATTTTATTACTGCTCATCCTACTTGCACAGACTCACCCTCCTCTGTTATCTATTATTTCAACAGTAGTGGATCTCATCAGTCTAATTTGTCCGTTGCTTAAAAAGAGGAGAGCACCAGTGCTGGCGTTCTTTATTTCATTATCAGTAAACAATATTGTACCACTAAAAGTCACCAAAACACCAACAACCTAACAATAGTAGCAATTTACAACAATAATATTGTATTTTAGATTGAAGCTTACGATAAGTCCTGGTCCCTCATTTCTGCTAATAGTATTAGTCCCTTTAAATAAGAAGGGGAAATTAGTTATGCCAATGGTAGCCCCTTCAGATGATAAGTTATCAGTGAATGTACTAAAAGAAGAGTGTATTATTATTATTATTATTATTGTTGTTGTTGTTGTTGTTGTTCATTAAACACATACCAATTGCTAATTTCTCCTGGCCTTGTTTCCCCTTTGCTCTCAAAAAGGTTCAATGCTGTAGCTCCAATGGCTGCTCCATAAATGCTGGCAAAGTTCCTCGTGAAATTAGACGATTCAAAAGAAGCAAAAGTACCTAATTCACCGTCTTCATCAGCTGGAACAAAGAGAGACAGGGTCGTATGATCAATCAATGATGTTATGTAATAAAAATTATAATTGAAATAAAGAAGACTGAGAACAGACTAATTAAATTGTGGACGGCTTCCCGACAAATACACAAGTCAAAACATATAAATTGTATTATAATTAGAAAGCTTAGAAAAGTAATGGTAATTACAGCACACATACAATTGCACTTTTATCATAAAATTATACAATGTAAAGAGAATGAGAGGTAGAGAGAAAGAGAGAGAGGAAGACTAGGAGACATGTCACATATGTCATAGATGATGTAATAGCTTCTAAGCAGGAAGCTACATATATAGTCACTACCATAAATACTATTATACTATACTAGACTAGGCAATACTAATAATTCTAGTTGTTACTATAAGTGGAATGCAGTTAATAGACCATGTGACATGCATGAGCATAAACAGACACTTGATATCCAATTAATTACTTACCAGCAGTAATACTCACAAAGAAGTATACAGCTCCGCCGTAAGGTGACCAGTTTCTGTTAAAATGAGACTCGTTTACAAAAACGCTGTTTACATGTTCGTCATCTCCGCCTACTTGATAAGACATAAAGACTGCCCCGCCTGCCAATTCGGCATAATTTTGACGAAATACAGAATTGGTGATATAGACCTGGTGATTTGATACAGAGTTAAAAGCTACATACACAGCCCCACCATATAAGGCAGCACTGTTATTAGTAAATCGGCAGTTCTCTATAACACCTTCTACGGGCATTTCATTTTGTAGTAAAAGAAAGATCGCTCCTCCTCGCCCTGTGTAAGAATCACCTGACGTAACTTCAGTAAAACCAGTACTGGTTAGGTTCGCATTAAGGCCGGCCATGTTGGACATGAAAGTAACGTTTCTGATTAAGAACCTTGGCCTCTTGGTAAACACATCAGAGTACTGGACTGAGAGACCGCCAGCTCCGCCTTGAAAAGTTCTTATGCGGCCGATAATGGGGCCACCATTGTTATTGAATACAGTGTTCTCAATAGTAATGCTCTCACAGTCAATGAAATCAAGTGTCCCCTCTCTGAACTGTCTGTGTGTAATAATAGCAATAATTATAATTTAATGATAATGTGCAAGTTAGCAAGAATACATGATATTATGCTAGTGTCAATGATAGCTGGAAGGTGGCATATGGAAGCTAACAAATCACAAATTAAATTATACACATAGTTGATAAAACTTCCAGGGCCCAGGGGTGCTTTAGTGCAACCTTTTTCCCCCCATCTCCATTATATTCCTTTCATCTCTATTCTTTCCTTACCTAAATATACTACCCTGTATTGTTACTTGAGTGACTTTCTCAAACTCAATATAACCAGGTCCACCATCAAAATTTATGCCTGTAGATACAAAATTAACAGCTAATAATAAATAAGATAACATACCTATAAATTCAACATAGCTCGTTTCCTCAAACTCCAGTGTCAGCTCACCAGTACTGTCCCTTCCTCTGCCAAGGACCACAACCACACGACCTGTAGCTCTCATACTAACACTGAAACCCTCAAGGCTATACTCTACAATAACAATAATAATAGTTAGTTTATTTTTGTCACATTGCCAACATAAAATAAATTCTAAAGTGTTCTTTTACAAAGTATCCACTTGCCTCTAGTCAAGATATAAACGGCTGGCTCAATAGTCACGTTGCTGCAGTAGAAACCATCGTCACGGTTAATGGTTTCAGCTAAGCCTTCCAGTCTTCGAAAATAGTCATCTAGCCCTCTGTCGTTCCTATCTCTCGAAGGCCTTATGGTCACATTCTCTGTAGTTTGACAGGAGCTCTGAGAGGAGACAGGAGTGGAGAAGAAGCAAAAGGAGAAGAAGAAAAGAGCCCACCAGAGCTTCAGGGCCGCCATTATACAACGCAACATCTAATTAGCCAGTAAGTGTGTAGTGTTAGTAGTGTAACACTAGTGTTAAGAAAATTCATTATTATTCTTTTATAGAGAAATTACCCACGCATGAGATTAAATCATAGATTAAACGTTATAGCTACACACGTGACAAAACGTGGGTATGGAATGCAAGTTTGAAAAAAAGAGAGTTAGAGTGAGGCAGTCTCTTCTCCTCTTCCTCAAGAGAAGACAACAGTATCCAGCATAGCTCCAAGAGTCTGTGTGATGTTTTCAGTCAAAACTTGGTCCACCTTCTCTTCTAGATGTCTCTTCGGGTCCTAAAAAATTAAGATAATGGTCAATCAGAAAATGGCAAATAAAATTAATGTCTTGCTACATAAAGCTATACAGCATATATTTGAATTTAGATCAGACGGATACATACCACTTTTCCAACATTTTTAATTGCCAGCTGCTCTGGGGTCATTCCCTCCTCTTCTTCTAGTGCCTAGAAATAAGAAATAACAAATCATTCAAGCAGAGGAAGATGAGCTTCACTTTGTTATAACTCTTAGCAAGTTCTAGCATCTCCTGAAGAAGAAAGAAAAAGAGAGGAGTCATTTTAAAGACGGATCAATCTGAGTTACTTCAACGGTCTTTTCATTTGATGCTCCTATTTCTTTAAAGTCTTGTAGCTGGAGGCCGGTCATCCAGGTTTTCTTGTGAAGATTACTTAACATCTGCAAATTTTAAATAGCATTTCTCATTATTAAAAATCACTCGATTACTTTATATTCAAGCTCGTTCTTTCTATAATTAATTGGCAGTGAATAGTAATGCCGACCCAAACCATGTATCAAAGCCTAGAAAGAGAAGGAGGTGAAGAAACAGGTTTACAAAACTAGTCAAACCTGTATTGATGGTTTCTGAAGGTGCCCAAGATTAGAGGTGGTCTGTCGAGGCTCTTGGCCGAGAGCCTGCATCCGTGGATCAGTCAACCTAAAAGCATCAATCACTACCTTTCCTATTGAATGATATAATATGTGCAATAGCAGTGGGTAAAAGACTGCATTCAAATTACCTTTAACACTTTGAATGGGATCAACAACCACAGCCACTGCTCTTGCAGAAAGAGCTTCAAAACTCTAAAAAAAAGAGGAGAGAGAGTAAGAGTGTCATGTAGTCCTTTATTGAAAAAGTGCTTTACTTGCTGTGTGTTAATATCAACTCCTGATAGCCAACAACCGAACCCCGGGTGAGAGTGGTACCAACCAACGACCATCTCAGGTCTACAGCAAAAAAATTAATAATAAATAGATAAATAAATAAATAAATAAATAATAATAATAATAATAATGTACACGTAGTACTCTCATACCTTCCAGTTTGTTTCAACATGTCCAACATGTTAGATTGAAATACAGGATCAACTGCTTCTACTGATACACCCTGAGGGAGACAAAATGTACACACAAAAATGAAAAGATAGTACACACATGCATAATAATACATATATTTGTACATTTGAATGAAAGTGAAGTGCTTACCGTTCCACTCTGTGGCATTGCAAATACATCAATGACTCGTACAGTGTAATCATCAACCAATTCTCCTAACATCAAACCCATCACTTCCATTGGTACTCCAGCACGTCCATGCTTTAACATCTATAATGATAATAATAATAATAATAATAACTTTCTCTCGGGTTCTCCCTCTCCTCCTTTCTATATATTTCCTCTCTTTTTGTTGCCCTTTTCTCTCATAATAATAATGGTAATAATGATAATAATAATAATAATAATAATAATAATAATGATGATGATAATGATAATAATAATAATAATAATAATAATAATAATAATAATAATAATACATTACACATGAATAAATTAAAAATAAATTGAACCCACTTTCAGTAAAGCCAGCGAAGATATGTATACGGTTTCTGCAGTGTCCATCATTGGAGTATCAACACCAGGAGGAGGCTATATATAATAATTAATTGAAATAAAGTATGGGACATATAAAATTAATTCTAAAGGAACTTCAAAAAATTGTAAAAATTCCAAATTTTAATCGGAATCAGTTCAAATTTTCTACACAGCATAAGTACATGTATATGCATCAGAAAAAATTATAAAAATGGAGAATTCTCACCTTTTCCTTTTTGACAAAATTTGGCCAAAATCCCTGTACTATAGTACAGCGACTTTTGTCCAATTTTTAAGCAACTTTAAAAATTGATAAAAAATTCAAACTTGATCAGAATCAGTTCAAACTTTCTACGCAACATAATAAGATATATGCGCATCAGAAAAAATTATAAAAACATAAAATTCTCTACTTTTCATTTTTGGCAAAAGTTGGCCAAAATCCTTTTGCCCAATTTTGAGCCACTTTAAAAATTCATAATTAATTCAAACTTGATCAAAATCAGTTCAAACTTTCTACACAACATATAAACATGTATACGTATCAGAAAAAACTGGCTAGTATAATTATATCAATTTACTGCCCTTCTAATTATTATTTTAATACTATTATACCACTCTGTAATGTTCAAACACGTTTTTTCCTCCTTACCTGACCAATCCCATGTAATCCACCGGCCCCTAACTGAAGAAGACGCTCCATTTTCCTTATCTTCTTTCTGTGAGTTTCTGTTGATAAATTTTTCACAATTTTTAGATGCTGAGTTGCTAATGCTGAGATGCTCTTTAATTAGAAAATATAGGCGGAGTCTATCTTGGCGATGGGTGTGGCTATTTGAACCATTCAAATCAAAATGAGGAGAAGGCAAGCCTTGAAAGTTGTAAAAGAATTTGACGCCTTTCCTAAAGTCTCCGAGGACTACATAAAGCCCACAACCAGAGGAGGACTCTTTTCCATTGTTTCTATAACCATTATACTCTTCCTGATCGTATCAGAACTCTCTTATTTCAAAGACTCTGAGATACTTTATGAATACATGGTGGATACAGACATGACCTCTACACTTAAGCTTAGGTTCGATATCACAGTAGCAATGCCTTGCGAGTTCCTAGGAGCTGATGTAGTAGATGCTGCTGGTAGCTCTAAGAGCTTACAGCAAGAGGTTCACAAAGAACCGACTATTTTCGAACTCAACAAAGAACAGAAAGCATGGTTAGCGGCTAAGCAAGAGGTCATCCGTCGACACGAAGGACTTCGGTTGCTACGTGACGTCATGTTCGACTCTCACCCCCAGCAGTACATCCCGTTTCCCGAGCACCCCCAGCACTCTGCTCCTCTCACCAGCTGTCGTGTCCACGGTCACATTCAAGTCAACAAAGTATCTGGCAACTTTCATATAACCGCTGGCCAAGCCGTACCTCATCCACAGGGTCATGCCCATCTCAGTGCATTCGTACCCACAAACATGATCAATTTTTCTCACCGGATAGACTCATTTGGGTTTGGTGTCTCTACCCCTGGGATGGTAGACCCTCTTGAAGGAACTTATGTCATTGCTCGCGAGTCGAACCGATTGTTCCAGTATTACATACAGATTGTACCAACTACACTACAAATGAGAGGAGGGAGTGATTTACATACAAACCAGTACTCTGTGACAGAGAGGAATAGAGCTATCAGTCATAAAGCAGGTAGTCATGGGCTGCCTGGCCTCTTTTTTAAATACGAGATTTATTCTCTGATGGTTTTAATGAAGGAGGTCGATAGACCTTTATCGCTGTTTTTGGTTAGACTTTGTGCTATTGTTGGTGGGGTTTTTGCTACATTAGGCATGATAAGCCAGTTCTTGGGCTACATACTAGGGTTTTTCAAGAGAACAAAGAGCGAAGAAACATGAACAATCACAATATTTATAAATATTAATTATTTTAATAACTATTTAATAACTAGCCACTCCCATCCCACATGCTTTGCAATGGCCACTAATCCAAGACAGTACATTGAAGAAGAAGCTGATAAAAGAGGACTAAAGCTATCTTATTCTACTCCTGTACTAGCTACTGGCAGCTCCACTCCGCCTCCATCTACAATCTTTCCTGGCTCTACTTGCTATTACGTTTGCATTACTTTTGGCAATGACAATTACCACGGATACGGCCCAACTCCTTTCATAGCTCGCACATCCGCTGAATTGGAGGCAGCGACAAATATTTATAAGAAGTCAACGCAAAAAGAGGCCTGCCAAAGGAAGCCGTCACTTAATAGTACCATGGTCTTGTGTAGCCAGACGAAAAATACTAATAATAGCAACAACAATAAGGCGACTAATAAATGTGCCAAAAGAAAGAACACTGATCATCATGGGAAAATAAATAACGTTGAGCAATCAGTGACACAGCTGAAAAATCAAATTGATTCGTACATGTTGTCTCAAGTCTCGTCCCTTTCTCCTTTAGCCACACCTTTTGTCCCCGAGTCCTCAGGCTTCTCCTTGCTGCCAACTCCCCATTGCTTGCCTCTCCCTGTATTCTCTAATATAGTTCAGTCATCTTGGTTTCAGCCAACTTCGTCTCCTCCTGTTTCTCTGTCTCCTCTTCCTCCTCCCCCCTCTCTTCCTCCTACTCCTTCTTTCCCTTCTCCTCCTCCTCCTATTTCTCCTCCCCCTATCTCTCCTCCCCTTCCTCCTCCTATCTCTCCTTCCCCTCCTCCTCCCCCACCTGCCAATGTAGAAAGAAGAGAGTGTACATATAATGTACCAAGGACAGCTGAGGAGGCAATGAATACGTTAATGGCGTCATCACTGCAGCAGACTAATGATAATGCTGCTGACGAAGACGAAGATGATAATATCACATATAGCTATAATACGACAATGGAGCGGAACCTTACCGAGACTTTGGTTGACGTTGCGTATCGTAAAGGATACATCGTTCAGTTTGAGATTGAGTATCGACTCGAGAGACAAGAGCAAATGCAAGGAAATAAGTATGTTGTCGTGAAGGCTATAGCTGGCCCGATGACCTCTACTGGGAGTAACAGGAGGAAGAATGATGCTAAAAGGATAGCCAGTCTAAAATTATTGCAGTTATTAAAGAAATGTCACGATGCACCTTTAGAAACTGCGTCAGTCCATCAACTTACCAACACTTTGGTTGAGACTGATTCCTGTTCTGCCCAAGCTGATTCCCATTCTCCTGATTCTGAGGATCAGGAATCAATTATTCAAAATTTAGCTGCCGAGTGTGGTTGGCCTCAGCCTGAATACATCACGTGTTCGTACAGCGTTCCTTTCAAGTACTTTATGTGCGTCATAAAGATAATGTCTATATCAGGAATAGGTCAGTATAACAAGGAGCTGATATGACATTATTTTATTATTTATTGTCTTGCTATAGGTATGGGAGATACTGAAGAATGTGCTAAAGCTGTTGCCAATTCCCACATTATATCAACACTAATTGAGTGTGTCAGTCAACAAGAAGAAATTAATTCAGTGAGTAAGACATTGCCCCTTGCAAAGTTAAGGACACCTTTTGTTAATGTCTAAATTCTACATGTACATGTACATTGTATTAATATTTGATATTTATTTTTTAGTTTGAAGATAACGAAGACATAAAAGATGAAGTGAGGAACGAAACAATGAAACAAGACAATACTCCATTAGAACCTGCCTGTTCTCAATCACCACTAATCACTATCTCTGTACCTCATTCTGCTTCACAAGCATTGGAATCAAAAGATGATCAATTTATCTCAAGTAATTTGACATCTTGTGCTAGTCAAATATCAGCCGATGATACCGATCATCAGCTATTGGATGAAACAATGTTAACTCAAGTCTCATCTGATATCGTCTTCTCTCAAAGTTCAAACACAACTGATCAATGCTGCAGTCAAATAGTTTCTGATATTTCTTCTCAAGGCACCATACGAGAGCTTGATCACGTTGACGCTGATATCAAGACGTTTTATGATCAGCTTGCATCTCAAATTAGTTCTCAAGAGTTTTCTCTCGAAATAAATGATGAATATTCAACTGATTCGTCATCTTCTATTGATTTTGATGCTCTGCTTTCAAATTCTGTATCAGCTGTGAGTCATGATACTGATTCCAGTCATTACGAGATCAAATATGAGAAGGAGACAGAAGATGTTAATGGAGAGGTTGGGCATATCACCTTACTGCATCACCCCGGTATTGCTCTCAATTCAGAATCATCAATTCTTCAATTTGAATCACCAGTAGTTAATCCGGTACTGGCCTCAGTGTTATCTCATGCTGATTCTGAGCTGATAAATCAACCTATGTTGCTCACTATATCTACTGAGCCAGGAATTGCTGGAGTAGAAGCTCCTAACATTATTGATGGAGCTTTTATTTCAGAGGGCCCACCTGGTCAGCTTTTGTTTGTATCAGATGGGTCTGATGATGAAAGTGAAGTGAATGAGCTGAATGTTGTAGTTGGAGATGAAGGTGCTTGCTGTATTCCTTCTGAAGGATCTCTTTTATAAAGTAAACACACACTGGCGTAACCTTTTGTTGCGACCTTGGTTAGTATAATTCAAATGACCGTTTATCATTTATTCATTCATCCAATCATTAGTTTTTTTATTATTGTAATGCTTCGACTATGGCTCTAGTTTCTCAGTAAAACATTTCAGTTTTGTTACTACATTCATCATTTATCATTTTGCTCATGATTTAGTATTCATTCATTCAATTTACATTTTGGCTTTGAGGTCAATCATTTTTCTAATTTTGATAATGTTGCATTTGTCTTCGTTGTTACACCAGTAGGTGTAGATATACAAAGAGAGATTGAGTTGTTATTTTGGCTAATGTGTTAGCACTTACGTTACACGTTAGGTCATTCAAAGTACTATACATTTCTATATTTTCACCTTGCACCAGTGAGCCACTCATTCAAACTGTCAGAATGAATTATTCTTTCCTTCTTGTCTTGTGTCTCTGCTTTTGTCTCGTGCACATTTGCACTGGTAAGTATTGTCCTGCTGTTATTGTGTAATGTGTATATCTATTATAGGACGTAATCATACATGTGATGCACATGATTATAAAATTCCACCATACTTTTTTTGGATGGCTGTGGCGTCGTCAGTGTTTTTTTTCATTTGGGGTTGTGTGAGTTGGTGCTACTGCTGTGGTGAGACATGCTGTAAATGCTGCAGTAGGTCAGGGAGATACAATGTGACAAGAGGTACATTTAACTCCATTTGATAGTTTTTTTAATTATATATTATTTTATAGAAAGAGTTCGCATGAAAAAAGCGTAAGTTTATATATTAAAAATCTAAAAGATTATCTAATAGATATTTGTAGGGTGGACTTCAATGGTTATAAAGAAGTTGCCATTTCTGCTGACAACAATGAGAACTTTCCTTTAGAGCAAGCAATGAATGAGCACAATTCTTTTATAAGCAAACCTTTAGAAACAACAGTAACTCATGTCAACGTCCCTGCTCTAGTTTTAAACATACCTTCTTTGATCGTTAACGTGTCTGCTACTTCAGCTTTGCCTTCACAGGAAAAAGATGCAATCGGTTCTTTTCAGATAGCGGAAGTTTCTGAGGTCCCTTCACCAAAAAAGTCTGATGATGTTCAAGATGATGCTAAGCCTTGCAAAAAAGAAAGTGAAGAAAAATTAGCTCTTGAAATTAATTCATCTCCTCAAAATTCGAGTTTTGTTATCCCTATCGCTAAAGAGCATGTTGAAACAACTAATGATTCAAAGGAAGTGCAAGCTCAAGAGAAAGTTCATGATTCAAAAGAAGTGCACATTGATGATTCAGAGGATGAAGATTCCAAAGTCCCAGAGTACAATAAATCGAATGATCATATAATTTGCGAGCCCACACTGCCTGACGCCTGCGAGAAGTTGAACATGCGGAGTGATTCAAATGAGCAGATGGATGCATCTGATTCAGAGGATGAAGATTCCAAAGCTCCAGAGTACAATAAATCGAATGATCATATAATTTGCGAGCCCACACTGCCTGACACCTGTGAGAAGTTGAACATGCGGAGTGATTCATTCGAGCAGATGGATGCATCTGGTACTACTTCTCATCCGTATGAGCGTATAAATATGTCACTGCTTGATGCTCCTTCACATCCTTATGAAACTATAAAACGTGATGATTCATATGAAGACATGAATGTATCAAGCTTTCAATACGAGCGAGTAGACTTTAGTACATAAAATGCATTATAATGCAGTAATTATTGATTAAAATGTGTTTTATGACTGTTTTTACTAATTCTTGTTATTTCATCAGTTGTGAAACAGAATCTTCATTAGCTTAATAAAAAGCACATGCATAATCACACCATAGCATGATAGGTTTTGCATATGCAGCATGTGCTTTATTTACTCGTTCTATAGCTGTTGATGATTTCATTATTCATTTACACAGTGGGTGGAATGCGCTAGCTCCTTTGAGTTTATAGCTAGTTAGTCTTTCCTTATATCACTGTTAGTCTAGCTACTACCAATCCAAAGATCATGAAGTATCTTCTCTTACTATGCTTCTTTCTCTTTACTGTCTGTATAAATGGTGAAAGTAAGCCATACTAAGTTGTTGATGGACTATATTTTGTTAAAAATTGTAGATGATGATGATGATGATGCTGATTTCAGTGATAAAGTAAAATGTTACTTTGACTCTCAACCAGTTGTAATGTGGTCAATAGTTGGAGTCTTCCTGGCCACTCTCTCCTTTTGCTTGAGTGGATGCTTTTGCTGCTTCTGTGCAATGTATTATAGGCAGAAATGAAAAGTAAGATAACAAGAGATTGCTTCTGATGAACATGATCAATGAACTATTATAATTTAAAAATAAACACTTAAAATTGGACAACTTGGTTCTCAATCCTTCAACAATTTTTTCTCTTTTCTGTAGGACTTTTGGGAAGTAGGGATAATGAAAACTTCTTTAGTAGACTATTATATATTTGCTGCTTGTATATTTTTATAATATAGTATTATGAGTTTTCATTATATTTATGTAAAGTGTGACATGTTGTAACAGTAGGTGTGGATAAACAAGGACACATTAGCATGTTTGTTTAGTGTAGATGACTTAAGTTTATTCAAAACTGACAAAAGACACACACTCTATATTCTTGAAGCAGTAGTGTAGGATCTGCAGTGAAGAATGAAGCTCTCTTTTCTTCTCCTCTTATTAGCATGGACATGCTTTTTAGTGATCCCTTGCTCTTCTAAAAATGAATGTAATTATACAAATTGATGTTATAATCTTTCATGACTACATAGGGTATGAAGAAGAGTCTCTGAACATTAGAGAAAATTCAGAAGAAGATCATGATAATGATAATTCAACATCTTGTCACTTTGATTATATCTTTGGTGATATAATGCTTGATAACTCGACTGTCACAATCATAATCTGGTCAGCTGGTGGTGTAGCACTATGCTGTTGTACTTTTGGGTTTGTTGGCTGGTGCTTATGTTGCTTTTTCTTTTGCAAGAGTCGCCGCTCATCTAGAAGAAAACCCAGAATATATACAACAAGAGGTAATGTTACTATTAAATGTTAAAAATATTATTTTATAATTACAGTTGATGAAATATCTCCTGAAAGAGGGAATGTACAGTGAGTTACTAATAGCAAATGTTTTTATAGTTTTAATAATTTTTAGATTAACGAATGTGCTTTACAGTAGTGTAAATACTAACATTGAAGGAGAAAAAACCAAAAGTACTACTGAAGAGAAACCAATAGAAAAACCCAAGGATAAAGCAAATGAAGGAAAAGAAAAAGCTGAAAATGTCACCAAACCAACAGAGCCTGCAGTAGCATCAGTAGAAGAGAGTGCAACCATTGAAGCAACAGGAAGCAAGATGTCACCTGATCCAGGAACTGCATCGGAACATGCTGCAACAGCAGAATCTGCTAATGAAACAAAAGGCGAAGAGTCACAAAGCAAAGAAAAGCAAGAGGGAGAGATAGATCAACAATCCGCTCCAGTTATGACAACAGATAGCTCTGAGAAAAACAAACAACCAGACGTAGAGCAACAAGATGACATAGATGCTGTGCTTAACGCTGCAGTAATGGATCTCCTCACTCTTCAATCGTTTGGTACTGAAAGCAAAGAGAAAGATAAAGACCAGCTTATTAGCAGTACTGATGCAGAGGAGCCTTTGTCTTCAAGTGCAAGAATAGCAGACATCAGTAATCCCATTGTTATTGAACTTTGATGAAAGCAACATTCAGTGTTTATAGGAACATCTTTTGTAGTATAGTACATATATTTTTATTTATTTTGTTTTGTTGTTGCTTGCAATGTGTAGTGTAGTGCATTCTTTCTTCTACTAAACAGCAAACATCTCAATTTTAACGCATAACACAGCATAATAATCCCTCTATCTAATCTAGTTGTTGTGTGGAGCTTCGCAATGAGCCTTTATCTCTTCTTACTCTTCCCTTTATTATCTGCTCAGATGGTTATGTCTAATGAACCTGAGAATGGTATGTCACCATAAGTATGTGTAATAATAATGATGTATTTTATCAGGTTCTGGGTCATCTTTTGATTTTGAGCCAACTAGTAGTTCATTTAATTTATCAAGTGAACCCACTCCTTCAGAAATTTTTTCTCCTACTGCAACTGCTAATCAAAGCTCATCAACAAATAGTACATCTTCAACCAGTGAAGTCACTTCTTCTCTTTTTTTTACTACAATGTCATTCACTGCCAACAATAGCTTATCACCTAATAGCTCATCTTTTTCAATTGATGAAATCACTTCTTCCTTTTCTCTTACTGCTAGTTACAGCTTACTGTCTGATAGTAGTACTACATCTTTTTCATTTAATAAAATCACTACTTCTTTTTATACTAATCCTACTACAATGTCATTTACTATATCTGAATCAGAACTATCAACACCAGCTAGTGTATCCCCTACAGCCAGTGGTATTGATATTACATATATAGCACTCATAGGAGGGCCTATAGTTGCTTTGATAGTCTTTACATTAATTGTCATTTGTTGCTGCTTGTGTGTCATTTGGAGGAGGCGAAGCAAAAAGAAAAGGTCATATAATTTAAAAGGTATTTTATACATGATACTTTTTAATTTCTTAATTTTTATAGTTACGGAGTTGCTTAGAGAAGAAACTTGCTTAAAGACAAGTGTTTCATTTTTGAGGTGCTTGATTATAAATCAATTATCTATTAAAACATACACCCTAAAATATGAGCTGGTTCTCATTACAATTTTTGGTAAAATGATGCTGATGACCCTGTACTATAGTACAGGGGATTTTGGAGCAACTTTAAAAATTCATAAAAAAACTCTATTTTGATCAGAATCAGCTCAAACTTTATACACCATGTAAAAAAGTATATGCATCAAATAAAGCATAAAAATGGAGAAACTATTTTTGACAAATTATAGACTAGCAATTTTTAAAAAATTAATTTTGTTGGAACTTTCCACAAACATGTATGTGTAGCAATATTATTTTTTTATAGGAGGCCATCGCTCAAAGCATCCTCCGTATTAGAGCCATACACAGGACTAGAGATCAGTACATTTAAAGTAAAGCAAACCTCACTTGGAGAAAACAATGATAGCACTAAAAAGAGCGATCATGGAAAAGAAAATAACTCAGGGCAAGAAGACAAGAGCATGAAAGCAAGTAAAGACCAACAAGAAATTGGTATGCAAATGCTAAATGAACATATTTTACTAATTCCCTTTTATACAGAAGATAATTCTGGTGCTACTAATGGTATGAATGTTAAGGAATCAATGGACGAAACCATGTATCAAATACTCCAAACGCTCGCTGACAGCTAAATGATATCCCATAATGATAGTACTATATATTAGAATCTGTTAATTAGACAGAATGCATGCAGTTGTAACAAGTGTTAAAGTTGTGCAATTATCACTGTAGTGTTATAATAGTGTTAATTATCACTATCACTAAACCCACCCCTTTAACATTATTCATTGCCTTGTGGTTGTCTTGCACTTTAATAATTGATTTCATTGCATAGCAATACTTATGATAAAAAGAAATGAAATTTATCAGCTCCAAAATGAACAGGGAAAAATATAAAAATAATGGGGGTTATTGCACACAGTGCAAGGAAGGCTTTATTAAATAAGCCGTAAATCATATAATTGCATTCCAATACTCTACACACAGTGCAGTAGCATTCAATGCTCTTATAACATAATAAAGAATAGCTATAGTGATATAATGTTAGGAACACAATCTGTATCTCTGAGGACTTAGCTCTCTTCCTACTGACTCTAGCTTCTTTCCCTTTGTCTCCGGAAGGAAAGCAGCAACAAAGGCAAATGAAGCAAGATTAAAGAAAGCGAATGTCCACCATGTTATGGCTCCATCAAACCCAGCACACAATAGATAGAGGCCAGCAACAAAAACAGCACAGAGCCAGTGAAAAGCAGACAATATACCGCCAAGGGCTCCTCTAACATCAAGCGGTATCAGCTCTGGTATCAGTATGTATGGTATGGAATCAAACCCAATGGAGACTCCAATAATGAATAAAGCTAGTGATGCAATCATTAGGTAGTTCATTGAAGGACACGGCATACAATCGTTATCAAAGTAGCTACTCACTCCAAGCCCTCCAGAGCTAATGGACATGATTAAAGCACTGACTACCAGGAGTATCTTTCTCCCAAATAAATCAACCACTAAGATACTCACGAATGTCAGTACCACTTCAGCCACCCCTACAGTCATCAATGCAATGAATTTCACATGTTTGAGTCCAGCTTTCTTTAGTATGGGGTCAGCATAGAATATAAGAGCATTGATCCCTGAGAACTGTCTAAAGAACATTATAAACATCAAGAGGACGAATGGTAGCCAGACTTGGCGCTGCTTAAACTTTTTTATCACTTGACAAAAGGAGAGATCACTCTGCATCGCAACAGCATAACTTATCTCCTCAAATTCTTCGTTAACATTTCCTCTAGGCCCACGCAATTGTTTTATGACTCTCATTGCTTTCGCAGTATTTTTCTTCATTATCAGGAAACGCGGAGACTCCGGCATAATTATTGTAGCTAGGAAGATAATAACTGATATAATAGCAGCAATGAAAGCTGTGTGATAGAATTTGATAAAGGACACCATTCCCAAGCTATACACAAGCAGTATGCCAATATTCATGACAAACAGTGGTAGAGAGCTGAATAGTCCCCTAAGAGCAGGGGAGGAGACTTCTGCAATGTAAACCTAATGAAGACAATGATAGTTTATGACCCCTCTTATGATAAGACTCTTATCTTTGAAATCTACTTTTCACACTGCACACACATATCTCTCTCTTTTCAGTTCTTTCTTTCTTTAACTTTTTTTCTCTCTCTCTCTTTCTTTCTTTCTTTCTCTTACTGGTGCACAGAACATTGACCATCCAATCCCAAACCCAGTTAAAAAGCGACCAATCAATATGACTGCGTCAAATGCAAGCTTGTTTTCTATGAAATATGTAGCACCTATTGCTGACCATCCAATTGTACTAGGTACTGCAGTGAGCAATAGGGAGGGTTTACGTCCTATACAGTCGGCAGACCAGCCAGCAATCAACCCACCAAACACTGCACCAATGGGAGACATAGCCTAAAGGGAGAGAGAAAAGAGAGGAAATTTAAAATGAGTAATTTGCAAGAGAGAGGGTGAGAAGAGAAAGGAAAGAAAGTTAAGGTGCAATTGAAGGCATTAAGGGCAACTCCAAACAAAGAGATGCACCACAGCACCAGCCCGACCCTTCTAATTATATACTCACTCCAAACAATCCCTCCATTAGTTTATTGTGCTTAAAACTCCTGGCATCACCCAGACCTCTTAGATCAAGGATGGCCCATGAAGGATAGGCAAGAGTGTATCCGGCTAGTAGAGATGTAGACGCGGCCATTACAGAGAACAGGGTGACGGCCCATATTCTTTGCTGTTTGCTGCATATTTCTTTCTGAATAGCTTTCCATGCTGGAACGTTTCCATTGGAGGACAGGCTGGACAGCAGAGGGATTTTTTCATTGTTGATGGCTACTGGCGTGGTAGCCATATTGAATTGCTGCGCATCAGGCTAGCTGAGTTGCTTGCTGATTATAGGAGGGGCTCATCATAGATAATAGAGTAAATGAAATTATCATTTACTCTAATATCTATGGGCTCATTAAAATATAATGAGCCACGCCTATAATTAATTTTAGACTGTGGGTGTAAAAATGCAATCCTAAAAAGAGTTTCTTGAACATAAAAAATGTAATAGTATTATTTAGTAATAGTCATGTTCATCTTCTGGAGCCTCTTGAGTTGTTTCTTCTTCATTACTTTCAAGTGCAGTATCTCCTTCCTGCATTTCTTCACACCCAGTAACATCAGCAGTATTATCATCATCATCAGGATTCAGAGGCAATGGAATAACATTTGGTAGCTCTTCATACTCTACTGTATCTAATTCCTCATATACAGCTTCAGTTTCAGCCTCTCTCTTCACATCATATGCTCTATTGTGTCCTAATATTAAGCTCCTCTCTCCTCCTCTTCCATATGCTGTATTGACTCCAAATTCAAACATGATATCCTTTAGCTCATCATTGGCTGCTCTGTTCTTTTTAGCCTTACAAGCTAACACTATTATTATTGGTATTAATATCAGTAGTACACATGCTATTCCAGCCATAAATGATGCAATTAATGCTATAGCTATAATAACTATTGTTGTTAAACCTGAGGCTGCAGGTTCTGATGATGGCACTGATGTTGCAACTGATGGTGCAGTTGATAATGCTATTGCAGTTGGTGCACTATTAGTTTTTGTTATTGATGAGCCTTGAACTGTTGTAGTAACTACATCTATAAAAGGAAGAGAGTAATAAAGCATGTTGCCGTTAGCACGTATATTGCCACAATGCATATATTGTTTTTATTATTTGTTTACCTAAAATAACTAAGGAAACTGTTCCTTTTAGTTCTGTTCCAAGCATAACACAAGTATACTCACCATCTTCATCAACATCAACTCTCAAAAGTGTTAAAGTACTAACTACATCACCTTCAGTTGTACTTGCTCCACTCTGTGATACTCCAGCCTCATTTGATACCACAGTACTACTGTAATTCGAGTCTATTATCATACCTGATTCATCTGTCCATTGTATTGGATAGTTCAATGGTAGGTAACCAGTGAAATTGCACTGTAAACTGACATTACTACCAGGTACTGCTAACACTGGGTGGGATAGAGTAAACACTGAACCTACATGAATACATAGTTACAATAATGCATTATTTTCACTTACCATTAAGGATGAGATGGATATTGTTTGTAGTAGGCATTTCTGGCTTAATTGAGTTAAAAGGATTACCTACAGTATCCCCAAATGCCAGATAAGAGGCAGTGCAGGTATAGTTCCCAGCATCACTATAACTAACATTAGATATTGTCAGTGTACTAGTTCTTGTTGTATCTGATAGCCTAATGACTCCATTAGTAACTGCTGGTCCACTCCATGACCAATGAAAGGTTCCATTATTATCCACTGTACATGATAATGATAGTGATGATTGAACCATATCTTGTACTATTGTTTCATTTGGTGACAGAAATTGAATAGGAAGTGCAGGAAATGAAGTACCTAAAAATATAACAAAAAAATAATCTAGTATTTTAATTTCACATACCAGTGTTTGTAAAAAACCGCATTTCACTAATAAATGTTTGAGTGGATAGAAATGATGAAGAGAAAATGAATTGGAAACGAAAGTATTGATAAAAGAACAGAAAATTCTGTGGTGTTAACATAATTAATGAGAGAACTTGCACATTATCATCACTGCCTGACAATTCTGAATTATCAATGAATGTGGATGCTACAATAATGTAGCCAATACCATTATTAGATACACCAGTTCTAATATCTGGTAATCCATATCCTCCTGATGGATTGTAATAGAAATATATATCAACTTGAGTGAAAAAGTAATTTGGTGATCCAAAGTTAAACTCCAAATCAAATGATTTGTTCCATCCCATGAAATTGTCAGAACTAAAGTTCATTCCTTCATTAGTTACATTATCAGTCAGTCTAGCAGTATTAGGACATATTGTTAAACCTCTAATCTGACCACCATTGCAATCAGTTGTAAAGGAGCTACTAAAAGGACCATAAGTGGTTGGTGGAGTTACAAGATAGTGGGTTGGTGTTACTGTGATAAGGAAAAATTATTATATCATTCATTATTGCTACCTTACCTTGAATTCCATTACATGTTTCAAGAACAATTGCCAACAAAATAATAAAGAGCATCACTAGCTATGAACTTCCAATAACCACTGATAAAACACCAAAAAGGTCTTTTTAGGAGAAAAAACACTAGTAAGGGATGCAACAGTGAAAGCTCCAATGGTGACAACAGGAAACTGAGTTGACAGGAAACTCCTCCAACATATGTTATATATATTGTCAAGAGTGGATAATTATCCACTCTTGATATTGTGAATTAAATCGCAAAATTAACAGTAAATAAAAAGAGAGAAAGAGGAAGAGAAGAAAGCAGAAATTGAATAATAATAATAATTGTTATCATTAACATTAAAATTCAGCACTCACAGTCAGTACATATATAATAATAATTATTAATAGCATCATTAATAATCAATAGTAATAAAATCTAGTCTTGTTACACGCAATCATTAAGGCAACAAAGGTGTCTTTTCTCCAGCTCCTGGCGACTTTCGAGGATAAGTAGGAGCACCATATCCACCATAAGCATCAATCTCATTGACATTACCAGGTAGCTGTGGATAGACCCCATTACTGCTGGGTCTCGTCTCATTAGGACTGTACTGTACATTATCTTGTGGAGAGTAAGGGACTTGTGTTGGGGGAGGGGAACCCTCTCTTGGGTCTTTAGGATAGGCACGTGGTACCTTTACACATGGGACAGGAGGACCTATTGGAATGGATAATAATTCAGCAATGAAGTACACATACATACAGCATATGATAGCTGTACTTGTAATTTGGGGAATGTTTTTTTGAAGCTTTTGGTACACATAACTCAAAAATTATTCGTCAAAATCAACTCAAACTTTCTACACAGCATAAGGACATCAATATGCATCAGAAGATGTAATAAAAATTGGGGGTGATTTTGGAGCCATTTTTCAGGAAAAACCATGGGCTATAGCCTTGGGTATTTTTCAAAATTTGGTCATTAAAAAAAAGTGCCCATAACTCTAGAATTTGAACTCGAAATCGGCTCAAACTTTCTACACAGCATAAAAACACCAATATGTATCAAAAAATGTAATAAAAATAAGGAAAAGTTTACAATAATTTTCTTCATTGAAAACTTACCAACAAAACTAAGCAGTATAGGTAAGAATATGAGACCGTGAGCTGCACCAATACAGACCATTGATATGTACATCCTGAAATAGTAGACTTCAAATAACTGAGACTTGGCAAAGAATAGGATAAAGACTCCTAGGAACTTGGTACAAGTGATACCACTAACAACCTAAAAAAGAAAACAAAAAATATTTAAAAATACTTCGATGCATCTACAGTATTATACTAAATACCTACACAATTTTTAATTAAAAATATATTAATTTTTATACCTGTACATACATACATGTACTGAATATTATTTTTATAAAATTCATCATTATTCTTATTCCACTTACAGAGCTGCCCATATTAGCCAGTGAGGAGTGTGCTCTTTCTAATCTGGTCCCTTTCTCCATCATGAACCAACGGACAATATGCGAACAGAACTCGACCGCTATACCGACCGTCATCACAAGGTTGACCAGTGAGACTGCATTGGCATTGATATCAGCATAAACCATGACTCCGCCCATATGAACAATTATCATAAAAACGACCGAAATGATTATGAGCGCGCCCCATACATCAAAACCAAGCATAAAGACTGTAACTAGGAACACAGCAACTGTAGAAAAAAAAAAGGATAGGATAAAAGCAAAATAAAACATACATGTAAACACACTTGTGTCCCCTACATCTCTCCCTCTTTCCCTGTCCCTCTCTCTTCTCTCTCACTAACGTAGTGATAGTCCGATGTTAATACCCATGTCCCAGTATATGTGTAAATATTGTTCGTAGTACACATAAAAGACGCTGTAAGCAAACACTTCATGGTCCAACTCTCGCGTCAGGTTAACCGAGAGCTCGCGTGCTTGTTTCAAAGCAGCAATAAAATCAGAGGAATTACGTAGTATAGTGTGATAAGTCATTGCATATGAAGCTATATATATAAAGAGAAGAAAATTAAATTATTATTTTGTAGTATATAGATGTATGTATACAGTACCTCCAATTTTCATTGTATCGTAATCCACTACAACTGCCGAGTTGTAAGCAGCGTGTCCAGCAGCAGCACAATTTGTGTCAGGATTAGCTGTCAAGAAGTGTAAGAGATTGTTCAGGAAAGCTGAAGAATTGGGCCTATTGCTTCCAGAATCAGGTGGCAAACAATGGACACAAGTCGAATTAGCAGCTGAAGAAATAAAGATAATAATAATAATAATAATAATAATAACAATAATAATAATAATAATAAATTAAAAAATATTTCTGCATTACACATAGATTTACAATGTAAGTGCATTTATTATTAATTTTAAATAATAGCAATAATAGATAGTAGTAATCAGGTGGCAAACAATGGACACAAGTCGAATTAGCAGCTGGAGAAATAAATAATAATAATAATAATAAACTTAAAATTATTTCTGCATTGCACAAACATTTACAATGTAAGTGTATTTATTATTAATCTTAAATAATAGCAATAATAGATAGTAGTAGTACTAGTAGTAGTAGTCTTACTATCATTTGGATGGCTGCAAGGTTGGTCAGGTCTACCTGGCACATGGCCACAGCATGTACTGGTAGGATCAAGCCACTCAAAATAAGCGTCAAGCCATATTGAAGGAGGCTCTGCTATCCTTGTACTAAAGAGAAAGAGAGAGGAAAAAACAAAGAGAAATGTAACTATTAATGTACATGATAATGTACATATACATATATATACATGTGAAGTGAGTATAATAGGAAATGATTAAGAGAGACACCATCACTTACTGATTAGATATTCTCGAGGCTATTGTGATGATTGTACCATAAGACATCTCCTCGCAGTCTGCTCCTGTGCATATTTTGTTCTGCTGGTGGACGTCGGTATAATTAAACCCGTCCTTAATGACAAAGTAAACGGGAGGGCCGATGTGAAGATAGGCATTCATGTCAGAGAAATAATCCTGTAAATACGAGTCCTGGAAATGAGAGAAAAGATATGACACATAGTGCAATATGATTGAACTAATAAAATACACTGCATGTACATGTACATTACAATTATGAATGTACATGCATGTACATGTACTATGACTATGTTTTGAAATATATGTACATGTACGTGTAGTAGATACATGTATATATTGAAATTACTTTAGGTAGTGCTTGTCTCTGATCCAAACCAACAGACACCCACGGGATACTAGCCAATGAAGCAAAGAATGACAATCCAAAAACTAACATCTACAAATTAAAAAAAAAAATAAATAAATGTATGATAAATACTTGAATATGCATACACAGTACTGATGAACATTAGTATCTATGCCCATACAATATCACTACACACTTCCAAGACTCACCCAAATTGGCCGTGCCAGAGGATGTAGGACAACATAGCGAGTCCATATCTTCTTCATGAACAGGAACAATAGCGACGGCTTCTCTCTCACATCAGGCAGGGAGGACTTATCAATCTTGAAGCAGCAGAGGATGTCAAAACGATATCTGGCCTGTCTCATTCCATCTAGTGCCATTACTGATACAAACGCCGTTATCTGAGAAGAAGAGAGAGAAGGAAGATTATCATAAAACAATTAGCCCAAAGCCCCATACTGTACATGTACATGTACATGTACATACATGTACATGCAATACTTAAAGAGAGTATCAAACAGCTACATGTATATACTATACTCTTACATCACACTCTATGAATTACTCACTTGTAATAAGAAATTAATGAAAACTGCTACTCCAGCATATAGAGAGAATGACCTCACAGCAGGCATTGATGACACAGCTCCCAGTAAGAATGCTGCTGACTCAGAGGTGGCAGTGAGCAAGAGAGAAGGAGACACATCAGACAACGCTCTACCAACTAACTCCTCAACTGGTAGACCAGGAGACTTACTCCTTTTACGCTAAAAGGAAGAGGAGAGAAAAGATAATACAAGAAACGATACATGTATACATTAAATTAAATAATAATGATTATATACATGTACATGTTCATGTAGGTGACTTGACCCTTCATTGTTGGATTGTTACTTAATCCTCATTTTGTGTATACACACATACATGTATATACACATAAAGTATCAGGCCACTACTTTCAATAATCACTGGGTCAAACCGTACAAGTTTACGCATGCACATCACATGCTAGCGTGCATAGCAGCTGGCACTAATGATATTCATTCTCATTGTATCTGCCAACAATAGAACAACTGAATAGGTAGCAAGATCAGCGATGACACGTTGCAACATGCACAGTACATGCATGTATAATCAATAGTTGAACTGATACATGTATATGTATCTGTGACATACAGTACAGGTATCATAGTACCTCGTATGAATGGACCATAATGAAGAGGTTGTCAACGCCCACGGCTAAAACGAGGAATGGTACGACCTCAAGAATGATGAGTGATCCCTCGACTCTTGCATAGCTCAAAAATCCAATGGAGGATAAGACAGCAAGAAGAACAATAAAGACACCAAATAGTCCTAACATTAACTTGAGATCAATCTAAGGAAGGGAGGAAGGGAGAGAGAGAGAAAAGATTTAGGTATGTAAATTTTAAATACAGAGGCAAGTAAAAGTAGATGTAAAAGAGACAAAAAGGAGAAAAGAAAAAGAAGAGAGAAAAGATAATTAGATAGTAAAGATCAATGTACTGTAGGGACTAGCAGCTTACAAAGAAAGTTTTGAGTGTCCTAATGTGTCCAAGGAAGATAGCAATGTACAAGAACATGACAACATAACTGATGGCGATGGTAGCCACATCTGTCTCACTCTCTCTGTTTATCTCATCAGTAATGGCACGCTACATGTACACAAAAAGAACATTATAATAATTAAATAATTATGATGAAATTACATGTACATGTAATATATATCACATGACATTACAGTCACATGATAATTGACCCCTCATTGTTGGATTGTTACTCATTCCTCATACACATTACAGTATCAGGCCACTACTTTCAGTAATCACTGGGGTCATGTCAAACCACACCCACACATACCTCGGCAATAAACGAGACTTCAATCAAGTTGCTCTTGTAGCTCTTGAGGTAATCAAGGTAAGCCTTTTCCCAAGCTTCGGCCATACCATTCTTCTCATCGTCAACATGATTGTTGACAACAAAGGTTATCAATAGGACTTTAGCAGTTGTATAATTAGTACCTATAGTACAATAAAGAGGACAATACATGTAGAAGCAGTCACATGATAGTCACATGCTAACCTTCAAAGTCTCCAAAGGCAGTGTTGGGATCAATGGGCCCTCCATAAGCTCCAAGACAAGGAATCCTCTGCCCTTCATCATAGTTACTGTCTAAAAGAGCTGTTGGATTCCTGGAGAAGAGAGAGAAATAATGTTTATGTATACTGTACATGTTATGGACATGAATATCTAATTAAATAATAAAGAACAGTAAACATGGCAATGAAAGGGAAAATTAAAAAATATGAACATTTAGACTCAAATAAAATAAATAAAATAATGTACATGAAGTATTATACATGTATGTATACTCACTTGCTGCAATAGTCAACATGAAACGATGCATTCCAGTATACATCTGAACCAAAGCCATCACTGTACTCTATCCTTGTCCTATTGTTTTGAAAATAATTGAAGACGCTCTCAATCGTGCAGTCGTCATAATCAGGATACAGAGGCTTAAAGCATATATCCTTTAGTGTCACGTTGACAGAAGTTCCATTAGCATAAGTATAATTACTGGTGATGTTCATCAGTGCCTCTTGAAGATTGAAAGCTTCAGTGAAGACATCTTTATCCAAGATAGGGCCACAGTGTAGCAGTAACCCATCAGCATTTCCATGCACCGTGAGTGAATAATCATAAGCTTTGCCCGGCTTTACTTTTATGATGACTTGCTCCGTACGATAAAAAGGAGAGAAATTCTTATCAAAATAGTTCTTCTCGGTCCTGGCTTGGCTGTTAGGGGCAGACCAAAGCTTCACGGGGTCTGTCGTAACATTGAAAAATACAATTCCGGCAGAAAGAGCGCCAGTGAGAAGCAAGCAAACAGGTATGACAATGAACCAGTACTTGGAAGCAATTTTACCCCAGAGATAGAAAAATTTCTTGATACCGTATTCCAGCTTAGAGCCAAGGATACAAGTGAAACAAAACAGTGATGTCTTCTCATAATCATCCCTAGATGGAGCATCAATATTGGGTTCATCAGCATTAATACTCAAACTGCTACTACTAGAATCCAACTCTTCATAATCAGAGCCTTTACGCTTATGAATGAATATATACACGCCCCATATGAAACAAGCACTAGACACCATCATTGTTAATAAGAATCCAACACTTCCTGTAATGGTAGTATAAGCGTATAACTTGTACTGAGATGGCTCAGGAACAAATGGTAATGGGCAAATGTCAGGACAATCACTGCAGCTGCATTGATACTTTGATTTTTCGTAACAGGTATGCAATGAACGGTTAAGGGATGTCATATTGCCACCAGGGTCTGCGGTACTGTACAACATTGTAAAAGGAGCTTCATTAAAATCAAGAGTAGGATCACCAAGGAAATCAAACCACAACTGGGCAGTGCAATCCTTACGGCCACACAGAACGTCCATGACTTTACCGGATTGTTCCGGATAGACGACATTTTTACACGAGTTAAAGATCCTCTGTCCATAGTCATCTTCATAATAGACAGTAACAGTGTCTATGTAAGTGACAGTTGTATTGGTACCAGTCAATGTACAGTTGTATACACCAGATTGACCAAGTTTATCAATCGGTTTCATGAATTTGGACATGTCAGGGTCACAGGTCGTGGAGCAAAAGTGCTTCATAAAGTTGTCAATGCAAGCCGGACACCTCGCAAAGAGAGAACGAGCAACTTGAGTCTGAGTCGCAAGATCAGCGAGCTGATCCATTGAACAGCAGACACGTGGGTTAGGATTATCCTCTACTAAATACGGGCATGTCTTTTGTAGTAAATCCATGAACTTCTTGTCAGACGTAGGATCCTTTGGTGGTCCGTTGTAATAACAGTTGAAAGGTTTTTGTGTGAGTGAGTTGAAGGCGCATTGCTCATACCACGTACAGCGACCTTCGCCTGACTCGAAATGTAAATCATTATAATTGATTTGATTAGGGAGACCGGAACAGAGTGGAACTTTTTTTGAAGCAAAAGTGAACTAAGAGAGGAGAAAAGATAAAAAGAGACAGGTGTTATTATAGCAGATAAGGGTAGGCGTCTCATTTCTCTCTGTTGTGTGATAAAATTAACCTCAACAAGTTGACCAAACATAACCACTCTACAGCAATGCAGCCATTTAACTATCTCATGCCCTCATCTTTTTCTTTCTTCTCTCTCTCTCTCTCTCAGGAAATGAAGTAATTATAAGTTTGTATATACATTCATTCACAAACACCATAACAACCTAGCAACTAAGAGGCAAGATGTGACATATGACCCCTTCTTATAAACCACCCCTTGTCTTCTCTCTTGAGATAAAGGGAGAACTAATGATATATGTGCTACAATCAAGAATACATGTAGATAATCAGACAATTTATAAGAGACAAGTAATGTATTGTAAATCATGTGACATATTTAATGTGTAAACACACACACATTGTATTTATTAAATAGGTGTAAAACTAATATCATAATATGGCACTGTGTGCACCAAGAAAGAAACAGAGCAGGATTCCCTGGCTCAACTTACGCTAAAAAAGGCGAGTGCCAGTAAAGAGAAAGTGGTCAATAATTTCAATGTCATGATTCTGCCTCGCTAAGGTACAGAAAACCTATAAAAAAACACAAGGAAATTAGCCGATAAAATATTGCAAAAATATCTACCTTTAGAACAAGGAGAGGGGAGGAAAGGAGATGCTACTGACGTGGACAGACTGGCGATTTGGGCGAACTCTGTTCTTTTTACTTCACGTGTCGACTGATGAATGAGTCGATGATCATACGATCAGTTCAATCATTTGATTAGAATAATCCGGTTATTCTAGATCTTTCTGTAAAACGCTCCGTATACTAAAACAATAAACATTGCAAGCCACACCTACTTTAATAACCAAAGCCCCGCCCACTACACTACAAAGTTTTTATAATAGTTCTATTTCTTTCTTTTTGTCATTATTTAGAGCAATGGCAGAATCATTGATTCTCCCAAGCGAAGACGAGTCAGTACAAGCGACCAATGATGATGCAACAAGCAGCAAAAAGTGAGAATTTTACAAATGTAAAGCCACACCCTTAATCAGCCCCACCCACATCTTTATTTTAGATATGCAGTTGATCAAGGATATTGGAAAGACGATTACGTTCAGTTTTTTTGTCGTTCAGCTGAGAAAAGAACCCCAGAAATATGTCGGGGATATTATGCTAGAGTCTTAAGCATACAAAAACTATTAGTAAAGTTCTTAAAGCTTACGTCATGTGACTGTCACGTGATTAACCTGGGGGCAGGATTTGACTCCACCTACTGGACGATGAGGGACAGAGGACTCACACCTCGGACGTACATAGACATTGATTTCCCAGAAGTGAATAAAAAGAAGTGCCAAATAATTAAAAAAAGAAAGCAATTGCTTGAGCCGTTATCTAAAGACTCCTCCCACTCAGCCACACCCACTGAAATAAGTAAATTACCCGATATTTATTCATTCATAAATTATTCATTAGGTAGTACAGAGCTTCACTCTGCCCACTATCACGTGCTCTCATGTGACTTACGAAAAGTTGGCGAACTATCAAAGAAACTCTTAGACCTCGGATTTGATACAAAGTAGGCGTAGCTTGTAGAAATATCATTTTATTCTAATTAATGCCCAGCACACCCACGTTCATATTATCGGAATGCGTACTTGTCTACATGTCCTCAGAGTCCTCTAATCCAATTATAGAGTGGGCGGGGAAAACATTCAGTACTGCGATATGGATCAATTATGAGCCAGTAAGGACCTGACCACACCCTCTAATTAATTAATGTTTTATCATGTTAGATTTTACCAGACGATCGTTTTGGGCGGACAATGTTGAGTAATTTAAAATACAGGGGATGTGCCTTATTAGGAATAGACTCCTGTCCTGACCTCACATCACAAGTAACTGAAAAATATATTGTCCACACATTTAGTATTATTACCATATTTGGAGGCAAAATGTAATTTGGAACAGGTGTATACATGAACTTTGGCAGTGTTGTTATACTATTATATATACATATCATACTGGCCAATGATGCCTTTTGTGATAAAAGGTCAAAATAAAAAACTAACTAATCCCATTAGATTAGTTTACATAAACAAGTGCTAAGTAGGACACAGTCACAGACAGACATGTACATGCACCACAAACTGTACTAATATCCAATAACTATTGTACATAATTATATCCATGTCTGTATTATTGTTTCTATGTAACTATCATTCATGTGTTACTTTTTGCTGAATTTACAGAGACAAAGATTCCTAAACTATGGTTGGAGTCATAGCTGGGCTCTTGACATGTGTCAAGTGTATTCTCTACTACCGAGAGATGACGTGGCAAGGTTAGTACTGGTCATGTGACTATCACCTGACTCATGTGACCAATCAGAATAGAGAGACTGGATTTCCTTGACGAGAAAGAACTTCTAACACAGCTGCTACAGCACTATACACTTAGCTGTGGCTTTAAAGACACTAAAGGAATTGGTAATGACATTTATACAAGATGTTGTCAATAATTTTTGTGGAATATTTAGGATTAGAGAGAGTCAGTTTAGAAGACAAGACATTATGATGCTTTATTTTAATGTTATTTTTTAGTAAACAAAATATCAGTGTTCAATTTAAACTGGCACACTAATTGCAGCTGTTACTAGTGGCAGGATATCATTCGTATGTTTCTGCCAGTTCTTGATATCTTTTGATACTGAGCACCATGTCTCGCCATGACGCGGCTCAGCCTGAACACACCTCTTGAGGACTTCATCTTGTTGCTCCTGGAGAGAGAGAGAGAGAGGAGGGGGAGGGAAAGATTGAGAGAATTATAGTTTAAATAATACCTGTGTTCCATGGGCTAATTCAAATTTATAATAATGAGCCCAGGTGTCTCCCTGATCAGGATCAATCTTTATTGCTCTAATAAACCACTCACGACATTTACTGATCTTCCTCTCCGTCCAAAACAACCTACAAAACCACACCTACACACCCAGTCTGACCGCACCCTCTTACTTTGCGACCGCTAGTAATACATGTGGGTCGTGTTCGCACTTTTTGAGGGCGTCGACACTCTTGGTCTTTCTTTGTGGGCGTGTTGCCATAAAGATGGACTCCGCCCATAGTTTACCAGAGGAGGGGCACTCTTGAAGTGCTTTTGCCATGAGGTTTTGAGCTATCGGCTTCCTATCACCTCGCATCTCTAGCCTGATGGCCTCCAACCTACAAGAAATAATTTAATAATAAATTGTAGTGAAATAAAGTGAATTGATGTACCAAAGGTCTGGCGATCGTGGGTTCTTAAGTCTTGCTTTCTCTAGCACTGATCTTGCTTTGGTTGGTTGACCTGACTTCTCCTCCAAACGAGAGTAGAGGATCCAGAGAGGGAGAGAACCGGGACACTTCTTTAACTGAAAAACACGTACAGTGTACATTCAATACAATAATAGATGATAATAATAACAACTACACTTACTGCATCAATGTAAGACATTCTTGCTTCATCAATCTTTCCCTCTTGCTCGTTCATTTGTCCTAGCATCATCCACAGTTTAGCAAAGTCTGGATGTTTCTCAAGTGCATCTCTTGTTAGTTTAAAAGCCTAAAACAACAAACAGGATAAGCTCTCCATATTAGAAAGAGGAGTACAATGTATATGTACATCGTTCTCATTCATTCTATCTATAGTATAGCTGTATCTATAGTCTATCTATAGTATTGTCTCTTACTTTCTCCATATTATTGAGTACCCATTCCAGTTTCACTGACTTCATCATTACTCTTGCAGTACCTGCACTGGCCCATGCCTTCTCCAATAGGATCCTAGCTCTCTCGAACTCGTTGTTCTCACTCTCAAGTTTAACGGCAGCAAGCCACACCTCTTCGCTATTAGGATTAGCTTGAAATGCCAGAGAGAGTATAGAACGAGCGGAAGGAACGTCACCCTAAGTATACAAAGGTACATGTATATGGAAAAATACAGAAATATACTAATACATACAAAGGTATGCAGGAATATACTGAGGTATACTAGGACTTACAGCGAGCCATTTAGATTTAGCAGCCATTAGCCAAAGGACTTCAGCTTTAGGACAATTCTGAACTGCTTTCTGTAGCAAAGCCTCTAGGGACTCTCCAGATCCATGATCCTTCTCAAAATAAGCTGCCTCAAGCCATATATTCTTCTGCTTTGGAAACACTGTCAGCATATGAGCATATATAGCCCGGGCACACTCATAGGCTTCGTTGGCTGCACACTAAAGGGGGTGGAGTCATTAGAGGTGTGGTTTGTGGTTACTATGGTAACATACGCTCTCGGCATCTTCCGTCCATTGGTCTAGTCTGTCTTCTTCTTCAATGCCGTAGCCAATAACTAAGCGACTGAGAGAGGATATTACAGTATATTATTATTAATGATAAAATAATTTAGTTTTACATGATGGCTTGAGCAGTGTGGACTGATCCAGACTTGTTTGCTTCCTCTGCCTCTTTTATCCACTGGTCTCTGTTGATCTCAACACCATTGGACTGTAATGAACTTATTGCTAAGAAAAAAAACAAACACGAAATGCTTAAAAAAAACTGTTTTTGAAAAATTTAAAAAAAATCTTAAATGCTTAAAACTGCTCAAAAATGAAAAGAAACTTGTAACAAAAACTTCAGTTTCTAATTTTTTTCATCTCATTCTCTCTCCCTCTCCCTCTCACCTCTTTCAATGATCTTGCTGACCATGTGTATGTTATTCTGTGACTCCTCCAGTCTTGCTGCTGATATCCAAATCTTACGATCGGTGGGTATATTCTCACGGGCTTTATTTAGAACTTTACGCGCATTGTCATAGTTTTCAAGCCGAGCCAATGCCAGCCACAACTTAAAAATTTGGAAAAACAACATTACGAGACTTTAAAACTTTCCCGCTTACCTCAACGCTAGCAGGACAGCACTCAACAGCTCTTCCTAGTAATATTCTTGCATCTTCTGGTTCCTCTAGCTCCACAGCTTCCTTCCATAGTCTCACTGATGACGGTATGTTCTCCAATGCCTTGCGTAGGACTCTTCTCTTTGCTGGTACGTCCGATTCCAACTCAACAGCTTTCAGCCATATCTTCACTGATTGCGGTATGTGGCCTATCGCCTGAGCAACTACTAGCTTAGCATTCTCAGGAGGCTACAAAAATAAACATACAATATGGAAACTATAGATCATTATAATTAGGTTGGATTTAGCTATGGTAGTACAGGGTTTCCCACAAGTCAGTGGATTAATTTTTCAACTTGCTCAAAAATTGGGCCAACGACCCTGTACTATTATAGGGTATTTTGACAAAAATCACAAGGAGACAATTTTCCATTTTTATAATTTATTCTGATAAAAAAAATCTGGGAAAAAGTCCCTGTGCTATAGTACAGGGTCATCAGCCAAATTTTACCAAAAATGACTAGGAGAGAATTCTCAACTTTTATTACATTTTCTGATACATATACATGTTCTTATGTTGTGTAGCAAGTTTGAGCCGATTCCGATCAAGTTTGGATTTATTATGAATTTTTAAAGTTACTAAAAAATCGGGCCAAAGTCCCTGTACTATAGTACAGGGTCATCAGCCAAATTTTACCAAAAATGACTAGGAGAGAATTCTCCATTTTTATTACATTTTCTGATACATATACATGTTCTTATGTTGTGTAGCAAGTTTGAGCTAATTCTGATCAAGTTTGGATTTATTATGAATTTTTAAAGTTACTTAAAATTGGGCAAAAGACCCTGTACTATATAGTACAGAGTATTTTGCCAAAAATGACAAGGAGAGAATTCTCCATTTAAAAATTTTTTTCTGATACATATACATGTACTTATGTTGTTTAGCAAGTTTGAGCTGATTCCAATCAAGTTCAGATTTTTTATGAATTTTCAAAGTTATTAAAAGATCGAGCCAAAGTCCCTGTACTATAGTACAGTGTTCTTGGCAAAATTTCACCAAAAATGACTAGGAGATAATTCTCCATTTTTATAATTTTTTCAGATACATATACATCTTTTAATGATGTGTAGCAAGTATGAGCTGATTTCGATCAAGTTTGAATTTTTTTACGAATTTTTAAAGTTGCTCCAAATTCCATGTACTGTACTATAATATAATGCTTTTCAGAAAACCCTGCATTAGTAAAGAATTGTTTTATCCATATTAATCACCTGGAGTCTTATTGATTCTACCCACACATCCTCATTCTTAGAGCACACTTCACACCCCCTCATTATTATGTTTCGTGCCATTTGCATTCTACCGGTGACCTCCTCCAGTCTAGCGGCCGCCACCCACCCGGGGGCGTGGTTTGGATTAGTAGTAATAACTGACTTTAACAACAGACGAGCTTTTTTGACATCACTAGAAAACGTAGTAAAAATAGTTATAAATATACATACGTGTTTCGCATTATTACTTCACATCTCCTGATGTTTGAGGTGTAATGCTATTCAAGTCAGTGAGGTATCCTTTAGGATCAACAACAGTTTGACCAGAAACGGAATCAGAAACCTAATAACAAATAAAACAATACTACGATGATATTATATAAGTAATACATGCATTATTATTATATAAAACAATACCTGCTCTCTCTTCCCTTCTCTCTCTCTCTCTCTCTACCTGGTCTAGTTTTATCCCCAGCATAGAGTTACGTGCTTCTCCGATTTGATTCAAGTCGATACGAGTTGACGTAGAGACTCCCGGTGTCATGGTCCCCGTCATAGTCCCTGGATAAGGGGTTGCGAACCCTCCCAACAACTGTTGCTGTTTAGAAAGGGAATTATGACCACCTGCAAGAGCCCTCTGTAACACAGAGTCAGGGACTGGAGTATAGCTACATGTATAAGTGAAAGATCATTAATTAATAGGAAGGTAGTGTGTTCAGTTTAGTTGTTGTTAAGTTTTAAAAAGTTTCTTTAGCGTGTTTCATTTACCGGTCTGGTCTTATGTGAGCGTTTCTTTGCTTCTTGTTACGAGCGTCGCCAACTTCCGGGATATTCAACCAGTCATCATCTGAAACAACAGCCAATTGACGCTAAGAAAAATAAAGAGAATAATTCTCCTCCTCCTGCTCTCTCTCTCTCTACCTTGAGATCAGAGAACTGTTGCTGTATTTTTGGCCTCTCTTGTCGATATTTTTCAATCTCTTCCTGAAATTTTTTCTCCCTCCTCTCTTTCCTCCTGTCGTCCATTCTCATGTCAATCGTGTCATAAATCTGATCAGCCTCTCTGTCATCAGCGTCATAAGGACCTGACGAAAACAGGCTACCGCCATAACCTGAAAACTAACAGGGAAGAGAGAGGAAGAGAAAGTGAGAGGAGAAAGAGAGAATTAGAAAGAAGTATAAATTATAAAGTGGAGATTTTTATTGAAAAATTTCTTACTCTACCTCATCATAGTTTGCATCGTTAAGATCCTCTTCTTCCGGTTCTGGCGGGTCGTCATCGTCTTCATGTGGGCGTGCCTTCTTTTGCAAACGGGCGTGCCTCTCGTCACTAAATTAGAATGAAATTAATTAGACTTGCCTACGTTGTTTTTTAATGAAAAACTACTCACGGAACATCAGTTGCTTCACGAGCTGGCCCAATATCTGATCGAGTGGTAAAGCCAGTAGCACTTTTTTAAAGAGAGAGTGGGGCAAGAGAGATAGGAAGAATTGATAAAAATTAATTTTCTATTAATTAATGCAGGGTCCCTTACCCTCTTCCTAGTCCTGGTACGTAGCCAGCAGGTGCTGGTTGACTTATAAAAGCTTTTCTTTTCTTTGAAATGAGAGAAATTGACATACTGAGACTAATCAGGCCATGTGAAGTAATGAATGGGAGGAGAAATAGGCGTGGAATACACATGACGTCATGGCAAAGCAGCGCGCGCCATTTTCCCCGGGAAACTTAATTTTTCCCGGGAAACTTAATTTTTCCCGGGAAACTTTATTTCTCGCGGAGAATTTACCGGGAAACTTCATTTTTCCCGGGAAATAGTTACCTAGCAACCATAATTGCGTATAATTTTTATAACTTAAAAGGAGGAGGGACGCCCACGTCCACGTGGAGTAGAATGTTGTCCAGTTTCCTACAGAGAACAGTTTTTCACAGTATAAGGAGAGGAGCTAGCAGTAGAGGAAGATTTAGAAATTTTATCAATATCAGTCCTGAAGTCAAGGAGGCTCTGCATTGTGGGAAACCAGTGGTTGCCTTGGAAACAACAATACTCACTCATGGAATGCCATATCCTCATAATAGAGAGTCAGTATACTGAAAAGTATACGGAAATATACAATGTTATACTGGATTTGCTATAGAACGGCACTAGTGGTTGAAGAAATTGTTAGGAGTCATTCTGTTGTCCCAGCAACCATAGGCGTCATTGACGGAAAGATTCATGTTGGTATGGTAACAGTTTGTGGGTGTGGTCAATTATTTATATTCTAAACAGGCTTGACGAGTTCTCAGTTGGACCAACTAGCTGATCCAGAGGAACCAAAAGTCAAAATATCTTGTAGAGACCTTCCGGTTGCTTGCAGTAAGGTATTTGTTATTAATATGTATCATGAATAAAAATAATAATAATAAAATTGGGGATGATTTTGGATGTGCTATAGTACAGTTATAGTACAGTGTATTTTAGAGAAAATGGCATCTTTTTTAAAATACTCATAACTCAACAAATTGAAGTCAGATTTGGCTCAAACTTTCCCATGAAATTGCAAAATCATTATTATTAGTTGTAATAATTATACATGAACATGTACCTGTACATGTATTTTTTTCTTTCAGGGATTATCTGGTGGTACTACTGTCTCTGGTACATTATTCATTGCTAACAGTGTCAATATTAAGATATTTGTTACTGGAGGAATGGGAGGAGTTCATCGCCACGGAAACATAAGTACACCATTTATAACTAGCTTAATAACTACTCAATAACTTTTAATCAACTAGGTTTTGATATCAGCTCTGATTTAACTCAGCTATCTCGTACTCCAGTGGGTGTGGTCTCGTCTGGAATCAAATCAATACTTGATATCCCTCGTACACTTGAATTATTGGTAACGCCATACATTTACATGTACATTGTATTTAAATATGCATGCATTACATGTACATTTTTTTGTATGTAGGAGACATTAGGGATCACTGTAGTAACTTTTGGACCATCAAAAGAGTTCCCGGCATTTTTTACGCCCAAAAGCGGTTGCTATGTGAGTAATTAATTAATTAATTGATAATTAATTGATGGTTATTGTTATTTTTGTCGCAGGTTGACAATAACATGGAAACTCCATTAGATTGTGCTAGACTATTAGGTATGCATCTATTAATTGATTTATTATTAATTTTTAAATTAATATTTACATGTACTGCTAGACGCTAATGCAAGACAGGAGACTAATAGTGGTCTACTAATAGCTGTTCCCATTCCAACGGATGTGGCTTGTGAAGGCCTGGCAGTAGAAGATGCTATACAAGTGGCTTTGAAAGAAGCAGAGTGAGTGATGATTATATTTTAGCATTAAGTAATAAATTTTAAAATTATTATTAAATCATCATATTATTGTTCATAGTACTAGTAATGTAACTGGTAAGGAAGTGACTCCATTTATACTTAAAAGAGTTAACGAATTGACAAAGGGAGAATCACTAAAAGCCAGTAATGAAATACACATAATAGATTCAGCACTCACCACACTCTCACCATTAGATATTGCATTGATAAAGAACAATGCTTCTGTTGGTAGTAAGATTGCCAACGAGCTATCCCAATTACGACAATATCCTTGTGAAACTCGACACTTTATTCCGCCCATGCAAAATTTAACCACACCCAGTAATTATCAACCGGTCATTGTTGGTGGGAGTATTATTGATATTGTTGTTAAAGCTAAGACCACACCCATTACTGTAAGTAGTATTTTGATTTTTAAAATTATTATTTTTGATAGAGGGAGGGTACTATCCCTGGATCATTGTGGAGCTGTGATGGAGGAGTTGGTAGGAACATTGCAGGTACATTGACTGAATATCATGCAAGTTTACATGTGATTATAGTATAATATTATTTTGTTTTACTTGGTAGAGTATCTAGCAAGAAGAGACTGTAATCCTTTACTGGTGTCTGTTGTTGGAGAGGATGAAAATGGAGGAAAAATCAAGAGGCGTTTGACAGAATTAAAAATGGTAAGATTGTATATTTATTATATTTTTATTTGCTTTTCAGTCAACAAGAGGTATCCTGGTGAAAGAGGGAGCTTCCACTGCCTCTTACTGTGTTGTTCTTGAGGAATCAGGTGAAGTTCACTGTGGCATAGGAGACCTTGAAATTAACAAACACTTGACAGTTGATTGGGTATTTAAATTAATACATAAATTATTTTTTATTAAACATTTTGCAGGTGAAGCAGTTCTCTACTGTTCCCCCGTCATTCCTTTGCTTTGATGCTAATATTCCAATTCATGTCATCACATATATCTGTAATACCTTCTCTCAATACAATACACCAAGTGAATCACTTACTTTCTTATATTCTTGATCTTTGCATGTGCATGTATATCTCTATAGTATGGTTTGAGCCAACTTGTGTTCGTAATTCAGTCAAACCTATTACAAGCGGAGTCATTGATAAGATTACTTATGCATCTCCTAATCTCTCCGAACTTCATTGCATGCACAATTCATTAGTTGAGAATGAGAAGCAGGCACCTCCACTGAATGGTAATATTAGTATTACAATATACTCCTATTATTATTATTCATATGCACACAGTTTACATATATGTACATGAACATTTTAAAAATCTTACATAATTCTTATTTTTGTAGTATCCAATCTTGAAGACATTATTAATACGGTCCTTTCTCTCTCCGACCCTCTCCTTTATAATGGCATGCAGAATCTTCTGGTGACCCTTGGTACCCACGGTCTCATGTATGTCACAAAAGACGAGGCCCTTCTCTACCCCTCTGCCCCCTCTGGTTATCCAGTCAGTATACTTAATGTCTCTGGAGCTGGAGACTGGTAAGTTGAATCCTTAATTTCTCTTTATTTTTATCTTCTCTCTCTCTCTTTTTCTCCCTATTCCTCCATCATTTTCTTCTTTTTCCTACATCATCATCTCCCTCCTCTTTTTCAGTCTTGTTGGTGGCGTTATTTCTAGTCTGTTGGAAGGTCACTCGATCGATGCATCGATTAAAATCGGTTTGCTGTCAGCTCACACTTCATTAAGATCCTCTGAGACGGTAGCGATACCTAATCAAACTGACTTTGGTGACTGGATGAAAGTGGAATCAATCATTTGTAAAAGAAAATAATGAAATTTTTATCATTAAAATTATATTTTTCGTTGTACGTGTATTACTTAGTCAAAATATTAAATTATAAAAATATTAACAGAGTCCATCAACTCTTCCCTCATCCTCCTCTTCAT